GAGTCACAGACAAAAACAATGCATTCAAATTATTTTTAATGATCTCGTTAACAGAGAGCGTAATTCAATATGACTGTTCAGTCGAGGGTCAAGCGAGTCTGCCTCGACGAGCGTTACTTGTCTGCTAGTTATCGTTGACCAGTAGAAAAAACAAAAATTTTAATTCTGATATTGGATTCTAAAATGAAAAATAGAAAAAAAATTATCACTAAAAAAACTTCCGATCCAAATTGGAATAACACGAAAGTAAAAATGAACGTATACTGTCAAAGAAATGAACCTTGTTCATGTAAATCGTTGTATAACCTACTGACCATTTACATGTAGTGTAAATAGAAGTCACTAAAATCTACATATAATCTCTTCAGATGTTGAACATCTACGGTTTGCAAATATACTGATAAATTTCAGTTATAGAAGGTCTTTCATCGCCGAATCATCATTGAAAATCTATCAGGAATAGTAACTGGCTAGAGTAACTCACATAGTACTTGATGGTGCAATACACTGTTGAGTCCGACGCATTCCGACAGTCGGATTATGTCGGATCCAACAGGTTCCAGGTGTCGGATGTTGACGGATTGTTTAGGGATCCGGTAGGGTGGTTTCGACCTGGGCAATCACGATCGTTGAGTGAATTTTGGCATGAACATCGGCCACAAGGAACTCTTCTTCATGCAAAGTTTCGCAGCATGTGTTTTATCTGTTCATCTAATGCGTAAGTGAAAACCCGAATTTCTTTCTTTATCTATTTATTAATCTAATTAACAGGCTTAATCTTATATATACACTCGCAAATGTTGGATCTTCATCGTTCACCGTAAACATACAACCAGCACACAGAGAGGCAATACACACACACAGATAACTAGAAGAAAAGTATGAAGAGAATATCAGTATCCTTTGTATAATATATATAGGTGCCAGCTACCAGAGCTGAACCTGCCCGGAAAATGCCAGGAATCCGATGGAGAAATGCGGTAACCGCTTCCAGCTGCCGGTTTTAACATGTTCCTGTCGGATCCGGCCCAAACCAGATAAATCTGGTCACCGGATCCGCTCATCGGGAATACTGCTTCCATGAAATCTCCGAAATACCCCGGAACCGACCATTTCCGTGCCGAATTGTTTGACCTGGGCAGCAGCGATGGTCGCTGGTGTAGATCGGATATTCTTCATCTGAAAAAAGTGGTGCATCGTAACAGGTAACGGATTTCGACATAAAAGATGCTGACGAAAGCCATACATTTTCCCACCCAATCATAGAGACCAGCAAGTCCGGCCAAACCAAGAATGAAAGCAACCGATGAGCCGATGCCATTGATGACGATTGCGCTATACGGAGCTCCATATAAAATCGCTATCAACCCTTGGCCCACTAATCCACCGACAGAGTAAAGCACTGGTGACAATTGAAGATCACCAGCCCATAAACTCTTGTCCGGAATAGCATACAAATGATAACATACGATGGCAGCCAGGATAATCAAAAATGTAAAACCGCGGTCGTCCACTGCAGATCCATTCTCTTTCTAAAATTCAAACAACGTTCAGAAAAGTCATTTTCTTTCCTTCTGCGACGATTATCAATGTTTTTCGTTCATAGGTATGACGATCAACGGCTGATCGATGGGGTGGCGGTCGTTGTTGGCGGGGAATGTGTGGCACCGTAGTATGGTACTGGATTGTGTCAGTAGCTCTATTTTAAAAATGATAGTTGTAATTAAAGGAACGCTTGATGAATAAATATGTTTGTGTTTGGCAAGTTTCGAATGCTTGTATGATAGTGAGTTGAGGTTACATTGTCGCGTGAAGTTTAGGAAAAGCTTCTAATGAAGAAATATGGGATCGGGGTATGGAGTTTGCTTACTTCTTATTTAAAATCTTCCTTTGTGGTGATTGTACCTGTGTATGTAATGTTACCGTTGAAGTAGAGAGAGATGTATATGAGAACAAAAGAATAATACATTTGTGTGCTTTGTTTAAAGATATTTCGTTCTGTAGTTGGATAGAAGCCAAATCCTCATTTCGTTTTCCTCATCGTACACTTTTTTCTGTATACGTTTTTCGACTAAAGCTTTTGTGAGAAAGGTTCTGTTGAATGCTATCAGAGTTGATATCGATTAGGTCTGTGCATGTCGAAAACGAATAGGGGTTAATTAGTTTTCTTCTCAATTTGAGAGTGACTCATTTCGAAAGATTTATTGGTCACCTATGGAGCCTAGATGACTCATAGCCGTCTGTGTAGAATGACCAGTTGCCTTGATTCTATGACTCACACTGATCAGACCGAACAAGTCATGGTGCGTCGTGAAATCGAGATATATGTGTTCTCTTCTTCTGTTTATTTTGGATGGCTTGTTTAGACTCCTTCTGCTTGTGTTATTGACATGCTCGTCAAAGAAGAAAACAGTGTTGACCACGAGATCTGTTCACGAATGGCTGTGGTGCTCCCTTGGGAGTCGATCTTCATCGTTTTCTGGATGGCTTTGATTCACAATTGTTAATATATCTTTGAAAAAGGTCTTTTTTTACAAGAGTGACCACAAGATCTGTGCAAGGAAAATGATCAACAAACAAAAATCATTCGTCATCTCCAAACACACATTAAACTATTGGAAAAGTCACAGAATCACTTGTTGAAAATAGCAAATCAAACAGAATGAAGCTGAATGACAGTATGTAAGAAGAAAAAACTCTACTATGAATGTATTTTTGTTGTTTGTCTTCGAAGATCGATGAAATCGAAACGAAGGAATTTCAGATGCGTAAACTTGGCCGACAACACGATGATAAACTAAACATCATTCGATCAATGGCAACAAACAATGGTTTTTGGAGTGAAGAAGTTATGATTCCCATATCGGCACGGACAGATAGTGCTTATCCAAATCAAGCCCAGCAGTATCATCGTATTGAAATGATCATCTCTCAGAACTGCAATACACCAAACATCGAATATCGATCACAAGGAACAGTTTTAACGGGTTTGATTAAGATTGATTGACCATTTCAGAAACTCTTCTTCTTGACAAGAAAGTGCACACACAAAAGGCACTGGCGAAGGATGGAATCATCCGAACAACGGAATATGTTTTGACACATCAGAATCTTGATGCGCAAAATGAAGTTGTCACTGATTTTATCAAAGTAAGATGGAAGAAAGAAGGGATGAATTTGAGCATGTTTCGTTTGATTTTATAGGATGGTGATCTCCTTCCCAAGACGAACGTTTTGGGCACCGGATCCGAACAGAACCGAAAGGAAAGCAGCCCATTTCTGGCTCATTCCGAGCAGTTCTCACCATATTCAGAGAGTTGCCGACAGAAAGCCATAGGAATGTTGAACGGGTGTTCCAGAACGGAATGCCCTGTAACTGGATCCTTCATATTCCCAATTCTTCCCTTGACCGGTTTCCCTACATATCTCCACGGAAAACAGTAATACCGCCTAAATCCGACAAAAAGAGAACACCACATAAAACAGCAGGGTCCCAACATAACCCTACAGAAACAAAAAATACTGCAAACGCCAAAACGTTTCCCGCATATTTCCCAAAAAATCTATACTCTTCCTGAACCACACCACGTATCCTACCGTTTCCCATAGCCCCCCATAACTGCAACGAACCCATCTGAATCCGAGAAACGTAACCCACCGTGAACAAACATACAACTACAAATCCCATCTTTTCTAATTTCTTTCCGCCATCACTATCGACTTTCAGCCAAAAACTGGCCCAAAAAATACCAACACGAGACCGCGCGTTTGGATGATTGCATTCCTTAGCGAAAAAGTCAATTGCAGATGTATAAGTTTTTTTCATGGATTGTTAATTCGATTGCAATCCAATGCGCAATGGTGGAATCCACTGTTGAAAGCTGGAATCCATGTTGTTTTCTAGTTCGTAAGTTTGCGATCCAACGGTAGTTTAATGGTGAGTAGGGTAATTAATTATATTAGTCAGATGGAGCTAGTGGCAGATCCTGGGAAAGTTTGTACTAGTTTGTCTTTTTACTGATACGAACAGGGATCCGGATAGTACCGGATCATGGGTTTTTGTTAGTATGGGATCTTATCTTGTATTGGCGTTCGACTGGTGCGTTTAGTGGTTATTTCGGATTTGTTTGATTTTTGTAGTTTCCGTCAGGTTATGGCACGTTGGAATGTTACGGAAGTTCAGTTCGGGTTTCCCTACTTTTCCGTTTGGTTAGTGCCGGATCCGCACAAATTTTAGCCGGCTGAAGTCGCTCTGGAATCCCACTTCCATGAAATGCACGGAAAAATCTGGCACTGGGCGATTCCGGGCCGGATTTTTCGAACTGGGTTCTATCAAGTACTTGTGGTGTGAATGTCATATACAATGACGTTAAATGACTAACATCTTCATCACGACCAGACACATTCATATTGCATAATTACAGAAGTCGAGCTGCTATTACAAAGAACCGAAATTTATATGAATATGAAAAGAAATTACTTAACAAACATCTGTGACGTTGAGCTTTAGCTCGTTACTCCCCTTCACGTCGACAAAGAACCAAGCAACAAGTGACGAAAAAACACACATAAAAAGCAAACCGAAAATTTTAGCAGTCTGCCACTTAGTTAGGCTGGTGCTTCTGAGAAGATGCTTGATACCAAGATAATAAAAACAGATGAGAGACACAGTCTGTCGGAGTCAATCGAACCATCCTGGATAACTGTAACTAATGATACCAATAACACCCAAATCCATCCAAGCGATCGCCAAAGTCACATATGGCACACCATATAGAACTGCTATCATCATTGCACCCAGATTATTTGTGACAGCATTTACCACTGGCATATGAGTCAAATTCACATGCCATTTCTTCTTCTCAGGAAAAGGATGCAGGTGGGAAACCGCACCAATCGAAATAGCCAACAGGAACCGATGCACAACACAAACATTAGACCATACCGCTCCAAACTGAAACGAAAATCTCGTTTTCAATGCTTTTCGCCCAAACGATTAGCATATTACTGTGCCATCTTTCGACCTCGTCAACATCTGCCAATCCTGTCCAGAGACTATCTTTCGCCACTTCCGTACAATCTCCATAAGACTTCGCGTCGAAAACAGAAATCACACGCACCAGTCGTACCTCGAACCCACCCTTTTCACTCATAATGTTCCCCTCATTTCCAATCACTATTGAAGCAATTACTCGTCTAACGTCATCCGCAAGTCACCGCCAACCGCTTTGGTGCGTTTCCTCGTCAACCGGACCATAGCGAACATACCTTTTCTGCTTTTCAGATGACAATCCATCCAATTGTTCGTTCTACGGCGCTCGCAAGTCAAAATCTTCGACTTCCCAGGTCAAACAATCCAACCCGGAAATTATCGGTTCCGGGGTATTCCGGAGATTTCATGGAATCCTGCTTCAGGAACCATCGTCCTGGGTTCGGTGAGTTTTTCAATCGACTGAAACATACCAAACACATTTTTCTGTTTTTAAGATGACTATGCAGTCAATATGATGTACTTTTGTAGGTTTCATCTGTGCCTTGGAGAATCGCTATCATTGTTTTCAAGTGGTTTGTATTTAAGGGGATTGGTGCTCACCTTTCGTTCTTGTCGGGCTCGATGTGGAGTTCCATTGAAGTTTCATTTACGTTAGCTCGTCGTGACATTCTAAAATATTGGCGTTCATGAGTTATAGGTGTTATTGGCGTGATGAAGGTTTTTTGTGAGGTGGGGCATGTGACTACTTAGATGGAAATGAATCTTGAGGGTGGGTGAGGGTGAGGATGTATTGGTATTATGGAAACTAAATCTATTCCTATTCCTATCTATTCTTAAACTCATAGGGATATGGAGGTATATATGTATCAGTGAAACTAAATCTGTTTCTTTTCCGATCTAATCGTTTGTTACAAAAGTGATATAGACATCTAATTATATTCGAATTGATATTAGCCTGTCGGGGGTCGGCTTATAATATAAGTTGAATTAGGCATCTCATGGATGTCCGGGTTGGATACTATGGGAAAGTGTCTGAAATCCTGCTCAAGGAATCAGGGATCGTATCCGACGATCAGTAATGGCAGGTTTTTGTCGGTTCCCAAGAAAATCGAATAAATGCGATGACAGGACTTAGTAACCAGAATATTGCTCCAATTAAATCTCCGGAATGTCCTGGAACTGGCCGTTTTCGGGCCGGATTGTTTGACTTGGGCAATTCGAATTTTTATGTTATCTTTTCTTCTAACATAATCGACATGACTAATTTTGCACAGATGCAAAGGTTGGATCTTCATCGTTTACTGTGAAGAGGCAATCCACACACAATCATAATGCGCAGAAGCACCCAAGATGCAAGTATTGACCAGAAATCCATGCCCCGCTTAAGATACTGTAAATGAGTTCAGGAATAAGTTTATTAGTAACAATAGACACAAGTTGACAAAGAGAGAAGAGAAATACTGATAGATGGAGCACGCATTATGGACATTTCATGTGTCCTATATATATACGTGTAGACATAAAGAGAACAGGGAGAAAAAAAATATATATCCTGACGCCAGATGTTATCCTACTAACATATACATGACGTAATGTAATAGGCTGTTTTCCAAACAGATACATCGATAAGCCAAGGACGATAACTATGATAACACAAATGAATCGACATGCCAGTAATTTATATCTAAAATCACGAGCCTGGAACAGACTGGTGCAGCGCAGCTGGTAACGAATCCCAATGTAGAACACGCTCATGAGAACCATCGATTTCTCCACCTAGTCGTCCAGGCCATGAAACCCAAAACATCCGAGAATAAAACCCATCGCCGAGCCGATATCACTGGTGACAAGAGGGCCGTAGGGCTTTCCATACAGAATTGCTATTAACCCCGGGCCAGCTAAACTCGCTACAGAGTAGGCCAGAGGCAAGAACTGCAAATGACCACCCCATAAGCGTTTGTCGGGTATTGCGCTCAGATCGTACAATGTTAGCGGTGATGATAAGGCCAACAACCGAAAGGTACTTGATTTCCAACGCAAGTCCACCACATTTCTAAAAATTCACACAACGCAATGAGTCGCTATATTTACACCTCAAACAATATATTACTTTCTCTTCCAAACATTACCCTGTCAATCGCTACAACAACTCATTCGTTCATATTCAAAACGATCCCCTAAGCTTACCAACCATTGTCAATCCCAGTAAATGAACGGGACCATAAGTAACAACGACATCTCACTCTTCACCTCAATTATCTCGTCAAAAAGCGTTGAAACGACTACTTCCTCGACACCACCTACGCTCAACAAAAAAAAGCGGACCAGAACAACGTCCAATCAACAAATTCACTCGCCGTTACGACACTCACAAACGTACTTTATTCGAAGATACCGTCCTTCTACATGACGCGGTGAACGTCAACCCAATCGAATTGGCTCATCGACGAAAATCACCAAGAATAAGTCAGTTTCATCGTCACTCTTGGACTGTTGATCATTGATTTTTTCCAGGTTCCACTCAGTATCGTATGCACAGATGCGTGCCCGATTTCACTCTCCATCGAACGGATCGAACAATAGAAACGACCACGAAAGGGTACGTTGAATCGTGACTGTTGAACTGCTTATGATTTTTTCTTTGCAGGGCTCATCAGCATCGTCACGAGGGATCGATCCATTATTTACCTTTACTCGAAAGAGTCCTTATGCCAAGACCAGCTAGAATTGGTCTGTTTCGCCTTCTCTGATGAACCGTTACACCTCCTTTTGCCGCAGATATATTGTCACACGTCGTCGGTAAGAAGCAATGGGAAATTTTGATCGAAACGGGTCAGCTTGCGCGGTGGGGGGGAGGGAGGTGGTATATGTCTATTCTCTCAAGTAAGTGTTTACTTTGGCTTTGGTTGTTAATGGTGTATGATTTGTTCAGTGTCCATGGGGATAGTTAACCGGCGTATTGGGTAGTCGAAGCGTGGTTGTTGGCGCATTCTAGAAAATGATGTACCGTATGATGGAGGTGATGGTGTAGATAGAGTGTTTTACTTTTAGTGAGGTTGGAATGCTGGCATGGGTTTTAGTCGATATTTGGCGTTTGCGTTAGTTTAAAGAAAAGCTTCTTTGGAGGAAGTATGGAATCTGACTGTGGAGTCCGCTTACTTGGGTTAGAAAATGTTTGTTCGATATGATTTTATTTTCGTATAAAGCGTTCTTTTGGATAGAGAATGACTTATATATGATAACAATAGCAAGTGTCTAGTAAACATTGGTGCTTTGTTTTGAAAATTTTTTCCTTCTGTGTTTGGACGAAAGCCAAATCTGTATTTCATTTTTGTCACTCTGCAGTTTTTTCTCGATACTTTTTCCAATCGACGTTTTGGCGAGAGAGGTTCCGTTAAATGTGACGTGAGTTAATTTCTGTCTGGTCTCTGAATGTTTGAAGAGGGATACGGTTTAATTAAAATTTTCTCCTCGAGTTGAAAGTGACTCATTTCGAAAGATTTATTGGTCACCTATGGAGCCTAGATGACTCATAGCCGTCTGTGTAGAATGACCAGTTGCCTTGATTCTATGACTCACACTGATCAGACCGAACAAGTCATGGTGCGTCGTGAAATCGAGATATATGTGTTCTCTTCTTCTGTTTATTTTGGATGGCTTGTTTAGACTCCTTCTGCTTGTGTTATTGACATGCTCGTCAAAGAAGAAAACAGTGTTGACCACGAGATCTGTTCACGAATGGCTGTGGTGCTCCCTTGGGAGTCGATCTTCATCGTTTTCTGGATGGCTTTGATTCACAATTGTTAATATATCTTTGAAAAAGGTCTTTTTTTACAAGAGTGACCACAAGATCTGTGCAAGGAAAATGATCAACAAACAAAAATCATTCGTCATCTCCAAACACACATTAAACTATTGGAAAAGTCACAGAATCACTTGTTGAAAATAGCAAATCAAACAGAATGAAGCTGAATGACAGTATGTAAGAAGAAAAAACTCTACTATGAATGTATTTTTGTTGTTTGTCTTCGAAGATCGATGAAATCGAAACGAAGGAATTTCAGATGCGTAAACTTGGCCGACAACACGATGATAAACTAAACATCATTCGATCAATGGCAACAAACAATGGTTTTTCGAGTGAACAATTTGTGATTTCCGTCAATCCAACATTAACACCGTTCGTATTGAAGATATTCATTGCAAACAGCTTCTAAATCACGAGATTGTTTATAGAAATGCAGCTGAGAATGTTTATCAAAATCAAGGACAATAGTATCATCGAGTTGAAATGATCATCTTTCAGATCTGCAATACACGAAACAGCGAACCTATGCACATGCAGTTGTTGCTCATCCTCGATAGCAACATCGACGATCACGAACGTTGAGTGAAGTCTGGCTCGAGCATCGACCACAAGGGACAGTTCCAACAGGTTTGATCGACAGTCGATTAGATTATCAATGAAGTGATTGATTTACCATTTTAGAAACACTTCTTCAAAGCGAAGTTTCACAAGAAAGTATGCACACAAAAAGCACCGACAAAGGATGAAACCATCCGAACAACGAAATATGTGTTGACACATCAGAATCTGGACGTACAAGGTGAAATTGTCACTGACTTCGTCAAAGTAAGCTGAGGAGGCGAAGAAGCGAATTTAATCGTGGTTTGTTTCATTCGCTAGGGTGATGTTCTTCCATCGAGTACTGGTGGTGTGAATGTGATATTCAAGGATGTTGAACGCCTGACATACCCATCACCACCAGATCCATTGGTGTTGCATAAGCGATGTCAAAGCGAAGAACGAGTTCTTCAAGAAGTCACGTCAACGAACACATCCTCTCCTTCGTCTCGTCAGAGTCCAGCTACAGCACCCAAGTAAATGAACATCTTGTTTAAAGTTATTTAGAGTATCTTGATGATTTTCTTTTTGTTTTAGACGATTTCGTATGTGAAAAACAAGAAAGGAATTGTTCTTTATCTAATTTGTCTGTTTACATTCTAATTTCTATGTATTTTCGTCTTCGTGATTCGGTCACTAATTGTGTGTATGTCTTATAAAAATGTGAATTTATTCTTGTTGAAAAAGAGGAAAAACTGAGTGAATGAATACGAAATGTTAAATCTATACACAAGAGAAACACAGGTTTGTTTGACNTATCAATTCAGTTCTTACGAGCTGTTGAGCTCGAGTTGTCACATGCCTGCGTTGTACAAAGAAAATGTGGTTATTGTTCGCTTATGAAAAACGAAAAGTGCAAGTTTTTGTTGAGTTTTATGATAACAACATCATTTCAAATTCATCACACACGTTGTTCTGTACAGTTCAACAGATTTTTGATAGTATGTCGAATCACCAAAATGAAAGTCTTTTGCGGCTGAAAGTTTCATCTATGTCAAAGAAAAGGCTAAAGTTTGCAAAAACATGAATTATTGTTTATTTCTAGTGACTCTTTTGTCACACTACAACATTTGCTCACTTTTATTTGTGGTGACTCATAATTAGTACTCATTTTTGTACTGTCATTGATCTTAATCTTCTTTGCATCTTCAGGTGTCGGATCCATTATACATCCACCGTACAGACAATGCAGTATGAATAGTGTATTTATATGAGATCGAGTAGAGTGACATTGTAATTGACATATATTTATTTCAATGAAGAAAAACAAAAAAAAGCAACGGTAAATATACAATTTAAGGGCGATCAAAAGATCTCATTATTACAAACATGTACGATTCCATACATTGTGATAAACAGGAGTTTGTGATAGAATTATGGTGAAGAAATTGTGTTCCATCGTGTCAGAGTATTTTCGTCCATACGATGGGTGTGTCGTCGACAGCTTCGATTGGTCCATCATCGACTTCGATTGTTGCATGATTAGAATTGTTGTCATTTCTATGCGAGCGGAAACGGCGATCTCTACGCTCCAACGTCCAAACCATTATAGTAGAAGAAAGCGCCCCACTAGGAATAATCATATATACAAATGTGTAAGTATAAAAACAGCTATTATAATGAACTCCGTATGTAATAATGACAAGAACAAACGCGTAAATCGCCCATAGCGTACGAACAATGAGACGACTGTGTTTTCCGTCTATTGTAAAAGCAAATTGCAAGATAAAAACAATCATTATCATGGATACCGGCACTGAAATTCGACTGAGCATAAGAAGACTATCAGGAACACAATGTTTTAAAATTTTTGGATCGGTCGATTGTAGAACAGAACATCAAAGTTCGTCAAAAGGAATTGTACAGATCGGAACCTCAGCATTGAAATCTGTTTGATTCGTCAGACGTGAACGGGCCACTAATTGGTGTGCATTAAAAAGATGCAATGGAACTGCGTAGAACAGCACGATACTCCATATGTGGACTAGGCTAAACACTATTGCATACTCTTCGTGCGCATGTGGGACATCATATTTGATTTTCATCTCGATATTCGATGGACCAACCTTAGTAACAACGAAATAGAAGTTTGTTGGATTGAATCAATAGAGACAAATCTGAAATGAAATAAGAATTACATGTGGAAAAAAGAAATGTGTTGTAAAGATTCTTTGAATAAATGACTTATGATTAATGGAATGACACAATCTAAGTACAAGATGCAATCGTATTACGAACAAATCAATGCTACTGGAACGAAAATGAAGAAAGTTAAACATAAAAACGGATCCTTCTTTTATTAATATAGGCATATGTACGTTTGAAAAGAGTATGAGACAGTACATACAGTTCTTATCAAGATGGATTTATGTTCTTGCAAACAATAAGTGAAACTGTTCTATTTTCTTTCCATTTTCACTCGGCTACATATACTATATTTCCAATATAGTTGAAAAAATACTCGCCTGTCGCAATTGACAGCGTTCATCGTACCACTTATAGAGAGATAGAAGATTTATTTTGATAACATGTTATAGATAAAATAAAAATCTGTCGAGAGATATTTCACAAAAGAAACATCACCGTTTCAAATACTGATCAATCACATCGAATGGTTTGCGTCAAGTTGTCAAACTCACTGCATAATGCGAAATCAAGCCAGTTTAACTTCAATGATGGTCAATAATTAAGAGATACTAAAATCTAATTGATCTTTATGGAATGGAATGCGATCTTAATGCAAAAAAAGCAGCGTACTTTCTATACGGTTAATATCCTAGAATGACAATGAAGACTAGTGGACGAGAAGAAATTCTTCTCTTTCTTCAAATTAACAACAGCCTGCTTTCTGATAGGATATTATGCTTACGTCCCATGACGGATCACATTGAGCATATTAACTAACACATAGATCCGAGATGTCGCACTCAATAGATGCTCTTAGTTATTATATATAATGGTAATGGAAATAAGGTTAAGTAGAAGTTATGAATTTGCTATACATAGATCAATTACAAGTCTTCTCTACCGTCATCGTACTTCTGAAAGCAAACTTTGAGAAGCTTCTATTCTTTTTGGTGAAATATAATGAAAATTTCTCATTGTGCTCCTTTGATTGCGGATGATATATGTGTTTAGATGAAAGAATGATTGGCTTTTCATCGTAGTTTATGTTACAAGTTTTTCGAATATTAGGTAGACTGTATGAAGTCAATGTAGTATCACTTGAGATTTCCAAATACCTCTCGGTCATAACGACAGAGCTCGAAAACTGTCGCACCGGATCTGAACAAAGGCTTATCGGTGGAAAATGAAACCATCAAAGTGATCCAAACGTTGACTTATTGTTGTTAAGAAAGGGTGGGGTGGGCGAGGGTGTGTGTGTGTCTTATAAAAATGTGAATTTATTCTTGTCGAAAAAGAAAAAAAGCTGAGCGAATGAACATATGAAATCTTAAATCTATGCACAAGCGACATAGATGTTCCATGGATATATGGCGAGCTTTGTATGGAACAGATCGATGAAGTCAAAGCAAAAGTGGGTTAGTGGCGCCTTGTGTGAAGCTGAGTACAAATGTGTGTGGTGCGCTGATGCAATTCTTCTCTTGTTGTAGAACCGAAAGAATTTGTTTCGGAAGCCGACGAATAGAGAGTGGAAGCTTGCGTTTTTCTTAAAGAGCGGTTGGTTAAGGCTTTCCTATTCTGAATCAGTGTGTCTTTGAATCAAAGTTTCAATAAGTACTGTGATACTTTAAATATCTTACATAAGTTAATTCTCTGAGGCCTTTTGATCTCATCTCAAAGAGAACACATTCAAATCTAAGATATTTGTTGATTCTGTTCACTTGTCAGAAAATAAGTGCCATGTTATGTTCAATCAAAGTAAAATATGTGACTGTTCTTCAGACGAGAGCCTCTTGTAGTTTCTTATATCATCATAGCACCAATAGTCAATTCAAATGCTGATTTCTGAACACGAGAGGGAGATGTCTTTCTTTTTTTCGTTTCTTCTCGCGATGCTACACGCTGTCAAGAATGAAAGAGTGAATCACACAAACTTTCTCTAAATTATATTATAAATGTGTGAGAAACATTTATCATTCACACAGAAGAATGTTTGGTTATCATTTAGTTACGAAAGTTGAAAAGGCAAGTTTTGTTGAGTTTTATGATAAAGAATGATTTTAAAGTGTGTTCTAACATGTTGCTCTATGTAATTCAACGATTTTTTTCGATATTAGGCCGAAAGTTCAAAATGAAAATCGTCTGCAAGTGGAAAGCTAGATGTATGGCAAATAAAATACTAAATTTGACAAAAACATGAACTATTGATCGTCTCCAGCGTGACTTTGATTACTGCACAAAACGTTTTGCTGACTTTTATTTATGATGCTTTTAAAATAGTACCCATTTTGGCACTGTCATCTGTTCTAATCTTGTTCATATATGATGATGACGAGGTAATTTTATATGACACGACGGTTCTGTACGCTGCGAAAGCTTTCCAAGGAAGAATGAATGTATGTTACAGTGTGGCTAGTTTGGTTTGAAAGAATAAATTAATCTCATCTTATTATACTCACACCATCTTTATCAGTGAAAAATTTCTTCTCTTTTCTATAGAAGATTTGCAAATCAATCAACTCTGTGCAAGGATTAATGGTACAATCAATCGACGTGCCGCCAAAGATACAGCATCACAAATAAGACGATCCATACAGAAGTCGCTTGAAAACCTTTGTTTCTCATATAATTTCAAATTTTCATTGTAGAGCATCAGAGTAAAATTACTTCGTTCTATCTCACTATTTTGAGTTTCAGAATTTCGATCCGTTAGATATCCACTGTAAAGACAATGCAGTGTGAACAATATATGAATATGAAATTGAGTCGAATGGAATTCTATTCGACATTTATTATTCATTTGAATGAACAAACACAAAGAAAAACAACGGTAAATATACAATTCAATAGAGATCATATGAGCTCATTCTTAGGTACATCGTCCAATTCCACACAATGAGAGAATTATGATGAAGAATTTGTGTTTCATCGTGTCAGAGTATTTTTCTCCATACGATGGATCTGTTGCCGTCAGGATCAGTTGATCCATTATCTACTTCAATTGATTGAAGATCGAATCTATCATTGTGGTTGCGAGAGGAAGAGCGACGCATTATACAGACTACTATATAATCCCACAAAAAACAGGAGAATATCGGGGTGATAAAACTAAAAAGTGCCAATACTGCATGATGAAAACAACTGCTGTAATGAACTCCGTACGGAACACACACGAAGAGAAAAGCGCAAACAATCCGTAGAATACGAACAATAAGGCGACTGTGCTGTCCATCTATTGTAAAAAATACATGGAGTAAATAAGCTTCCATTGCCATCAAGACTGGCACTACAAGTCGACTGAGCAGAAGAAAATTGTCAGAGATACAGTCCTTCAAAATTTCCTCGTCGGTTGTTTGTAAGACAGAACATCGAAGTTCGTCATAAGGGATTCCACATGCACATGGCCGCACGGTATCGCGGCTTGTTGAATTCGACAGACGTAAACGAAACACTCGATCATGAAGCACAGCTAAATGACTGTGAGTGAAGAGCAAGTAAACTGTAGCCAAGAAAAGAATTGGAGCAAAAATTCGAGCGAAAATTTCAACGAAAACTTCTTTTTTCGGTGAGACGCCATACTTAATTTTCGCATCTATATTCAGTTGACGGATCTTAATCATAATAGAATCAAGGTTTACCGCATTAAATCAACAAAGGCAAATCTGAAATGAAGTAAGAAATTCATTTAGGAAAAAAGAAGTGTATTGCAAAGGTTGTTCGAATAAACTAATGAGAATGAGTATTAGACTTCGAGTGATATCATCTAGGTAGAAGTCTATATCGTATTACGGACAAATAGATTCTATTGACAAGACAATGAAGAAAAATAAAACATGACAAGTGACACTTTTCTATGAATACAGAAATATATGCGTCTCAAAACATCACTAAGCAGTGCATCTACTTCTTATGAAGATGAATTTATCTGTTTGGAGACCCAAAATGACAATATTCTCTCTTGTTTTCTTTCTAACTTCGGTACAAATACTATGTTTGCAATATAGCTGAAAGAACACTTACCTTTCTCAATCGATGAGAATAATGAGACAAAAATGATAGCATTCACCATACTTCGTATAGAGATAGATGAAATAAATATTTTTCGAGAAATATTTCACAAACGAAATATCAACATTTCAAATACTGTTCGATCACATTAGATGATCACTGTCGAGTTATCATACTTACTGCATAGTGCGAAACAAAACCAGTTTAGCTTCAACAATGATCAATTATTAGGAGACACTAAAATCTGATTGATCTTCACGGAATGCGATCATGTTAGTGAACTATAATCACAAAGCAAAAATTACACTATCAAAACGATCAACATTCACGAAAGACAATGAAGTCAATGTTAAGATAGATAGGTAACGATGATGAAGGTAAGACAGAAGAGAAGAAATTCGTCTCTTTCTTCAAATTAACAACAGCCTGCTTTCTGATAGGATATTATGCTTACGTCCCATGACGGATCACATTGAGCATATTAACTAACACATAGATCCGAGATGTCGCACTCAATAGATGCTCTTAGTTATTATATATAATGGTAATGGAAATAAGGTTAAGTAGAAGTTATGAATTTGCTATACATAGATCAATTACAAGTCTTCTCTACCGTCATCGTACTTCTGAAAGCAAACTTTGAGAAGCTTCTATTCTTTTTGGTGAAATATAATGAAAATTTCTCATTGTGCTCCTTTGGTTGCGGATGATATATGTGTTCAGATGAAAGAATGATTGGCTTTTCCATCGTAGTTTATGTTACAAGTTTTTCGAATATCAGGTAGACTGTATGAAGTCAATGTAGTATCACTTGAGATTTCCAAATACCTCTCGGTCATAACGACAGAGCTCGAAAACTGTCGCACCGGATCTGAACAAAGGCTTATCGGTGGAAAATGAAACTATCAAAGTGATGCAAAAGTTGACTTATTGTCGGTAAGAAAGGTGCATGTGGAGAGAAACGAGGCTCAGCTTCGAAGACTTTATCCGTGATAAAAAAAAACCATTAACTTGATAAAAGAATTTTCAAAAACCTGAATATACTCAGTCCTCTTTCCCGATCTCTGGATCGACTTTAAATGCGTTCAGTCAGATTTGAGAACACAGTAGGTATACTACATGTTACACGAAATGCTATCTTTTTTGTGTCGATCGAAACGGATTGAGCAGAAGTTTTTGTCATTTTGTTTGTTAGTTATGGTCAGATATTGCTGCAAGTATCACAGCTACATAATGTTCCTTTCGTGTAGTATAGAGGAAAACAATGTAAACAAGTGCCACACAAGATTTGAAATGAAATGTTCACTGCAGGCTTTCACATCAGTGCATATCTCACGATTACAATTGAATTGAGTTGAATAGAGGTCATCTTCATAAATTCCGCTACCAAAATGTTGTTTGTATGGCGAATCGACGATTGTTTCTTGCTTACACAATATCATATCGTAGGTAAAGAATGTAAAGTCTAGTATGAAAGATCTGTGGATTCGGAGAAAAAAGTTTATTTGGAGTTCCACACACATGTATCTCACTATATATAAAAAGCTTTTTATATATAACCTAAAGTGCTGGAAGTTCTTTGAATAGATTTGGAATTGAACCCGAATATTTAAACATGTATGAAAACGTTCTTATCTGAAATATTATATGGCATTTTTGAAATCATAAGATTCAAACAGTGTCAGAAAAGTAGACTATCAAATGAATCCCACATCTCATTGGAAAACCAAAGCAATTATTCGGGATTTATTTATTCAAGATAAATGTATATTATTGTTTAACATCATTACTAATAGATGCTGCATTTTCAGAAGATGAGAAACATGTTTCTTTTGCTCAGATTTAATACAGATACACTTTTCTCTAGTGACATCTATCTCGCTTTACTCAATTGGAAATTTATTCAAAACTTATTTCTGGGAAATATTTATTAGATTATTTTGTATTTTTTTGGTAACTCTAATATACCCTAACTGAAGAAAGACTTTAATCTTCTGAATCTGAATTGTCTCCAGAGCGAGTAAACCGCTAAAATCCAATCCGATATGATGAACGTTATGAATGAGTAATTTTCACCCGATCTAAGTTTGGTATTGCACTCAGCGTAGTGTCTGCAATCTCTTACAATGAGACACATAATCTCTGACTTCGTTTTAAATTTAAACTAAAACTCAGAATGCTCAAAAATAAAATCTATGTCAAGCTCACTAAATAATGAATAATTAAATCTCTCAAAGTCCATTAGAAATATTCTCCATACGTTGTTTTGATTGTTTCAATTGGATGATCTATAACGAAGGAGAGACGATTGCACATTTCTTCTTCACGAAATTTTGATCTGAGCCTACAAATCAGGATGTATCATCTACATGTGAAATAATCGATTCATTGAATAATCCCGGTTTAATTTCACATTCGTTCACTGTCGTTTTCAATTCGCCAGAATCTCATCTCAGCAAAAATACGTTCGTTTGCTTCTCCACTCACTTGTTCGTCACCTTTACCAGTATTCATCACTTTGCTTATACGGCCTGAGCGGTAAACAGTTACAAAATTCAAAGTGAAGCCGATATTTTACTTGAACGTCAACGTCGAGAGATTCAAGTGATCAAAAATGGAATCAATCAGCTGTCAAGTAGAGACCAATTCCTTTATATGTTTCAGTTGAGAAAAAAGATAACTTCGTTTAGAGTTGCTGAAACATACAATACTAGAACGTTAGATTCCATGGTATTGCACAATCCACAGCTCAATGCAAACTCGTCTTACTTTGTGTTCCTGACCTTTGTTGAGATTTATAGTAACTGCATTTATCATTTGTTGGATGACGATATTCTCAACAAGTGCGAAAGTTTCTATGAAATGATGAAGTGATTGTCTTTTGCTTCAACTGTAATGCACTTCAATCGAAACAAGTTCGTGAAGATAATCGTGGTCGACCGTACATCAGAGATATGACAGAAGCCATCGAGTTGTTGAACATAGGTATGAAACGACGTTGTATTGCACACACACAACTGAACACAGAGTCAAGCCGTTCACACAATGTTCTCTCGATGCGTCTTGTACAGTTTGCAAATGACATTCCACCAACATCACTCCTAAGCCATTGAACTCAGTGACATAACTATGTGGATGATCTGTTTTATTCTAGACAAAAGATGATTTAACTATCAGTACAATCCATTTGGTCGATCTTGCTGGTAGTGAACGTGTTAATCGAGCGAAGACAGTTGGTGAACGAGTGAAAGAAGCGGGCAATATCAGTTCATCACTGATGGTTCTTCGCCGATGTTTTGAAACTCTTCGAGAAACCCAGGTCGAACAATCCGGCACGGAAACGGCCGGTTCCGCGGTATTCCGGAGATTTCATGGAAGCAGTATTCCCGATGAGTGGATCCGGTAGCCGGAAACGGTTACCGCATTTCTCCATCGGATTCCTGGCATTTTCCGGGCGGGTTTCGCTCAGATATGGCGAGTTTCCTTAGGAATTTAGTCGGAAATTCTGCTTCAGGAATCATCGTCCTCGGAAACCAGTCACAAGGAGCCAGCAAGATAAGCTTGATTTTCTGTCATATACGGTCTCAATGTGTTTGCCGCACTTGTTGTAGACGGTTCCACATCATGAATCGAAGATGACATCGTTTTTCAACAAGTTACTTTGATGGCCAGGGAGGAGTCGAACGGTCCTTTGTGTGAATCCAACTGTTGATGGATATGAAGAAATTCAAGTAGATCTATCGTGTTGAATATCTTGGAGTCAATCATTTGAGCTGTTTTGTACTTCAAGTGTGCAGTGAAATTTGGAGAATCTGTTCCCCACGGTAGCCGTTTCGTTGCTTTTATCTATTTTATTTTTTCTTTTCAAACTATATTCGACTGCTCATCACATAGCTATAAGAACCGCAGTGTATGAAAAAAATAGAATCGAATTTTTCAGAAAAGCTGCAGTCCAGTTAAACTTCAGCTGGTACGCCAACTCCGTAAAAATGACGACCAAAATCAAAAGTAGCAGACAAAAACACACAAGAATAACAGTAAAAAGTTTCACTTTGTTCCATGTGATAAGAGTACTGTTCATGGAAAGATATTTTATCCCAGGTCAACAAATCCGACACGGGATCCGCAACCGTCGGAATCCGATATGGGATCCATCTTCGACGGGTTGCTGAGATGGAATCGATCTTTGTTGAATTGAAGTTCTCCGTGACATTCTAAAAAATTGTTTTAATGAATTTCATGTGTAGGCGATGTTGTGGAATACCGAATCTCGACGTAGTAGATGCTGGTGAAGCCAATAGATTTTTCAATCCAGTCGTAGAGCCCAGGAAGTTTGGCGAAGCACAGAATGACAGAAACCAATGATCCCATACCACTGATAACGACAGCGCTATATGGAACGCCATATATAAGTGCTATTAGCAGTTGGCCCAGTAATGCTCCTATAGAGTACAATATTGGTAGAAATTGACGGTCACCACCCCATAAATTCGTTTCGGGAATCGCGCTTAGATGATAAAAAACGATGAAGCATAAAATGACTAAAAGCGCAAGTGTCGCGGTCATCCATTTGCGATCCACCCTCTTTCTAAAATTCGAACCACATAGACCAAAGCCATTTCGATTGTTTCTACAAATTTTTTTTTTCCTTAGGTCATTCCGCCACAATCCAACTGAAAAAGAGTGATGTTCCGTCCAAATTTAGAAACTTTGCCACCTTCTATCAATGCTATTATCTTTTTCGTTCATAGATGTTAGTCTCAACTGCTGCCACGACTGATGGTGCATATCATCGGTGAGTCGATCGCCTTCGCTGAGCTACTAACAGGTCTCTTGTTTGTTTGTAGATATGAGGTCGAATTTTTGGAGCGATTCGATCATCGATAGGCGTGTTATCAGAAAAACCTCATGGGCGGGTGAGGGTGAACATTGTTGGAGTTGATTTTGATCCAGTCTGTGCATGTCGAAAACGAATAAAAGTTAATTAGTTTTCTTCTCAATTTGAGAATGACTCATTTAAAAAAATTTATAGGTCATCTATGGAGTATAGATGACTCACCGTCATTTGTCTGGAATGACCAGTTGCCTGGATTCTATGATTCATACTGATCAGACCGATGAGATCATAGTACATCATCGAATCGAGGTACATTCTGTTTTTATCTCTATCTCTTTCGGACGATTGTATACACTCTTTTGACTTCTGCTATTAACATGTACTGCAGTGAAAAAAAAACAGTGTGGATCACGCGATCTATTTGCCGATGATTGCTGTATTACAATGAGAGTTGGTCATCATCGTTTTCTTCATAATTCTGATTTATACTCGTTTGTATATCTTGCGAAAAGGCTTCTTCTTAACTAGGGCAACCAAAAGATCCGATTGATGATCACCGACAGAAGCACATCTCGTCAGAATGGATCAAAGCTTCGAACTCGAATAGAAATATTTCTTCGATCCTGTGAGGTGAGTCGAACCCAGGTTATTATGGCACGACCGGTTCCGCCCGGAAGTTCAAACGTAGGTTCCAGTGTTGCGATTTATTTGATGACGATATCCTCAGCAAGTGTGACCGCTTCAAAGAAATGATGAAATTATTGTTTTTCGATTTCATTATAGAGCACCTCAGTCGAAACAACTGCGTGAAGATAATCGTGGTCGACCGTACATTAGAGGTGTGAAAGAAGCCATTGAGTTGTTGAATATGGGTCTGTGACGACGGCGCATGATACATACACAACTCAACACAGAGTCAAGTCGTTCACACAGTGTTCTTTCAATGCGTCTTGTACAGTTTGAAAATGACATTTCACCAACGTCACTCGTAAGCTATTGAACTCACTCATATCATTCTGTGGATGATCTGTTGGATTCTAGACAAAAGATGATTTGGCCATCAACACAATTAATTTCGTTCATCACCCTGGTAGTGAGCGAGTGAAAGAAGCAGGCAACATCAATTCATCACTGATGATTCTTCGACACTGTTTTGAAACTCTTCGAGAAAATCAATCACAATGAACTAGCAAGGTGATGTTGATTTTCCCTCATGCATGGTCTTCAAACGTGTTTGTTGTAGATGGTTCCATATCGTGAATCGAAGTTGACATCGTTTTTCAAAAGTTACTTTGATGGTGAAGGTCGTATTCGAATGACCCTCTGTGTCAACCCAACTGCTGATGCTGTTCGTCGTGACATTGACAATCAACAACAGTCGAACACTGAATTCAGGTAAGTTCATGATGTTAACCGAAGTTATGAGTGATGGAATATATTGTAGTGTCAAGCATTGATTTCGAAAACAAAATGAAGATCAAACTGAATAAACTTAAACAGCAATGCGTAAAAAGGAGAAGGATTTTGTGTCAACTCTAAAGATCAATGAAATGAAAAACGTCGAGATTCAGATTCGTAAAGGTGGACGACAGCACGATGATAAGGTAAACATCATCTGATCAATGGCAACAAACTGGTTTTTCGAGTGCACAATTTCTGATTCCTGTATCGACACGGACAGACAATATGTTCGCGTTGAAATGAGCATCTCTCAGAGCTGTGATAGATGCGCCTTTAACTGACATGTCTATTAGCTTAATATTCTCTGTGTGTTATACAAATGTGAATTTATTTTTGTCGAAAGCGAAGAAAACGAAATAAATGAGTGAATGTATAATGTGAAGTTTATATGTAAAATAAGAACACATTTCTGTTTGACTTTATTGCGAAGTTAATGCGTATTGTTTCAATGAAGAAAAAGAACAACGGTTGGAATTAGATAAGCTGCCAAAGTGCAGCAATAGCAGCAGGTGTCCAACTGGGTAAAGATGTATGTGCTTGAAGGCATCGATAAGTTTTACCTTCAAATGTTACTCGCTCTCCCACGCTGTAGGATTTGTTAGCTTGCCATGGAAGAGCGTCTCCGCTAGGTGCTTGTGTAGTTGCTCCACTGGTTGTTGAAGCAGGTGGATTTGTGGCAGCGGTTGACGCTCCTGGTGAAGTTGATGGATAGGTAACTGGGGCTGGTGTTTGTCCATTGAATAATGCTGCAAATGTAGCACCAACAAGTTCGGCATTACGATCGCCACTTAACTCCCAGAACATAGCACCGCCTAATTGTTGTTGCTTGATGTAATTATTTTTAATCGAAATAGATTCAAGATCATCGTAACTAATCCAAATACCAGTTGATGAATTAAATAAAAATGGGACTTTGGATGCATCATCCCAGTAGCGTGTGTATGTCGGTAAATAGCTTTTCTTCAAATGATCATAATCGAATATACCATTTTCCCATGTGCCCATGGGAAGTTGACTTGATGCTGCTTGAGAAAATCCATTTTGAGCTGTACTTGTAACTCCTTTAAAATCAAGCTTAAAATTCCGTGAGGAAGAATAAAGAAAAAGTTACCTTGCCAACCACGTCCGTATAAACCTAAACCCATAATAAGTTTGGAACGAGATACACCAGCAGCAATATAGGCTTGAATAGCTGCATTACAGTTGTATCGTGATTTAATGAATGATGGAGATACATCGGTGGCTGTTTCAGCATCGTTTTTATATAAAGGAGCATTATGACCAGTCTTGGCTTCCCATCCACCTGTAAATCAACACAATCAATAGAAGTGACTAGAATAAAGAATGCAAATTACCGTGAAAGTCATAGGTCATAACGTTGATCCAATCGAGATAATTTGCCATACCAGGTAAATCCATATCAGCGATACGTTCTGTACCAGCACCTGTTGCGACAGTTAATAAGTATGTCTTACCATCAAGAGTGCCAGCACTGTCAAGTTGTTGACGAATTTCTTTGAGTAAAAGTACGTAGTTTTCTTTGTCAACTGGTCGAACGATATTGCCTGTGAGACCACCAGATACGGGATATTCCCAATCGAGATCAACTCCATCAAAGCCATATTTTTGCACAAATTCTACACACGATCGAGCAAATTTTGAGCGACTCGCTGTTGTCAAAGCAACATCAGAAAATTTACCAGACCATGTCTATACAACCGATCTTGAATACGAAAAGCAAATAGAAAAGTAAACTTACCCATCCACCAACGGAGATCAATGTTCGAATATGTGTATATTTTTGTTTAAGTTTAAGTAATTGATTGAAATTTCCACGTAATGGTTGATCCCATGTATCACCTGGAAAAGCCTTTTCTACATCAGCCCATGAATCACCTAAGATCAATACACCATCAGAACCAATGTTAGCAAAAGCATAATTGATATGTGTAATTTTATCTCCAGGAATATCAACAATATTGTATGATCGAGAATAGATCGACCATGCAGCAAAATACGCTACAATAATAGGTGCGGCAATCATGTCCTCTTTTCTTCTCGATTACTGAAGTCTTCATGTCACATCACCTTGCCATTTATATTGATAGAAAAGACGCATCTTTGAAAACTTTCGCATAGTCTATTCTTATTTTTATCATTTTGCGAATCAGAACCATCTGTAAAAGTGCATTGAAAAATAGTCCAATATTCCAATTGCATCTTATAATCAACTGCTGCCCTCAAAGTTAATGTTTTTTAATGCAATGTTGATTATTATTCCCTGTGAAAACAGTCACATGTGAAACAAACTTTTTCAAATCTTTATATCACTATTTTATATACAAATAATATACTCTTTGGTAGGTTTCTAATGAATCGCACATATAAAAATAACTCGTCAGATTCTCGCATTTCATATAAAAGTATGNGCGATCCGAGGAACGACAATGATGTCTTATTACTCTTGAGACCGAGAAAAAAAGCAAAAGAATGAACGTTTTATCAAATAACAAGAAAAGCAGAAAAAACCGGGGGCACACGCTCGGGCTAACCAGGAAATCTATAATTGATCGGTGGTTGATTCCAAGATGCCGACAGACAAAAAAAGACAGACTATCTCTCAGTTAGAGTTAGTTCGATATACCAATTTCTCCTTCGTTTTTTTTTGTTGTTGGAAAGATCGCTTTTGACTAATTCTATAATAGAAGAGAATCTTCTCAGATAGATTCTTTTTTCTTCGTTTCTATCAAGGGAGATTTTCTGCAAGAAAGAGTTGTTGGATTTAGCAACATTTATCATTCTTGAAGATGTCGAATACATACATATATATCATAATAAACGAGTGCAATTGCTTGATTTAATGTATAATAAAACTGTAGTTAGAATGATGATTCTTCTTCTTTTTTTGCGTTGGAGAAATCGATTTATCTATGTTTTTCTCCTTCCATTGAATTCTTGTTGATAAATGAGAAAAATAAGTCAATCATTCCTATATAATCAGACAGACTGTTTTTTTCCTTCGTGTATTTTGTTCAATTCGACACATTCATGATGATGTAATTAGCACATTCTTCATTTTCTTTTTATCCTCCGGTAAACATCTGTGTTTGTTGTGCGCTGTTTTTGAGGAAAACTACTTTTGTTATTTGTTCATTCGTTCATCTATTTTAATAAGTGAGTCTCTTGAGTGAAGAATGAATTATCATCTTTACTTTCATTTTTTTACTTTCGCTAGTTTTTTTTCTCCTTCTGAAACACGATATAATCATGTTTGAACATGCAAACTGTTAAGAGAATAATGAAGGCAGTCGAAAATGCATAGACAACACGTGAATAGTCATTGATTGAATGTATGGGTGAAAAAGTAGGAAGGGTAAGCGCGCGCCGTTCCCGGGAAACGGAACACACATATATACACAGACACAGAACGTTGTTGTCAAGGCATTGTGTACTGTAACAAGCATCTCTCTGTCGACACAACGACAAAGATGAAACAAATAGGAAAGAAAAGAGAAAGAAGAAGAACGATGTTTTGTCAAATAGAAAGAAAGAGAAAAATGAGAAGAACGAAAGACACACACACACACATATAATCTTATGTATTTTTTATGCAACGACAACGTCCCTTGTTGCATCCTTTGCATTTCTCGTTTGCTTCTTTCGTCTTTTCTAACTAGAATAGGAGGGATACAATCATCGCTGCCTCGCTTCGTACTTGCTTACATGCTGAAAACGACATTAGATTCTTCTGGTCGTTGTAGTATTACGAGATAAAGGAGAAAAGAAAAGCAAAAAAAAGAAGAGAATAATGAACATACTCTTTCTCTTTACTAATTCGAGAGCGAAAGAAAGAACGAGATATGGAAGGAGAGAAAAGGCAGAGAAAATCAATTTTCTTCGTTGAGTTGGGTATTACAACGTGTTCTACTTTTCTTTTTTTTCTCTTTTAAAAAATCTCTTATTCTTTCTTCTTTTTTTTCATTCTATATTTTTCTCTCTGTTTTATATAACTACCAAGCGAGCGTCGTTGTTGCCGTCACCATCATAGAAAATACTCTTGCCGGCGTCGTGCTACAAGAAAGATAAGTTGTTGCTGCTTCTACTACTACGACTATCGCCTTGTGCTGTTGTGCATTACGTCCGTGTTGAATCGGGCTATTCCGCTCTTTCTTACTAACACACACACACACAGAGACATTTCCTCTCCTACCCACGACTGAACAACGTTCTCTTCAATTCACACAATATCCCGGTGTTGATCAAGAAAGAGATATTCTTTATCTACAAAATCTGTGCACAGATTAACATTGCAACGTACACACACACACTCATATATACATATACATAAGTGGGACTCTAGGACAAATTCAATTCCAATCACATTAATATGGTGAGTATGATGAAAAACAACACGAGAAAACGGAAGTGTATTTTTTGTGCATGATGGCAAGAAAAATAGCTTGTAACCAATACATTGTTTTTCTTTGATTTTACCTAAGAGTTTTTGTAACACTTGGAAGGTTTAGAAGATTCATTGTAAAAGTTTCCGTTAAAGTAGAATGTTAGTCGAGAAAATTAATCTTTGTTTTTTCTATTCTAAATATACTTGGTTTTGATGATATTATTAACTTTATGAGAGGAATGATCATGACAGTAGAGTAGATTTATATTTACTACTTGTCAAAAGAGAGAAATCGTATTGCGTCAGTGAAATACGTCACTTAGTTTTATTTCTGGGCGGAAAACATAAAGAAATCAATAAGTTACAAACAGAATCTGTTCAAGTAATAACCATTTGTTTTTCTTATCATCATAAAAAGGCAGATATAAGAAAAGAACACGATCCATTCAAGATAAAAATGGTTCTGAAGAAGAAAAACTTTTAATACTTATAAATTGACACTTCAATAAGTAAATTATATTTTACCCTCGACTGTTCTCAGAATATTATTAAGAAGAAATATGAAATATTATTTCATGAAGAAAAACTTATGATATTTCACATTTCCTTCGATATCATCGCGTGTTAGAGGGCACTAAGACGATTTCCTGAACGCCAAATGATAGTAGCACACTGTTAGAAAAGCTCAAAAATTTTCTCGCGCGCTTTCTTTTACAGCAATGATGGTGTGCGCATCTTAATTGATTATACGTGTGTGTGTGTGTGCAGAGAGAGAGAAAGGCCTCAGAAATAACACACATACGAGTATGTCTCTGATCGGAGTATAATATTGTCAAATGGGCGAGATTTTCATTGAAAGAGAAACTAAAGGTGTATCTTTTTTTTTGTATAGATTTGATATTAAAGGAGCAAAGTATTGTTTTTTACTGTCGACCATTCATTCAATCATTATTGTTGCTATGTTTTTTACTTAAGCTGAAAGAACAATCACATCGTTATTCTGTTTTGAAAATAATGAGTCAAGTGATGTACCTCGGTTTTGTTTTCCCACTATCATTATTATCGAACGCTCGAGGACAGAAATTATCGATTTTTTCTACTTACAAAATGATCCAATCATCACATTTAGGAGAAATAGAGAAACAATCATTCATGCTATTAAATAATTATATTTTAGTACAGAGAAATTTACAATAAAATTATTTCCGAAGGAATTTATCATCATATTAACATCAATAAACGATTCTATTGGGAATAAGATCTTTCTCGGATCATTTCTATGCAGTTTAACGATTTATCGATAAACGAAAGACGATGTTTACGAACACACATACACATTTCTATCGATCTAAATTGGAAATAGTTTATCAGATTATATTGATAGATCAATATAGGAAATCGAAATCAGATTCAGTTGAAAGTTTCTTTGCTAACTTATTTTTATATATGATGAAAAAGATAGATTATTCTTTATGCACTTGTAGTTTCATCTACTTAAGAAGTAAACAAAATAGAAAAAGAAAATGTTCACTTGAAAAACTCTAATTGTATGTTTATTCCGGTCCGATAAGAGAGAAAAAGTGATGAAGTACATTCGAAGGATAAAAGGGGAAAAAACTAATCAAGAAATCTTTTCTTCTAGGCTGATCAATTGACAGAAGAGCAGATAGCTGAATTCAAAGAAGCTTTTTCTCTGTTCGATAAAGATGGTGATGGAACCATCACAACCAAAGAATTGGGTAAAGACTAAATCACAATTCTTCAACAACATTTTTCATAAATCATTATCTTAAATTAGGCACGGTAATGCGTAGTCTTGGTCAAAATCCAACCGAAGCTGAATTACAAGATATGATCAATGAAGTTGATGCCGATGGTAAGTTTATCTGACCAATGTTTTGATTACGAATAAAAACAAAAGCAAGAAAGATTGAGTGTATAAATAGAATTCAGAAGAAACCTTGAGTTGTTTGATTGATTACTTTGGTTTTCTCATTCAGGTAATGGTACAATTGATTTTCCTGAATTTTTAACGATGATGGCACGTAAAATGAAGGATACCGATTCAGAAGAAGAAATTCGCGAAGCATTCCGCGTGTTTGACAAGGATGGAAATGGATTTATTTCTGCTGCTGAACTTCGGTAAGACGAAACAATCGGTGAATCAAAACATTTTCTTTGATTGGATTCCATTTAGACATGTCATGACCAACTTGGGTGAAAAACTCACCGATGAAGAAGTCGATGAAATGATTCGAGAAGCAGATATCGATGGAGGTGAGATTTTCCAGACATATTCTCTTTTCTATGAAAACATTCCTTCTTTTTCTAGATGGCCAAGTTAACTACGAGGGTAAATTTGACTTTAAGATGCTATATTGATCACTGATCTATTTCATATATTTTAGAATTCGTCACAATGATGACGTCGAAATAAGAATGAAATGCTGCCTCGTTTTTTTTCCTTTTTTTTTGTCTTATTCTTTTTTTTTTCTCATCTATTTTGTTCGAATGCGCACTCACTCGTCTCGTTACATCGATAAATCGGATGGATGAACGTGTGGATGATTGCCGTCACTTTCTTCGTTCACACAATCTTCTTCTTTATATTGCTTGTATGTGCGTGATGCGTCCGTTTTCTTCTCTTCTTCTTCTTTTTTCTTCAATGTCTGTCTACATTTGTCTGTCATGGCGCCGCGCGACGCTAATAATATAAGACATAAAACAAACTATACAAAAACATACTCGTTCTGTAATGTAACATAGTCGAGCAAAACTGCTTCGAGATTTTCTTTTTGATTAGTTTATGTTTATGAATAATGAATGATCAACAACATGCAGATATTGAATAGATGATTAATTTTCATTCATAACGAAAGTAATACGAAAAGAACAACAGGTAGAAGTATAAACAGACGTGTCAACTGGGAAATGAATATTTCACATAATAAATGGATCTCTTTGTCGTTGAGAAAGTTCAACTTGACCAACGAACATTCCTTTCTCAGACGAGAATCATCATTTCTACTGAAATTTCATTGATTTTCTATTTGAATCGATCGTTAATAAGATTAGAAAAGCGGATCAAATCATCATTTTTTCGAATATCATTGACATTCGCTTTCAACATTATTTAATAAACAAAAGAAGAAGAAATTCTTTTCTTTTTTTCCATAATATTGAACCTGAAAACATATAATAACACATACGATGCTCATTCGTGCATAGATCGAAGAAAATAAATTATGTTAGATGAGATGTTCTTTAGTCTTTTTTAAAGAGCATTCTTGACTCGATGACGATCCATCAGTTCTTTTGGCTTCGAGAGAAGAAAGACGGATGAAAACATTTTCTCGAGCATATTTTATCAGACAATCATTTATTAATCTAAACTTTTCTACGGGAAGAAACTCTTCTCAATCTTATTAAGCGTGTTTAATTGAGAATTATTCAAATTCATCAAGCAGAATTATGTTCATTTATATTTAAACATATAAATAACGTTGAAGTCATGATCAAGAGGAAGACTTATTGAAATAAGAATAGAAGAAAGTGTTCAAATGGTATGTTCTACTTTTTCAAAGAGAAAAAAAATCAATACACTGTGGAAATCATTCATTATTATCGATAAGGTCGTTGAGTTTACTGATGAGAAGTGTAATGTACGAATGTTTTTCAAAAAATAAGTTGCTAATGTATGTGTAGATTTTGAAATATTTCTGATTCTCTAGCAGATCTCTTCATCCTTGAATATGTGTTCGAATTACTATTTATTTTCTTTGATTTATTTATGTGTTTTAGGATGAAGGACTAACTTGTCAATAGATAAGATAGATCTTCAAATCATCTGATATTCTTTTAGATTGTTGTAAACAGGTTTAGAATAACATTTACTATAATTCGAATCTTAAATTGAATTTTCATAATTATTATTTCAATTACTTGATTTCATCAACCTCAATTGTGATAAAACATAGGAAATGACTAGAAATCATTCCAAATTGCAAAATCTTTCTATTCATCTTAGAAAAATTTCGTTACTGTCGTTGTAGACAAAGATCTTACCCAATACAACTAGCCGTATCAGATTTTGCATCAATGAATTATGAAAACATTCTCAGATGCTGGTATACTATATACTATGAACTTGTACTGAAGTGGTCTTTTTTCATTTTCTTTCTTACGGATGCATTTATCTGAAGAATCTTGAGATAAACTCGAGACAAATTTCAGATTAAAATGTATGATATAACAAATCATTCGTATGAAATGTTATGATCGAAAAATTCCTAAACATGATTTGATTGAATATGTTCAAATCTATTCCAGAGAATCAATTTATTCGAACATAACATTTAAACAAATGAATAACATCGACAATGATTCATAAAGGACTGTTTATGTGTGATAAACAAAACGTGTGAAGTGTGTCTGTAAAGTTACTGTTTTGTCACTATGATCGAATAATAGATAATCAACGAGTTTATTTGAATTCATTTGAATATTGACAAAGGCAAGTCATTTGGAACAAAAAACGATATTAGTTGACAGAAAAATTCACTTGATTAAACATTTTCAATTAAAATCGACTTTTAAAAGATCCTATTAGAATTTCTTTCAGAATAAGTGCTGCTAATTTTTAGAATTTATTGTAGCGTGTTAATTGACATTGCAGAACGTGTAGCGAAACGACAAAACTAGGCAAACTGATTTGATTTCTTTTTATTTGTCCAATATAATACGAAAAAGTGATATTGATTTTTCATTTGAAATCGTTATAGAGATTGAGTAGAGTATTGAATCAAATATGACAGATATTATGCCTTATTACCCTCGAAACAACAGAATTTAAAATAATTTACCTGCAAAAAGCATATCATTACGCTTTCCGGGTTTTTATGCTCGTTTCCTATCGATACATTTGTATACTATTTTTATTCTGACATGATTAATGATCAATAATGTTGAACAAATACTTTATAAATCGTAGAGAACAACGATATTTTGATTCAGAATCAAACACAATGTCTATTTTTATCGAAATAATTGACTTGTAAAACTACTGATTATAATGCAATACAACAGAATCAAATGAATATAATTATGTTCTTGTGAAAGTATTATTGAAGGGAAATGTTCTTGAAACAAGAAGTTATTTTCTTTTTCAAAGAAGCTTTTTTTTGTCTTTACATTATTTTACTAATCTCTTCGACTGATTTTATAACATTAGTGTGATGATTTACGATCTAAAATGAAGCACAATTGAATTCTTTTACTGTAAGTTTATTCATATATATCTTATCTTTATGACTTAATTATATAAAGAGAACAGTAAGCAAATGAATCTATTATTATCAAAGCAATGATCATGACGACCGATGAAAGTAGCAAGCAATTTGATTCAAATAAAAAGCCGAGAAAACGGAGTGTTTTTGATCTCGAACAAATTCGTCATCTTGAACATGTTTTTGAGCAAATTACTCATTATCCAGATTTATCACTTCGACAACATTTAACTTTGATAACTCAACTTCCCGATAAAAAAATTCAAGTTGAACATCTATTCTTCCTTTGATTTCATAATTTTTTCATTTCTTTTACTATCAGATATGGTTTCAAAATCGTCGTGCTAAATGGCGTAAACAACATCAATTAGGTCATTTTGGTGGTTTACACGAACTCACCACCGATAGCCATCAAGACTTTGTTCCCGCTCCGAAATCGAATTTTATTTTAACATCACCATCCACCACTATTCCTACTGTAAACATTCACGCATCTTCTTTTTTCTCTCTGTAAAGAATCTCTTATGTTGAATATTTAGCATCCAACAGTGCAACAACTGGAACAATTTTTCTATTTTGCTTTGCAAACAGCATTAGCAAAATCAAATGAGAATTTCGAACAATCGTTTCGCTCGAAAAGGTAAATTTTTCTCAATCTTTTAACAAATGATTACGTTTCTATCCTCATCAATGATTTTTCGTTGATAGATATGATATAAATTATCCAACTTGGTTTCTTAATCAGTTTCTAAACTCTACGAATTCCAATCCATTAGTTCATCGTTGACATTCAACGCAAGGGAAAGCCACGAAGAGGATTTTCTAAACGTTTTTTGAATATTTACTTAAGGAAAAAAAGAAACATACATCTTCACAAAACATTCGTTTGATGTCTTTTATAAATATCTACCAATGATGTTACAAATGTGTTCAACGTTAAAATCCACAGAATTAAAGGAAAACGAAAGAAAGGATAATTAAATAACGGAACTGATTCGTGTCGATAACCTGTTACTGTTAATATAATCATCATTAAAACAGTTCCTATGTTTAGTACCATTCGGATATAAGTTACAAAATTCTTTTGTTTTAATTCGATAGTATTTCGTTCGTCTTTGAGACGTTGAACAAGCGCATTACGTTGCCGTTCTTTGCGAGTATAAGCAGCGAATTGATCTTGTTGAGAAATTTGTCCCAATTCATTCGTAATCACCTTCAATTCTGTTGTAAGTTTGTCGATTACCGATGATGGTGAATAATACTTATTTAAAAACCATACACACAATGGTGCAGCAAATGAACGAAGACATATGACTAGACTGGTAAAAAGAAATAACGGCCAATTGACCGGAGAATCTGTTAACATTGTTGTACTTTTCTTTTCACAGAGAAATCTACAATAGATATGCGATACATGACATTAAAATAAATAGATAGATTATTGATATTATTATTTGAGATCTATCGGAATGAGTAAAAAGGAATACAAGACAAAGAATAGAATTCGTTTAGCTTTTCGTATCTATTTGAAATCATCTGCACTGAACATACCCTAGAAAAGAAATCAAAAGTTTAGTTTTTAAGAAAATGTCAATTTTGGATGAACTTACACGTGCTCGTCGTAAAACGGAATCTTTCGAAGCATCGTAGGGATGTTCTTTACTCGGGATTTCTAGTATTGCAGGAACAGATTTGTCATGACCTTCGACAGTTCCACGAATCATCTCAGCAATCTTCAAATAGAGCATAAGATTATGAAGATAAATGAAAAACGCTTACATATTGACTAATGAGAATAATTCCTATATCATCACGTATGAGAAAACTTTTAAATGTTTCTTCGATATCCGATAGTTTTGTATCTAATATAATACGAAACTGAGAAAAAAATCGAATCATTTTTCTTGAAAACGAACTTTTATCAACGATGAGAAAGTTTGGTTTCCGTGTTTTTGCACTAATTTCACCAATACCGCCCAGTAGAAAGCCGGTCACTGTCTCCTATTGAAAAATAGTAGTTAGAAAAAGTGAAAACGAATGTTTCTACTAACTTCATCACCAATAACTGCCATTAATTTACTTTTACCACCAAAAAGTGATGTACCAGCTGTGCTTGGCGCAGTATTGCTCGTCATGATGAATCTTTTCTATTGTTTTGATGTTCTGTTCAAGAAATGTAATGTAAAGGTTTAGTCAATATTCTCCGATTGGTTGAATACATTCACCAATGAAAACATTTGTCAATCAATTTCATTCTTCATTGTTTTCTTTTTTTTTTCGATACTAAATTTGTCAGCTTTACTTCTTACGAAACATATTGACTATTAACAGTGCGACCTTGAATTCCAATTTTGCATTCAAACGAGGTGTAACGGTGTATCATCACTTTTCTTCTGTGCATTATGTTAGATAGATATGTTTCGTGCATTGATTAAACTTCATATTCATTTAAAAGTAAATATTTCTCCAGTACACATCCATACGATAAACTTTTTTCTTTCTCGATAGAATCGNTAGATTGAAGTTACATTTGAATATTTAGGTCAATTTGAATGTGTTAAATCGAAATGGGGTTTGGCATTAGCAGCAACTGTACAAATTGTTGTTTCTCTATTGATTTCCTTAGCATTATCCTCATTGTTTTATATGACACCGCGTCTTGATGGTGGCGAAGTCTTTCCCTACTTGGTCATTTTCATTGGATTAGAAAATTTAGTTGTGTTAACTCGAGCAGTAACATCGTCTCAAGCTCAAAAACAGTATGATGACGTTCGAGAACGTGTTGCACATGCCCTTCGTGCTGAATCATGGACAATATCGAAACATTTAGTTTATGAGTTGATTATTGTCATGTTCGGCTTCATAACTTATGTTCCGACGGTTCGAGAATTTTGTCAATTAGCATTGATTGGAATATTGATCGATTTTCTAATGCAAATCAATTTCTGGTTAGCTGTTCTAAGTATCGACATTCGAAGATTTACAGTTGGTGTACGAAAGAAAATGAATCGAAATTTAGAAGAGAAGAAAGAAGAAATTAAGTTATCATTACCAATGAAAATGCCACATTTACCTCACCGAAGACAACTACAGCAACAGTCTCAATGGGCTCGTTATCGTTTATTACAACGTGGAAGTATGTTTCTTGTCCTTGTGTGGGTAATTTTGATTTTCTACAAGTCATGTCTAATTGTTGATTTACTTCATAAAAATGGTAAGAGGAACAACTTGACAAATGGTAGGACTCAAACAAAAAAAAAAACCTTTTTTCTTATTTTAGTACAAATTAACCGTGAAGAAATTAAAGACTATGTTCCGGAAAAAATGCTCAAAGAACATTATGGCTCATCATCATACGATTCACAAAGCACATTTGAAGATCAATTAATGAGCAACATGTCTTTATCGAATTATGAATGGCACACAATTTTATCCTATGATCATTGGCCAACATTGTTCTCGTTTTACAATATTTCATATGACAATCGATATTTAACGATTATGCCATCACTCTACTTACCAATTATATCTTCCGAAGATCAACAATTGGATTTCACAAGCAAAGCTTCCTATCGAAAAGTGAGTTATCGAAATAGATTACACTGTTTTTCGTTTGATTCTGTACTCACACTAAATCGAGTAAAGGTCATTGAGTATATAAATTAAACTAGTTGTGATATTATGTGAATAGATTAACATTCATGAGATTTGTCTTCTTCTTTCTTAGACATCACATCGACCTTTACTCGATGCAACAATAACCAGTTCAAGTAGTTCATTAATTGATGGCCGATTTTCAACAGCACTTTGGGAACTTCTTTTTATTGTATTATTTGGCTTCGCATTATTCAGTATCGTTTATTTTTTCTTTTTTTCTTCGACATTTTCATCGATTTCATCTCATCACCGATCAATATCTTACGTGAAAAGTGATCATTCAATCGTTCCAACAATCTTAACACCTTCTTCATCAACAACTCTGGTTGAATCATTATGCGTCCAAGAGAATGGTTCGATTGTTTGTGTCGCTTATTCCAATGGATCGATTTGTATGTGGAATCCTCAAACAGGTGGAATTTTATATCAACAGCAAAGATATTCTGACAAGATAATCAACCATATTTGGTGTTCATTAATGATCGATGAACATCGATGTTTATTCGGTTGTTCCGATGGACAAATTGAACTTTATCCAAACAATAATTTACCGAAAAACGCCATTTTTTATCATCACGAACTTGGCGGAATAACACATCTTATTCGCGCATCATCAACGATCATCGTAGCTGCAACACGTCGTGGTTATCTGATCGCATTTGAATATATCAATGGTTTAGTTAAAGAACTTTATATTAAACGTCTACATCAATGGCCAATACGAACCTGTCAAGTCGATCTGAATTCTTCATTGATATTTACGGGTAGTGACGATCATTCAATAAAAGTCACACATGTTTCCAATGGTTCTCTATTACATACTCTACACAAACATCAAGCACCTGTGAATTGTCTTGCGATTGATCCAGTAAGTTCTATGAAGAGTCAATTCTCACAAGAAATTGTGCTTTTTCTTTGCTCTTTAGTATCATCCGACGACTTTGGTCAGTGGCTGTTTTCAAGGAACACTATGTGTATGGAATAGCGAAAGTCTTGTTCAAAGTAATGCTAATGCTCATCCATCATCAATAATAATCGATATCAATTTCTGTGGTCATTCGTCGAATATCGTTAGTCTTGGTACAGATAAGCGCTTATGTATTTGGACATACAAAAGTCTTCAATTACTTCATGAATTAACAGGCGTAACATCCACATGTTTTGCGATTTATCGTACAAATTATTTGTTTTATACTCAATTGAATTCTCTTTTTATCTCTGATATACTCAATTCGAGTAAAACATCCACACGACAATTTCGAATACCATTTCTGAATGATCTAAATAAAGATGAAAATGAAATGAATATTGACAAACTAACATATGCATCTCAAAGTGAAACGTTAATTTTACAAAATTCGGATATTATCTATGCAATGTATTTACCCCAACGATTATTTCTTGTCCGGTGATTTGATTCTATTGTTTGTGATATTTATTTTTTATTTTGTGTGATTTTCTTTCTTTTTTTCATTTCTAACTGAACAGATGTGTACAAAAGAAGAAGAAAAAAAGAACGTTCTTTGAAATACATAACAAAGAAAACCTAAACATGTGCGAGTTGTTGTTGTTGGTTTTTTATTTAGTCAAACAATTTTGATAAATTCTTTTTCAAATAGCTGACAATAGTTATTCGACATTTTTTAGATAACATCATCGACGTGTCGGGTAAAATCGAATCGTCACATGATCATTCGATCCTTTTTCAAAAGCCATGATTATCACAGTGGCATTCATTCAAAGTAAGAAAAATCTTCTTTTCTTCTCTTTTAGTCATGATTTTTTTGTATTTGACGAAGCTGTTATTCGTCACTCATCTTAATATAAGTTGTGCTTATCAACATCATCGTATTTTTTTTCTTCCGATGCGGATTTTTTTTTAGGCTGGTTCGCGTCTTACAGCTGCTATTTTCTTCGATGTAAATGTGATGATTGTTTCCCTCCCTCATGTTCTTTCCTATTTCTCGTTTTGTTCTGTTTCATTACGAGAGAGAAATGCACACACATCGACCATATGATTCCGCATTTTTTTTTCTTCTTTCCATATGATCTTCTTTTACATTTGCATATACACACTATTCCCGTTAGTTTTTCTTCTTCTCTTCGTCTTCGTGTTATTAATAATGATGATAGCTTTAGATCTTTCTATATCAATGTTTATCTGTTGTAGTTTGTCAGTATTGGTATGACTAATCCTGAATTTACTCATCAAAATTATTACTGGCCAGGAAGATCGATTCCGAACGTCGCTGACAAAGACGATTGTCAGATACTGCCTCTAAGTTCAACACCAATCCTTCCAACGTACGATCAACTAATTATTCCCTGCCCCACGTACGTATTATCACTTTATTTTCATCGTATATGACAAAAATCGAAGTGTATTTCGGGTACATTCTAACATGTTTGCCTTTCCTTACAGTAACGTGCTAAGAGAGAAGAAAAAACAGCACAAAGAGAGAAAACGAACGCATCGTGATACATTCAGATTATTTCGGATGTGTTTTTTTTTAGAAATAATTATATAAAATCATCCGATGCTATTGTAACTGGTCTATCATCATCGTACTCGTATTCATCGTCAACAAAACAAATCTCATCAACATCTCCAATTCCATTTCAACCAATCCATTTGTTAGCACCATCCCATACCCCACCTTATTCATCGTCGATGTCCAACTCAATGAATATAACACCACGAAAACGTAAACAACCGTCAAATGATTCTTCAACATTCTTAACACCTTCAATTCCTGCGAAACGATCAGCACCATTAACAATGTTCTTTCCAAAATTAACACCACCCGATAGTTCAGTTGTGATGCATCAGAACAATAATAGTAAACTCACTCAAGCTGATTGTCCATTCTCAAACTGTACATCTAGTCAACATCTTGATCTTGAACAAGAACAATTGACAAATGAAATTGATAAATTACGGTCCGCAAAATTGGAAACTCAACGTCAATATGAATCCACGATTGAAACAATAAAACGTTGCCTTCTGATAACACGTTCATTACTTGTCGAAAAATCTCAGTTAGAAAAGAAACAAGCTCGACATAAAGCGATGGAAAATCGGCTACGTCTGGGTCAATTTGTTACACAACGGCAAGGAACTTCTTTCGTCGAACAATGGGTTGATGGATCTGATTTTCTCGACAAACAACGTGCACAAGAACAGTTAGCGCGTGCAAAAGAAAATCTCGATAAAGAAAGAAAAAATTTGATTAAGAAGAAAGCTTTAATTCAACAACAAATGATGGTAACAACGTCAACCACTGATGATATGAATCAAATCCATTTACAAGACTCAATATTCGTTCCACCAACTAAACCAAAACGAGCAAGTAAAGCTGCAACAAACAAAACATTCACAAAGTCAGCTTTCTTCTCTTTTAATTTTCAAATAACTAATTCTTTCTATCTTCTTTAGTCAACAAAAACTTCAGTTTTCATCCGAAAATTCCAATGATGGTCATCTATTCTATTTAAATGATAATCATATTCCTCACGACAGTGGAAATTCCTCTTCATCTTCATCATCTTCGTCATTAGTGTCAAGTTCATCATCATTGATGATGACATTACAAGATTGGTATGAATACGATGAGATTCTTCGTCTTCGACAATTGACATTAAAACGTGAAGAATGTGATTTAGCACAAGATTTAGAAAAACTCGATCGAGAAAGAAATGTTCATATACGAGAATTAAAGCGCTTATACAATGAAGATCATTCAAGATTTAATCAAAATAATGTTCTTAATGAACGTTATTTATTGTTAACATTAATTGGTAAAGGCGGTTTCAGCGAAGTACATCGTGCATTTGACTTATGTGAACAACGTTATGTTGCTTGTAAAATTCATCAACTGAATAAAGAATGGAAAGATGAAAAAAAAGTCAATTATATTAAACATGCTTTGAGAGAATATAACATTCATAAACATTTGGAACACAAACGTAAGTCGAGTGTTGTGTGATGAACAAAAGAAGAGGATTTATTTTGTTGATTTAGGTATTGTGAAATTGTTTGATGTTTTTGAAATTGATACAAATTCATTTTGTACAGTTTTGGAATATTGTGATGGAAATGATTTGGATTTTTTTCTCAAACAAAATAAAACAATTCCGGAAAAAGAAGCACGATCAATTATCATGCAAACGGTGAATGCATTGAAATATCTCAATGTAGATATCAAACCACCTGTGGTAAATTTTGTTTTTTTTCCATATATTAAGAATTGATTTTCTCTTGTTTTAGATACATTATGATTTAAAACCGGGAAATGTCCTTTTAGGCACAGGGAGTCAAAGTGGTGAAGTTAAAATTACTGATTTTGGTTTATCAAAACAAATGCATGAAGATACATTTGATGCTGATGATGGAATGGATCTAACATCACAAGGTAAATTAGCATCATTTCATTCGGTACATGTTTATTTGGTTTTGTGTATCTAGGTGCCGGTACTTATTGGTACTTACCACCAGAAGTTTTTGTTCAAGGACCAAATCCTCCTAAGATTTCATCAAAAGTTGATGTATGGAGTGTTGGATGTAAGTTTTGATAAATAGTTGAGATGAATGAAAAATTTCTTTTGAATGTGTTTTAGGTATTTTTTATCAATGTTTATATGGTCGTAAACCTTATGGTCATAATCTATCTCAAGCGGCTATTCTAGAGAATCAGACAATCTTAAATGCAAAAGAAGTACAATTTCCTAATCGACCACAAGTATCTAATGAAGCCAAATTATTCATTCGAAGATGTTTAACTTATCAAGCACGTGATCGTCCAGATGTTTTACAACTAAGTGAAGATGAATATTTGAGATCGAATTCCAAACGCTCAACAGCAACAACATCTTCACTCCTTTTTTGTCCCAAATAACAAATGTATATTATCTTCTTTCTTGATTTCTTTCTTTGTACTAGTAAACCAACAGTAAATGACGGTCTTTTCTTCATTTCACTCTTTCGTGAAATAAAAAAACTAAACAGACAACCAATTAAAATAATTTGATGTATGAGAATAAATTATATGTAACGCGGGACAAGCGTTACTATGCCCTCTACTAAAAAGATATAATCAAATGGGTGACAACGTTTAACGCGATAATGATTTTCTTTAGTTCATGGATCTAATCATTAGATTATTTGTCAACGACTCGTTGGCTCATGCAATCGACTAATGCGTTATTTGCCGTTAGAATTTACTGAGGGTGGGTAGGATATGGATGATAGTAGTATCTCAGTCACACTGAAACCCACACTCACATCCTCAACCTGAGTAACGCTGTTTGAAGCCGAGATTGACCAAGAGTCTCGGTTCGGTCTCTGCCTGGGTACATTCGTAATGATGATGAAATTCTTTTGTATTACAATAGATCAGAAAAAACGAGAAGATAAAAACGACGGATAGATAAAGGACTTTATGTGAGTATAGAAAAGAAAATCAAGATAATAGCTCGGCTCATTTATATATAACTTTGTAGATAATAGTGAGAATGTTGATTTTTATCCGATAACATCCAAAAACTACACGGTTTTACTCATTTTAACTAACATCGTACAATGAGTGTAATGCGTAATATCGAATTATCAAACTTTCGTTTCGACGTGGATAGCGTTAGTCAACGAGCTGTGACAAAGTGTGTTGATGAGACAATCTCTATTGCTGGTCAGTCAGGTTCAAATGGTCATTTTGGTCCTAGCGGTGCACCTGGACATTATGGATGTAATGGAACCGATGGTGCTCATGGGGGCGATGGGGGTGATGGTACTAATGGATTTGATGGCCAGTCAGGACAGCATGGTACAGATGCTCGACATGCATTCATATGGCTGAGCGGAACAGTTGAAAATTTAAATGTGAAAATAAAAATATCTCAGACATTAAACAGTTCGTCTGAGCATTATGCTAACTTTGATCGGAATGGTGTCCAACATCTTAGTGACGTTAATCATAATTTTCAATTAGCTAATTCGAGGGGGGTCATTCTTGTACAAGCTGCAGGAGGCAATGGAGGGGACGGAGGACATGGAGGAGGCGGTGGGAATGGAGGTAGTGGTGGACGGGGTGGCTCTGGTTATTCTGGTATAGCTGGGCATAATGGTAGGGGTGAAGGTGCTTCTGGTGGAAATGGAGGTCGTGGTGGAGATGGAGGAAGAGGAGGGCGCGGAGGTAATGGAGGCAATGGCGGATCTGGCGGAAATGGAGGAAATGCAGGTGCTGGCGGTCATGTCCAAGTTCGAAGTTTGGATGCTAGATTATTGATGCTAATTGAATTGAATTGTCGAGCAGGACTAAATGGTAAAGGCGGTCACTATGGAAGTGGTGGCCACTATGGTAAGGGTGGAGCTGGTGGGAGCGGTGGTAAGGGTGGATGGGGTGGTAGAGGTGGACCAAATGGCTCCAACGGACGTGACGGTATGCCTGGTACTAATGGTTCTAATGGAAGCGATGGTCACTCAGGTAATCATGGTCGCCATGGTCACGATGGTTGTACTGCAAGCAATGGTTCAATTCAATATGCTGTGGTCGATGCAGATGATAACATAATTGAAACTGGTCCTGATAAGTACCATGCTAGTATTTGTTCTTATACTATTACAGACGAAAATAACGATGGAATCTATGAGCCCAATTCAGATTTTTTTATTACAAATATTGAATGGACAAATAACGGTGCTATGACGTTGCCCAGTGGATCCATATTATCATTTCCATCTACAGAATATATTTCTAGTAATATAGAAGACGTAAGTGTCTTACCAGGTGCTTATATCAACGAACTTTTAGTTGATCATCATCGATTTAAATGCCATCTAAATGCCGCATCCACTCCTTCAATCAATCAACCGTACAATCATCCTGTAAAAATAACATCAAATATTAATCTATTAAATCGTTTGTTTTCTGGCAGCGAATTTTCAACTTCGTTAATGTGCCAATATCCAATTCAGATTAAAAATATTGAAATTCCAACCTTTCTAGGTCCCAATGAACGAGCCATCGTAACAGTTCGTTTTACTAATATATCTACACGATCCTACGGTACATGTTTGGATTCGGCTGGTTCAATAGAATTTATACTAACTACTCATCCTTTATTGAAAATTTTACCTATGAATGGAGAACATACTTATCAAATAACGCCCAATGGTTGTGGTCACTATAAAATGAATGAAGAAATCCTACCTCAATCAACAAAACATATTAGTTTTGAAATTATGTTAGATGACAATGCTTTTGATCAACTTTACGAAAGTTTATTTTGGAATCTTGATTTATTATTGCGTGATATGCAGATTGAACAACATAGAAATAGCATTCGAGTTGTGCCAACGTTTAAATCAAATATTCATACCGATGTACTATTGGTTACAAATTCTCTAGTTAATCGAGCTGAATTTCTTGCATATCGAAAATTATTTCAATTATTTAAATATTCAAGTCAAACGTGGGATGTCGAACGATATGGCGCATTCCATAGTCCCGAAACACAATGGTTGAATACAACAGATTTGATTATTTTTATTTATTCAAATCCTCGATCAACTTTCAAAACCATAAAATCTCAATTACTATTACAACATATAAATTCTTCTGAAAATGCCGGTTTTATTTGTATTGGCCCCTTTCTAACGGATGAATTTGATTTTGCATTATTCGATTACAATAGTCTACACTTTATTAACGATAAAGAGAAAGCTAAATCTGAAGCTACAAATCATCTGTGGTCTACTATTGGATTCGGATGGCCTAGTGCAGATGAATTAAATGAGAAGGCTAATGAAATTAGAAAAAATCATGAAAAAAAAGACGATCATCAATTTTTATATCAAACAGTCTATGATACAATAAATGAAGGTTCTGCAAATTGTATGACCATTGTTTATGGTAATAAATATGTATTTAAATCCACTTTGAATTCTCAAGTCGGTAATCGAGTAATTCTGGTTCCTAGTTATGATCCTTGGCTAGTCAATTCTCACTTACCATTCACATTACAAGCTCAATCGAATACAACTCAACAGAGTAGAGTTGTTTCTGCTAGTATAAATGATATGGACAACCAATCACAAGTTCAAAATATAATTCAACGTGAAATTAATTTAAGTTCGCAATTTGGTAGATTAATATGTGCGATATTATTTTATCAAGGATTTGCAAAATCTTATGCAATAATGGCTGAAAAACGCGAATTATCAAGTTGCATATTCACCACGGTTACACATCGATTTACTTTTAATCAAATTTTAGTTGGCCTTGCTATGTCGATTATTGAACGTGAATATGACCGTGGGACTCGAGAATTTCAATCATCGAAACAATTAATAAATCAACTAGCTAATATGATCGCCAGAGAAAATAATATTACAAGTGATCACGGGACAGATGCCAATGCTTGGTTCTATTTACTAATTCAATCATTGCATGAATATATTGACAGTAAATTTTGGAGTTCTTTTCCTTGGTGTAGTTGCACAAATAAAGCAAAACAGCGACATAAATTACAGGAAATTCTAAGTGATTTACATTCATTATCGCCGAATGAAATTCGTAGGAACAAAGAAATTGATCAAGCAGTGCAAATTTTAAGATTACAGAAATTAGCAGATTTAAAATTTCCAGCAGCTGATAAAAGAGAACATTGTGCTCGACCAATATCAGAAATATTAGCATGGCAACAGGAACAAAGGATTACGGAAACGCAATCGTCAATAGAACAACCAATACCACCGCCACCAGTATTTTATCCAGATTTTTCACCGCGAGAAGGCAGACAAAACTTTTCTACAGCACGAAATATCATAAGTGTCATCGAGGATCTGTTTTTAACAGCTGAATAGTCGGCTTGATTTCTAAAAGTGTTTGATTGATTGTTAATATTTTCTTTTGATGAAATACTTATAGAGAGAATTTGGTTTTGACATTTTTAAAACGATTTTCTGATGTTGATGTAGTCTGAAAGAAGAAAAAGAAAAAGTTATAAAAATATCACACTAGTATTAATGAGTATAATCAGGATAAGGAGAACACACCCTTTACCGATACAAGTTTTCAACGAAATCAATACTCGAAATCGTTAAAGAATTTATTAATACTAATGTCGTTGAACATCACGATATTGATAATCGAGAACTGATTTTCCTAGTCAACGTCATTCAAAAAGTCAGTAAAGATTATGCTTAGGTAGTGCTTTTACGATAGACTATCCGATTAAAGAAAAAGCAAAAAATGAGCAGATATATTACCGGCGAAAAATAAAGTACTGCACTAATCGATGATCTTGTATCTCGTCTGTCCACGTTGAGGGTGCAAAAGGGCTAGCCAGGGTTACCAGTGTTGCCGGTAAAAGTTAGTTTAAATGACTTCTTGATTCTATTCACGATAGGATGATATGATTAAATAACTTGAGAAGTGTGTCTGACCAGTTGTATGACTGACTATGTGCTTGAAATACTTTGGCGGTTGAATAACTGAATTCAACATTTGGCTCGAACAATACTAATTTCTCTCTAAGTATCTCTTCAGTTGTATGTAATAATTAAAGAAAAGCACTTGAAGATCTGTTTCTTAAAAACATTGAGAGAAATAGTTTATACTTCGCCAATACCATGTTTCTATTTAACTGATGTTTATCAACATTTCATTTGGAAACAAGAAGTCTCATAAGATTTTCTTTCTTTTCTTTTTATTATTATTTTAACAATCCACCGGGTGCTCTGGAAATGAGTTAACCAAAACAAAGCTATATATTCCTTTGATTTCTCATCCAACTTGAACATTATTTTTTCTCCTCACAAAGTGTAGCGAATAGAGTTTTATTTGATAGAAAGATATTCTAACAAGATTGTTCGAACGTGCTATCACTTGTTTCACCTCAAATTTATATTTTTTTCATAATATAAAATAGAACACATTTTCCAACGTTCCTCGTCTTCCATTCTATTCTGTGAGTCCTCAATGTCCATGGTTGTCCCTTTGTATACTTTAGTCTCGGTACACTCCTACGAGAGAGAAACCAAGGCATCCAAGATATCAAACAATTTCAGCCACTTCATCTATTGCGAAAAATTATAGCTTTTTTCTTGAATCTTTTCTTACTTAAAACTGAATGAAAGGAATTTTTCAATCCCGTAGTTTTTGTTTTGTTAAGTTATTTTTGAGACGTTTTGGAGATTCTATTTCCTTTTTCCTTCCTCTGTTATTCATCTAGACAACGTTCGATACACTTTCACTTCCTTCTACTGAAACTCTTCGATGATCAAAAGGCTTAACATCTTCTTTCATAAGTAGATTCTTGACACTGTTAGAATATTTCATATATTTAGCTTGAAAATCTTCTTGCAGACAAAATGACTTTTGAAAAACGAGGAGCGATGTACAGAACATGTATGACGATGGTTATCGTTTCTGTTTTGCATATAACTGCAAGTAGTTTACCATATTACTTAGCTGTCATAATATCAATGTGCTGGGTATTCAGAGCCGAACGCTTTGATACCTATTAGGATAACTAAATTGACTTTGTCAGCCGATCTCGTTACCCGATACCCAAATTATATCATACCACAGGTGAGGAATTTGAATGAATTTGATCGAACACCTCGGTACCAGAAATATTCACTACATCCTTCTCAACCATCTTGATGATCAGGGTACCACGGAACGTCCGGTCAGTAGATAAAACAGAACGTGAGAGTGCTGGAGCAGGTCCGATCACTAGCCATAGCACAAAATGAGGGTGCTTCAGAAGGCTCGACCGATTGATGAAGCGTCTTCTCATCTTTAACAGCTTGAACTTCCGGACCAGTCAAGATCTTCTCCACTTAGGTTGTCACCCTTCGAAAAAACGCCACATGAGGCAATTTTCTCCCTTGCTCTTGAAGACATTGCATTCAGACCAAGCTCGTTACCCGCTTGGTATCGAGCAAATTCCTCTGGTTTCTGGATATACAGTTGTCGGTCTTTAAAAAGATATCCAGGATATTGGTATGTCAATATGATACATTCAAACAGTAAACGAAATGAAGCAGTATTTCGATGAGTTCAATCGTTATTCGCTCTCGAATCAGTATTCGCATTGAAACAGAACACATTCACTAGGAATTTATTTGACGAACACCATTGAAGAAACCAAATCAAAAGATTTGCAGCTTTTATGTTTAGGGTACCAATTTCAGTCAAAACTGGTTTGTGGAAAATATGCGTATCAAAAGTTGGAATAACAGTCTGTGTCGACACTCCAATTAGAATCCCCGATAAATACATAGCAACAGGTGCGCTTATTACACTATGTTCTATTAGTCTTATCAGTGAAATCATTGCTGTTGCCGTTGGAATCGGTCTTATTGTAGAAACGAAGGACGAAAATGGAGGAAGAATAGGTGCATCATGTATCTTATCGATTCTTCCAGTTATACTTAATATAGCCGACGCTATTCAAAGCATGATGATCCAATGAAAGATATTCAACAGAATAATCTCTATGAACAGGTCTCTTTTTAATCTCGAAAAACGGAATAAATAAAAGAAAACTTTCGTTGAATATTTCGGATGAAATCTTAAAAAATATGAAAATTTTTTTCAACAAAGACAATAATGACCGTTTCATCAAAGAAAAGATTTTACATAAGTTTAGCGAGTTGAAAAAGTCATTTGAAATTCTTTTACGATATCGCTAAAAATCTTCACTAATTTCACAAACACTATCATGTCATTAGTTATCGGTATAGCGAAGGTATCTGAGGATAAGGGTACCATAAAACCACCGTTGAAAACATCTTATTAGACAATGACAATGCTTTTTTTTCTCATTTGCAAAATATTCCGCTTGAATATGTTTTCAATTTTCTCATAGTTTACTCACGGAGCGACTTTACGTCATTGTATTCTAGTATGCATCTTGAAAATAAAATGAAATAATATTTTCCTACTATTCATTTTTCCGTTTACTCTATATGCAATTGGCAGACAATCATTTTTCATATGTTGGTTATTTGTTGTCGATAGAAATATAGTGTCAATCGCATGTTTACATCAATCATGATCCGAGTCTCTTATATCATCTGGTTATTTTACTTCATAAATGGAAATTCTATGGAAGGTAAGTTAATCTTAGCTGAAAGAATACAAGACTATACAACTTTATCCATTGACTGGGATAAGATAAAATACATCTTGTGAGAGTACTACAGATTATCATCTGTTTTTCTCTTCTTCTTAAATGATTATTGCTGTTTTGAATATCCATTCAAATTGTATTCTGTTGGATGGATTACTGTATCGTCATTGTAGGTGTACGCTATTATTGTGAACTATGTTATAGTATGATAATCATATAAAAATGATTCTATTTTCTCTGACGATTCATAGAAGAAAGAATGGGAAAGACTGAGAAGATTAATTCCTATGTGGAATCGATGCATATGATGTTGAACATCGTGGTATAAGGTGTATTTTCCTGTTTACTTTATGTATTCTAAGGACACAATAGAATAATATAGATCAAATCAGTAACTGAAAAACACTTAGAAGTACAATTCAATGCTTGAATAACGTTTATCTCGAATATGCTGAATAAAGAAATAATTAGTTTTCTTTTATTACTGTTTGCATATGAACTCATTATAACGCGATAAAATTAGCGGCAGGTCTAAAACATAATTACTTCTTTTGATTGTTGCACTTGGAGAGTCGGTGTTTACAGGCTAGCGTGTTCTTAAAAATATTCGCTAGATGAAGATATTTGTGAGTGCAGCTTAAGTGTTAAGTTTGTGTTAGCGAAACGTAAAATATGCACTGAGAAGACATATACTAGTCGTAACAAAAGGTTTCTTTATATGCTTATACTCATATAGATATGACAATTAGAAGAAATATTTATAAGTGTAGACCTCATACTTTTACCAGATTATGACAAAAAATTATGTACTGTGTTCTATACCGTTTGATTGAAATTAACAATATTCATCTGCTACGTACTACGGATGATTTGATCTAATTGAGTAGACCTTCATGTTGTCGAAGTGTTTGCAACACTGTATAATCATATTAGTTCGATAAAAAACTATACCATGGTAATTTTGTCGGATCGACCACTCGTAGAATAGAATGCTAAAATATCTAATCTTTTGTTCATATCATGATATAAGTGATACGTGATTTGCAATGACTTATTGTGTGTTTTATCAATCTAGCTATTTCGTTCCACGAGCCAAAATTTTGTTCTAAAGCAGCGTGGGATCCAAATGCAACAACGTTTGCTTCTTGTGGTGTAATTGGCACACGTCCACATCATGTATTTGTGGACATTGATGATACAGTTTATATAACAGTATTAGACATGAATGTTGTTCAAGTATGGCCAGCAGGAAGCGATAATGTCACAAGAGTAGTTTCTGGTAACCTCGATTCACCGGCTACTACTTTTGTTACAGCCAATGGTGATATTTATGTCGATAATGGAGATAATGGTCAAGTTGATAAATGGACTTTAAATGCAACTGAGGGTAAATCAGTATTTAATGTTCTAGGGCAATGTATGGGACTTTTCATTGATGTCAATAATACTATCTATTGTTCTATGGATATCCAGCATTTAGTTTTGGCAAAGTTATTAGACGACAACTCAAACAAATCAATGATTGTCGCTGGTAACGGAACAGTAGGATCAGAATCGAATAGCCTTAATATGCCAAATGGGATTTTTGTGGACAAGGATTTATATTTATACGTAGCCGATTGGGGAAATAATAGAGTACAAAGGTTTCCATCGAGACAATTGGAAGCAACAACAGTGGCAGGCAATGGAGCTCCAGGAACAGTTTCACTTGCTGGTCCAATAGCAGTTGTTCTCGATGGCGATGGTTATCTTTTCATCGTTGAATGGTATACAGCTCGTGTTGTCGCATCTGGACCACACGGTTTTCGATGCATCGTTGGATGTACTGGTACAATTGGATCGACTGCAGATACTTTAGCATATCCTCGAAGCATAAGTTTTGACAGTTATGGTAATATATACGTTTTGGATAATGGCAATCGTCGGGTTCAGAAATTTCTGTTTTTAAATAATTCGTGCGGTGAGTTTTATGAAAGCAAACAAATCTTTTCTTTTTCTAAGAATTTGATTGAATCAATCTTCGTATTTTGTTTTCTCCATAGATGCTCTTTTCGACACTTCAATTTCATCTTCTGACATGATTACCACTATTCAAGCAGGTGCTGATTGACAAATTCTTCTTGAAAATAATCGATTGTTTATCTTAAAATTTTTAATTTATAGATCCATCGTCGACGCTAGCAACGTTTACAATACCGACTGTAGATGTGTTTGGTTTGTAGTGAATTCTTTTTCTTGTAGTTGTACTATAATTCGTTTTTATTATATAGAAATGTCATTTAATCAACCACAATTTTGCTCGGGTGCATTGTGGAATTCCAATGGCACAACATTTGCTGATAACAGCACGATTAGCTCAGAACTTGGTGGAATTTTCGTTGATATCAACGATTCTATTTACCTGGTAATGAGAAATATCAATGCAATTCGAATATGGTATAATGGTGATGCGAATAGTACAAGAACAATTTCTTCTAATTCCACAGGAATGCTAAATATTTTCGTAACTATAAATGGTGATATTTATACTAGTAATATTTTTGATGGTAATATTACTCGGTGGACGATGAATGCTACTGAAAGCAAGATAGATGCTGTTGCTTTTCAATCATGTACAGCAATTTTCATTTCTCTAAATAACTATCTTTACTGTTCCATGTTCGATACTCATCAAGTAATAAAAATCTCACTTAACGATGCAAATTCTTCATCTGCATGGATTGTCGTCGCCGGTAATGCAACTGCAGGATCTGCACCAAATACACTTTGTCTACCAAAAGGCATCTTTGTTGACAAAAGTTTGAATTTATATGTAGCTGATTGGTCAAACAATCGTATTCAAGAATTTCGTTATGGACAACTGGATGGAATAACATTAGCAGGAACAGGTGCGCCAAGTACGATCCAACTCACAGGTCCAACAGACGTTATTGTTGATAGTAATAATTATCTTTTTATTGTTGATTGGGGTGGCCATCGGATCGTAAAATCTGGACCGGATGGTTTTGGATGTCTATTAGGATGCACTGGTACACATGGACAAGCATCAGATCAACTGTATTATCCATCTTGGTTTGCATTTGATCATTTTGGTAATATCTATGTTACCGATGATGGTAATATGAGAATTCAAAAATTCACTTTGATTTATAACAATTGTAGTAAGTTCAATTATTTATTACAAAATCTGTTTAAGTACGTATTTCATTTAGATCAAACAACGACAAATGAGGTCGTCACAACTTATGCAGAAACATCTACATATTCTACTGATCCTATTTCCGAAACCAGTTCGTTTGTTGGCAATGAAATTACTACACTAGAGTCGATGCAACTTTCCTCTACAACTGAAGGAGATTCTTTTTCTACAGACGTAAGTTCCGTTGAATATGACGAAGATACAACTGAAGAGTTACAAGCTTCAACAGAAGGTCTTTATTATACATATACAAAAAAACTCGTGACAAGCTTACATTCTTTAGATCACTTCTCCACGATGCAATCAACATTCATGGATACTACACAGTACACAGAAGTGACAATACTAAGCACGGTAGAAACTACTAACGATGAAATTTCAACTATAAACCTGAATTACACAACTGAAGGTGTGTATTTCGGAGTTCAAATTTGACCGAAGTCTGGCATTCTTTACAGCACTAATTCTTTTTAGAGCATTCGACGTTTAGTGCGATAGAAACTTCTACAACCGATGAAAATTACTTCTCTACGGATGAGCATTTTACGATCAATACTGATAAGAGTACTGAAGGTTTGTATTGCACATAATTGAAAATTTCTTTTTGAAAAAAACCTTAAATTACCTAGGCTTCTTCTCCACAGTACAATATTCAGAAACTTCCACAGACAAAAGGTCAACCATAAACATCAATAATACAACTACAACAGTACAAACATCAATCGAAGGTTTGTACTGCAGAATGAACAAATCGTTGATATTTCACATTTTCTACAACATTAGAAGTATCGACAGGTACTCAACAGTATACTATGACGACATCATTAGATACTGTTCAACCATCTACAACAATTTCAGAGCTCGAAAATATTTCGTCAATCATACCGGGTAATTATCCAACCTATAATTGTGATAAGTATTTTAAAGATAAATATCTAGAATGTTTTTCGTCAATGATATCATTCCTTCCAAACAATACGTCACTCTTGACACCAGCGCAATATCGCCGAAGTGATAACATTCTGATCAATCACATCATTAATAATAATTGTACACCGTTACATTCATATTTTAAACAATGGATTGTAACTAATTGTACTTCATCATGTGAATTTCAAGTTAATATCAATTATTTATTAAATATAACAACAAATCAAATTTTGATTCCTGCGCGAACTCTTCCCTATGGCGTTTATCGATTGAAATTAGTTTTAACAATGATAAATTCAACGGCAACAATAATCGCTTCGTCATCCGTATACATTGCAATCATTCCAGCAACTATTATTGTCAATCTCGTTCAATATGGTACTTCTGTGATAACCAGTAGTTATGAAAATGATTTAATCTTAGATCCAGGAAAATATTCAATCAATCCAGATTCAGATATATTTGATGCAACTGTAAATATTTCTAATTTAAATCGGAACATTCTTATTATGTTCTACTAATAGAATTGGAACTACACATACTATTGTCAAACAGATGATACGGATAATATGATCATTGATGGCGCATTAATTTCATTTGAAGAGCCAAATCATCCATGTTTTTTAAATAAATCAAGTACGTACTACGAATACATCGTTTACAAGTCTATAAATATACTTTTTCATTTAGATAACAGTAGAGGATGGAGTTACAGTTCTTTGGATGTTCCACAATCAGCAGTGATTATATTTGCTGGTTCACTTCTTAGTAATAGAACATATCGATTTCTTGTGAATATGGTTCATCATGAAAATTCTCATGTACAAGCCAATGGTTATGTATCAGTCAATGTGGAAAACGTTAAACTTCCGATGATTGCGGTCGCGTAAGTTAATTTTCATCAAACAATAACAAACAATGGTTTGTGTTTCAGCTGTGTTATTCAAACGATGTGTTCAGCAAGTCTTCAATATCAATATATCAATCCCACCACGCAAATAGCGCTATTCTCTGTTTGTATTGGAAATTGTACCCTGTTAACAAACATAGCATGGAATATTTATCAAGGATCGATCAATTTTTCGACGAATATCGTCACATGGGTCCGACTGAGTTTATTTTTCAATAATAGTCAATTGTTTGGTAAATACTTTTCTAAGTTAATATAATCTCCTATCCGATCGTTTTTCAAGGAACGAATACGAGAAATTTAACAGTACCAAATCATCTATTTTCTCAATATACGAATGGATCTTATTGGCGTTTTGAAGTTGTTTATACATTCAACAATAAGCCAAGTTTAGGTGCCTTAGATTTTGTTATGAATCAACCACCACGATCTGGTTCTTGCTCAATCAATCCTCCAAACGGAACAACAATAACTTTATTCCAAATTACTTGTTCAAATTGGTTCGACGAAAACGGTATCAAAGATTATTCATTCTACGGTGAATATCTCTCTTCACTCAATCATTTCAACTCCATATTTTCTTACTTTCTAGCCTACACAACTGATTCTACAAAACAAATTATGCTTGGTTTCACTAACACACCAAGTTTTCAAGTTCGATTACCATCGAGTATTACAAATACATCCATTGTAAATATCATTGTCTCTATAAAAGACGGATTGAATGCGATAACGCAAGTACAGTTACAACCCGTGATCGTTTATCTTGATTGGACCGAAATAAATACGTTTATCGATATTGTTGAACATTCAAATTCCAAATCGACTAACCGAAATTTGATAGCACAGCTTTTGGCAAATGGAGATGCAAATAGTTTGACACAAATTGTAACTCTAATATCAGAATTTTTGAATGAGATGAGCGAACAACAAACTGAGAATGCAGTCAAAAGTAATAAAAATGGACTTGTTTCCTATTGCAAATGATTTCATTTCTAGATGGAGTTCCTTTCACAAGTATATCCGTATCATTTTCAAATATAATTGATCAATTTCTCGTAAGTTTGTTTCTTAACTTAACTTTTCCACTAAATCACTAAATTCAGTCTTCAACTACGTTGAACGTATCAACATTTAAAATCTTTACTGATTATCTAAATCAACATGCTGTTGTACGCGATTATTTGATCACAAACATAACAAATCTGTCAATAACAACTTGGAATAGTATTGCATTACAATCATCCGCTCTATCACAACTAACAAATGCACCAAACGAGTTAACTCGAACAACTTCGGTAATTTCCCTTTCAATACTTTCTCTACTTATTATTCATTTGTAGATCTTAGCATCAACTAAATGTTATCAATTATCAATCGCTTTACAATCAATGGCTGATCAAATTTCATACGAAGAGCTGCAAAAAGCTGCACAATCGATTGTACAATGTGCTGCTAACGTTTACACCGTAAGAATAGACGATGGGAATAATTCGGATATATTTCGTTTTTTTTCTCCCAAGGCAATCAATGAACCTTTACAAGACCGAGGAATTATCTTAGATCTTGATTTTAATCGAGCAAATATGCTTCCTGATGACTACGATACTGATCTGGAATCAGTCTGGTCAAATCTAAGTAAGATTTCTCTTTTATGGTCATCGAGACTATCGTATTCGGAGTAGAATTGTTTGCAATTGGAGATGATTATTCTTGGAATACGATTCAACAAGGAAGAAATCGATATTATCAAAAGCAAACAGTAAGAAATCGACATTCAGCTTAGAAAGATCTCGTCAATTATTCTGTTTTTCTATTTCATCGAAAAGGCTAATACAATCAATCATCAATTGACTGAGATAATTTCTTCCATAACAGCTGCATTTGAAATACATTTAAATATCGGACAAAAAATAGTTCTAAACACAACATCAATGTTCTTTTCATTAGAAAAATTATCATTCGAATCGCTTCCAAATAAGCTCCTTCTATTAAACGGAAATGCTCGAATCAAACTTCCAGCAAATTTAAATCTAATCGAAAATTCCGCAGATATCGTTCTACTTCGAGTAAGTCAACTCTTTCACCCATATACTAAACACGATCATTTTCATTTTAGTCTATCATGTTACCACTTGCACCAAAAGGAAATTCTCCTCCTTCAACCTATACTAATCTCTCGACGTTAATTTCATTATCCGTGATTGATTTAAATAACAATGAGATACATTTATCTACTAAAATGAATGATTCTATTGAATATCTCATTCCTCGTGATGTCAATGCACAATTCTCTTCGATAATCTTACAAAATGTAACAGCAATGAGTAACTTCAATCGAACATTCAATTTGCATTATGTGAATTTGACGCGAATGAATAATTTGAGCATATCTTTGCATATCGAAATGTATCCAATCGATATTCAACTTGCTTACATGTTTATTTATAAATTTGATGATATACCACAATTAAATCGATTTGATGGACGATCGTTGTTTTGTCCATCAGGTAAATATGGCGAAAAGTAAATTTATTGTTGGAAATGATACTTTCTGTTCTTTAGATTTGATGAATGATAGTTTTTATACATATTTTATCAATAATGAATATGTATCATCGCATCAATCGATTATATTTGGTTTTCGGCAATTGAATTCCATGGAAATTGATGCACTTTGTTCGAATATTTCTATGCAAACAAATCCTTCCATGATTAGTTTTAACAATTCATTCAATTTTTCATCGAATTACAAATTACGTCTGTATACATCCGGTTGCTATTATCTCGATTCGAATAACAATTGGCTATCCGATGGTTTAATTGTAAATTTCTCAAAATTCAGTGAATACTTTTTGAATGTTAATTCCGTTTCAGGTTGGTTCATTGACAAATCTCGTTCAAACCCAATGTTTTTCAACACGTGCTGAAACACTTGCTGGTGCTTTACATTTATTACCGTCACCGATTGATTGGAGTTACGTATTTGCTCATGCAAGTTTCTCTCAAAATAAAACGATTTATGTAACAATCACCAGCGTTTTATTTATTTATTTCGTATTAATTGTTTATGCTCGAGCTCATGATAAATATGATCTTAAACAGGTAGATCAATTGAGATTTGTGCAATGGTTCGATTTTGAAATTTATTTCTAGTTGGAAGTGTCGATTTTAGCAAGTAAAGCCGAAATGAATGGTTATGCTTATCAAATCATTGTTTTTACTGGTTTCCGTGCAAATGCAAATACTGAATCGAAAGTAAATCTCTCTTCTCGAAACGTTTTTCTTGTCAAATCTCTCATTGTAATCAATAAGGTTCATTTTGTGATGGTTGGAAAAAATGATAAAACAAGCATTCGAACATTTTCCAGTTCACATCGAAAGATATTTCAGCGTGGAGGAATCGATTCCTTTATTATCACTACTCCCAAGTAGATAATCTCGTTCTAATCCAACTGAATTTTTTTCATTTAACACTTTTTCCTTTAGATCATTGGGATCATTAGAATATATACATATCTGGCACGATAACAGTGGTCAAGGTTCAGCTGCTTCATGGTTTTTAAAGCATATCATCGTACGAGATTTACAAACAATGAAAGAGTTCTATTTTATTTGTCAACGATGGTTAGCAGTTGAACACGACAATGGAGCGGTTAGTACAAAATCAAATTTGAGAGTATGGATATGATATGAGTATAGTCAATTAAGTGAGACACAATAGATTTCAAGCCTCCAGAATTCTCACCTGCCATTCTCTTTGTAGAAATCTTGTTTGTAAATTCTTCTCTATGCTCAATGTCATAAATTCGATCATCTTCTACATTTCTCGTGTTTATAGATCGAACGTCTTTTATCAGTTGCAAGTGAAAACGAAAAACAAAATTATTCGAATATTTTATCGAAAAAAGTCTATGAAAATTTGTCCGATCGCCACTTGTGGTTTTCAATATTTAGTCGCTTAACATCAAAGAAATTTACACGTGTTCAGCGGTGTACATGTTGCATTGTTCTTTTTTTCATCACAATGTTATTTAATATTCTATACTACAGAGAAGCAAATCAATCAGAACATATCAAATACAATATAAGTATCACCATAGGCCCATTTTACATCTCCTTACAGCAGGTTTCTGTTGTCAAAACAAAATCCTTTTCAAAATCTTTTCATTTTTCTATTATAGGTCATCATTGGAATGATAATGGAGATATTTTCCTTGATTCCGAGTGTTTTCCTTGTTCAATTCTTTCGCCGTATAAGATCGAAAGGAGAGAATCGAAAAGCACGAGAAATAACATTTCCCTGGTGGTGTACTTATTTCGCATATGGCATATCGTTTCTTTTTATTGGCACATCACTTTTATTTATTCTTGTTCGAAGTATTGAATTAGGTGATTTACAAGTACAGAAATGGTTAACATCAATCCTAGCTGGTTTTATCTCATCTGCTTGTTTAACTCAACCTCTTCAAGTATGAAAGATAAGAAAAGTAATTACTTTCAATGAAGATATCTTGATGATTTAGATATTGATTATTACAATTTTTACAATAATTTGCTTCAGAAAAGAAGATAATCAGAGACAATCGATTGATGATTATATTTTGAATCGAAATGAAGAATATATTCATACGATTGAAGTTTGTCAACGACATTTGATTTTTCTCAAAATCGAGTTGTCTTTTCCTGTAGGATCGTTCGTTATCTTATTTGAAAATTAATCGTTTGAACAAAGCAGAAACCACTATCGCTCGTCATCAACGTTTTCGACAAATACGTATCCGAGCCATCATTGAAGAAATCGGTCTCTATCTTATTTATCTTGGAACTATCTACTTTCTCGCATATTACAATTATAATACAAACGTATTCTTACAAGTAAATCATCTACGACATTTCTTTTTGAATCCAAATTCACCAATGAATGATTATACAAAAGTATGACGAAAAAGGATGATTGTTTAAAACTGTTTGTGTTTTTTTACGTGAATAGATTATGACAATCAGTGAGTATTGGTTATGGTTAGAGAACAGTTTTGTTGAAAATATTCGTGCACAACAATGGTATAATGGAGATGCACCAAGAAACTTAAGTGGATTTATTGATGATAAATCCAATCGATTGATTGGATGGGCAACAATGAGACAATTACGTGTTAAAGCAGGTTTGTATCTGCATTTCCATGTTATGCAATTTGAATGAAGATAAAATTCTTTCTTTTTTAGATCTGTGTCATGTACATTCAGTTTCTAAATCGTTGAATTTAACGTGTGAAGTTGATTATAGTTATTTGAATGAAGAAAAACGTTCCTTTGGACTACAATGGATGAATTCAACTTTAACTAATTACAGTTCATCGATACTAAATGCATTTAGATATAGATCAAGCCAAGAATTGGATACATATACATATGTGGGTAATCATGGAACTTATAATACTGGTGGATTTGTCTACGAATTTCGAGGTTGTCTTTCTGAACTTCGTTCAAATCTTTCACTTCTTCGTCAATTCAAATGGATAGATCAATACACACGAGCTATTCTTATTCAAATGAGTTTATATAATCCTAACATCCAAATATTCACATCTGTTAGTTTTCTTTTGGAATTATTACCCACTGGAGGAATATTCCCATCGACTCGCTTTGAACCTTTCTATGTTCAAGGTTTGTTCGGACGATTTAGATGCATTAATGAAACTCATAATGTAATTATGTTTGTTTTAGGTTTAACATCAATTGCTTATCTGATAATCATCATCATACATATATCATTCCTAATCTATTATATAATTAAAGAGTTTCAAGATATTCATCATTTGAAAATAGGTTATATCTGTCAAAGTTGGTCATTTATTAGACTTGGGATTATCATATGTTCTTGGATTGGTATGGCAATCTATCTATGGCGATATGTTGAAATTAAACGAGTTACGAATCTTTTTCATGATACAAATGGTTATTTGTATATCAATCTTCAATTTATCGCTTATATCAATGATATGTTCAATATAATTATTGGTTTTTGTTGTTTTTTTGGTACGATAAAACTTCTTCATTTATGTCGATTTAATTCACGTTTATCTGTTTTTAATGATACGTTGTCAAGTGCAAAGAACGATCTGATTCAATTTATGTTCATGTTTTCATTTATATTTTTTAGTTTCATGATTTTTTTCTATGAATTATTCATATCCAAAATACTCTCTTGTTCCAATCTGATCCATACAGCAGTGATGCTTTTCGAAATGATATTATTAAAGTTTGATGTTCATGATTTATATCAAGCTGATCAAATACTCGGTCCGATTTGTTTTATTTTATTTATTATATTCGTTGTATTCATCTGTATGAATATGTTTATATCGATCATAGTTGATCATTTTCGACGCGTTCAGAAGAAAGTCAAGTCAAGTCAAAACGAAGATCAAGAAGCATTTAATTATATGATAAAGAAGGTTGTATGTTGGTTAGGATTTATCAAACCGAATCAATTCGATTGTCAAAATGAAAAAGACGAAGCCATGCGACTGGAATATTACGATACATTTCAATATTTTCCAATAGTCACTGATCGACTAATGGAAATACTCTATCGAGTAAATAGTTTTCATAAATAAATAAATTCTTCATTTTGCCGTGTATATTTAGATGCGCTGAAATGAAACATGATTGATCTGACCTTCGAAAATATTAACATACCTTATTCAAAGACTTTCAATAAAAAGAATGAAGCAACATACTTTCTATTGATATTTTGTAAACATGTTCGAAGTTTATGTCTCTTTTCTTCATCACAGTTTGCATTAATGAATTTTGATGAAGAACAGTATTGTTTTTATGCGATGTTTTCATTCATGGTTATGAGTTTTAACTTTGTTTTGGTCACGAAAGCTTGATAATTGATTATCTTTGTATGAAGAATCTCTTTTCACAAAATTCGTCGCCTGTTATAATTATTGCAAAAAAATCGAAGAAAACGAAAAAGAAAACAGAAAAGAACAGTTTTGATTAATAGGCGCAGTACAGATACAACAGACAAGAGAAAGAGAGAGAGAGAAAGAAACGATCATACAGGCACAGAAAGAAATCGATCGTCGTTCATGTATCCGACAAGTATAGTAACGATAAATGAACACATAAGCATTAGTCATAGCGATAACGACAATGATGTTTTCAAAACAACAAAACTGATAGATAGAAAAGATTGGGAAAACGTAGAAGTGAATAGTTCAGATAGAGACAAATGAAAAAGACAAGAGATTCTAATCATCGATAGTTATCGTACCTGATCTCTTCGCTTTTTTATTGACTGATGCTAATGGATGATGAGTAGGTGATGTCAATGGACGTTTTTCACCATTGGTAATAGTTGGAGGAGGTATAGACGTATTGGTTAAAGAGGAAGACGNGTAAACAATTCTCCACCACTGACATAATCTAAATAGGAATGTCAGACGTTCGTTTTCTGTTCTTCTATTCAAAACAATACAAACATACCCATAACTAGATGAAGTTTAGCATCACTTTGAAATGCATAATGCAGTGATACTAAAAAAGGTATCTGACGAATAGCTTCTAAAACTTGTCGTTCGGTTTTAATATGTTCAGCTGTTTTAGCTTTTTGTAAAATAGCCGCTTTCTTAATAACTTTCATTGCATATAATTTACCTAAATCGGCACCGGTTATTTTCCGCACAAGAAAAACTTTTCCATAAGCTAAAAGAAAGATCGATGATTTTCTTCTTCATACAGATACAAATAATGTTTACCTCCTGTGCCAAGTACACGAAGTAATTCGAAATCACTCATATCAACTCGACTTGCATTAGTCATCTCGTAAACTAAAAGATACAATTTGAAATTGAATTTGAACACGAAGACATAAACTTACAATCCAGTACGAGATCGCTCAATGCCATGATTCGATGAAATATTTAATTTTGATAAATATTAATCATAATCATCTAAAACAAATCGAACACCTTTTCTGTTTATATATTCACATACGTATGTTCAATTTTCTTATTTCGGTTTATTAAGATGAGTCATTTAGTGATGGTTGGTCTCAACTTGTATTTTGTGTCTGATTGGAGAACAGTATGAAACATGTATACTAGCGCCGTTCATGTTTTACATTATGTTCATATCAATAAAGTAGTCGAATTCTTCGAAGAAAAAACATTTTTGAACATTGATATTTCTTATAAACAAACAAAGTCTTCATAGAGGAATCAATTAACAATTGAAAATATATTTGTCAATTTCATTGTCAAGTGTCTATCGATTGTTCTAAATGTTGAAAATATACGAATAGGAAAAAGCAAAATTGAATCCGAAGAGAAAAAAAAAACAGTTCACTTAAAAATATGAGGAAAGAGAATGAACGAATACCGTGTAATTGTGTGGATAAAAGAGAGAGAGAGAGGGCGTTCTTAGACGTTAATTTTCCTACACGTCCGTAGATGAAAACAAAATAAATGTCACACACAACAGATTGACGACGTTTAGAAAAATCACGATCGAATACAGAGTTTTCCGTTTACATTGTTTATGAAACTATATAAAGAATCATTAAGCATATCGAATATTCTCGATCGTTGTACAATGCATTGAATTTTTCTTTCAAAAAGGTGTTCATTGCTCAATTGTATGTAATTGTTGTTCATATATTTCTATAAACTGAAATGGATGTTCGTTGCAAAATAGCTGGATCAACATGAAAGTGAACATTCATTCCTAGTCGAAGTATGCCGTTTTGCAAAGATTCATCTGTGATATCGTCTCTAGTTAAAGTAAAATTTGCATATATTAAATTTTGCAAATGAGTTGAGATGAATAACACATAACTACTACGATCAACTGTACATGTCAGTTGTTGAACATTTGAAAATAATTTACAGAACTGTTCCAGAATATCACGTGGTGTCGAGAAATGTAATGTATCCTTCATACACAACTTGTGAATCATTTGATTTAAATATTGACATAATTCATTATTGTTCCACCATTTTTGGAGCACTGTCGCCGATATAGTTAACGATGATATTTGTCGAATTTCTTTCAGTATCTGTAACATTACTAATGGGTTATGTAATTGACATTCATGTAAAACCTCTAAATGTTTTACATTACATAGATATGTAAACCACACGGGGATATTTTCTTCATCGAAAGTTATTCTTCGTAATCTATCAGCGTCAATTTTTAATACTGTTACTTTATTGAATGTATTTCTTTCGTTCACTACTGTATTACGATATCTTTCCATAGGATAAGGTAATTGCAATGTAGGAAATTCGTAGGGTACAGTATAGATCATTGCTCTATCGTATGACAATATATATTCGGTCAGCCAACCATGTACGTTGCACCAGAAATCACTTTGAAACTTCTTTAAATCTTCTTCTATATATCGCTCGTTCGCTCTGTGGAAATACTGAAAACAAAATTTGAAAGCCTTCAAATACGGTAAATCATTGTGAATTACATGCTCCCACATTTGAGCACATCCTGAGTTCCATAGTGAATAAGTAAATAATGTAAAATGAGTTAAATTTGGTGTAAGTTTTAATATCATTTGAATATCATAAAACTTTAATTTAGTCTCGTTGATAACCAAATGTCGAAGAGAATCAACTGGTAGACGAATTTTTTCGTCAAATTCTGCTATATCATTTGATAAGCAATTGACCTGCAGATATTTCAAATTAGAGGTATTGTTTAACACTGAAAATACTTGGTGTATACTGCAGGCATTTATAGTAAATCTTGTCAGAGATTGAAAATTAGATAAAAATGTTAAACCTCCATATAATCTAGACACTGTTAATGTTCGTATTCTCGAATGATCTAAACTAGAAATGAGAGCGTTGTTATAAGCTTCGGAACCAATTACACGAAAACATGTCAACGAAGGCATAGAAGATAGCATTATTGTTAATTTGTCCATATTAATCGATTCGACTTTAGTTAAAGTTAATGATTGTAAACATGGGAAATCAGACAATGAAAACTTCCCGTAAAATGATCGAATATCAATACTAGGATTGCTGTTGGATATACTTAATGAATGAATGTATCGTTTCATCTCAGGATCGATTAACATTTTTTGACAAAATCGTTCAGATATTGTTTGTGGGGAATTTTCGAAATCGGGATGTAATGGAAAACGTCCAATGAGTTGATCAAAACGCGAATTTAATTGATCGAATGAAGAAAACATTTCTAAAGTATTGAGATATCCAAAACATTCGATTATAATTTCATTCGGTAAAAATTCGAATTTAGTCACTGTTTGATTGTTCTCCATCATGTAGTTGCAGAAGACTTTTTCACTTGTAAACACCAGAATATTTCTTCCTTTAACATTTTTCAGACCGTTTTTCTAGTTATATAGTCATCATCAACGAGCTACACATCACGCAAGGGGTTTTACGATGTTTTTCTCCTTTTATTGGAGTTTTTTCCTCTTCCAGCATGAATGTTTTTTATTCCTCAGGTAGTTATGATTATATCTGTAATTATACAACTATTTACCTTTTCGAAATTTTATAGAGTTGTTTCACGCAGCCGGCCACAACTTGATAAGTCATGCTCATCTTAATCTACTCTCATTCTCAGTACTTTTATCAAATTCAATAATAATTCAAAACAACACAGTCCTGCTAAAATACAAGGAGAACGCATAAATTTGACACGTGATGAAAAGAAGGAAGAAAAAAGTCCAAAATGTAAAAAATCTGTTAAACGTTTTACGTGTTTATGCTTATCAGAATGATGAAAATAATTCATTAGTTTACTTACCTATTTGAATAACTGAAAACAGACAAACGTAAGAATAGTAATACTCACATGATGTTTTGTCTGGTTTACATACTGATAATGATCAGTATATTATACTCTAGAAATTCAGAAAAAATTAGGAAATTTTATTCAAAAATCGGCAGATAACACGGCACATATCTTGTGCATTTTCTATACGGATATACATCTCGTTCTATTTTAGATTTGTTCTCAATTGATGAGTATTATAGACGTTGATGATGCTAAAAATCGTCTTCAAGAATATTGTCAACAACGAAATCTGCCATTGCCAATTTACTCTCTGATAGAAAAAACAGGTCCTGACCATTCTCCTATGTTTCAAGTGAGAATAGATTTAGAAAATGAAAAATTATTTTCTCTTGTAACGTAGGTCGAAGTAATAGTAGATGGAATGACATTTATTGGTGATCGGTCTACAAAAAAGCGAGTAGCTGAAAAACTTGCTGCATCAGAAGCATTAGATTATATTAATAAACCTCAATCCCCTCCGAAAAAGATTGTTAATCAACAAACCAAAGATCCATTTACATTGTTTCAAAGCTTGAATCTCGAGGATGAATCAACAGAAATTGAATCAATGGAATATGATTAATTGGTTTAAAATTAGCATTCGATTGTACATGAAACATTTTGTAAATCTTCGTTTGTTTCCAAGCATCATAGGATTAGTAAATATTATCAAAATACACTGAAAGGCGTTGTGTCAACTGATTTAAATCATAAGGGTGAGGATTTTTTTCAATCCAAAATAGTTTTTCTACTGAACGTAATGCTGATAAGAAACTAAAATCTATTGGTTACATCGAGGAAAGAGAAATATTTTGAAGAAGTTTTCTGTTGTGACAATGCTCTCGCTTATATTGCAACCACTATGTTGACGTTTGATTTGCGTTATATGAGTTTTAAATTGTGTATCCAATAAGATAAGCAAGTGAGAGAAGAGAAAATTTTTGATTGACACTAGTTTCCTTCCTTTAGAGCACATATATCCATTCTTCACCCTCAAGAATATTTCGCGAAGCATTGTACACAACCAATCTACGGCATTATTAAGATATTTTAATAATCAACTGCCTTTTTTTAATTAAAGTTTGAACAAATAGGGAAAAGTAATACGGGGATTTCTTTCAAAAATAATCATTACATGAGCATTGTCCACTTTTGTGAAAATGATGAATTCGATATGCGTCTCGAACAACGATTTCACACCTTCGAATTGCAGCGATCAACTTTGTTGCTCGATCTGTAATTAAAGCTAACTAATAAATTAACGAAATATCAAATCAGTACTTACGACAATCGCCGCAAACCCGTAAGTTCTTCGTGACTTGAATTCTGCTCGTATGTGGATTTGCTACAAAGTTCCATGCGATGGCCAATCGTTCACTATGACCACATAGAATCGATGCGACACTTTCGTCATCATCCATTGTTCGTGTGATCCAACTGGAATCATATTCATGACCATGTGCGATTAATTCCTCAGATATTTTCTGCACTTCATGATAAATTTCAACTGATCGAGGATGGGATCTGTCATGAGCACGAAATTCCTACGGTCGAATCGTTTCACATTACTCCAAACTATCATTCGTGTTTGAACTTACATAAACTTCTCCATCAACTACAGTCATGGATTTACCAACTTTCTTCTTTGCACCTGATCTATGCAATCCCATTCGAATATCTGATGATTTTTTAATGTCGCCGATTGATGCATACGTATTTGCAAGAAGAACTGAAGCAGATGTTAACGAATCTTTTGTAAGAGGAAACAATATTTTCATTCGATTATAGACATTTTGTGCTAGATCACTATTTTTTTCATTTCGAGCGCCTGACAGCAATGCCACTAAACCGAGTAAAAAAAAGACATTTTTGATTCTGCACCGAAAGAAATACTACAAAAGATGCCTACTGTACATGACTATTTCAGGTGAATGTGTATGTTCGAATTGATCAATCAATTCTTGTGCCTCGACAAATAATGATGCACGACTAAGACAATCGACCTACAACGAAAAATACTTTTCTCTTGGAATAAAATGATTATCGATCAGATACCATAACTGTCGTGATTCGTTCTGTTTTCAGTTTGATAACGTGAAAAATCGAACGAGCTTGATCAGTAAGACCAGCGTGTGAGCATCCATTCAATACACAAATATAAGTCGCTTCACTAATGAATTCTTCGGGTGTTTGGGAGAAAAGCTCAATGGCTTGCATGCTCATTCCATTTAGTGCGTAACTGTTAACTAAAGATAAAAATGTTGTTCGAGTTCCTCATAGAAAAAGGTACGTCAACAATGCATACTCATCGCTGTGTATGTAATTCCATCTGGATTGGAACACTTTTCAAAAATTTGTCTTGCTTTATCGACACATCCAGTTTTACCCTAAACGAATAGTTCTTTATTTTAACATTCGAGGGGAGAAGAAGAATAGTCGCGCAACTAACCCACATATCTATTAAAGCATTCTGAATCTTCCGATCGATCAAAATAGATTTGGGAATTTGTTTAGTTATTGATTGAGCTAATGGATAATCACCAATTAGTGATAGAGCTCTTATGACACATAAGTAAGTGATGACACTGCCTTCAAAGCCTTCGTTTTTCATTTGATAGAATAATTTGATTGTTTTTTCTGCTTGATTTTCATCATTGAATCCATTCATTAAATTTCCATAGTTAATCACCGATCTTTTTATTTTCGAAAAAAGAATTTCCGCACTTGCAGTATCTCGACATTTAATCAATGCATCCAATATAGAAGTCAACAGATAATAATTGGAATGAATAGTTGATGGCATTGTCCGATAAATCTTTTTCACTAAAGTCAAGGCCTCGGTAGTTCGTACTTGAGCACAAGCGTTAAATAAAAGATTCAGAACGACATGATCAGGATGTTCAATTTCGTTAAAAAGATCAACGGCTCTATTTGCTTGATTATTTGTCACATAACCTTTCATCATTGCTCCATACATTCCCATGACTTTTTGTTTCGATGCATTAAATATCGATTCTGCCTGTTCAACATCTTTACATTGCATCAAGGCATCTAATACAGATGTTAAAAGATTTGTATTGGAACAGAATGACGAGGGTATTTCTTTCAAAACTTTTCCTGCCAAATGTAAAGCTTCCGTAGTCCGTAATTGAGCGCAGGAATTGAAGAAAATAATAAGAACGATGTCATCAGGATGTTTGATCTGTTTGAAAAGATCAATAGCTCTATCTGCTTGATTGTTTGTAACATAACCCTTCATCATTGCTCCGTACATTGACAAAACTTTTTGTTTTGTTGTATTAAAGAATATTTCCGCTTGTCTTACATCTCTACATTGCATCAATGCATCCAATAAAGAAGTTACAAGACGAGGATTCGAATAGAATGATGATGGTATTTCCTTCAATGCTTTTTCTATTAAATTTAATGTTTCTTTTCTACCTAGTTTAGCACAAGCATTGAAGAAAATAATGAAATTGACTGCATCAGGTTTTCTAATGTGAGTGAAAATTTCAATTGCTCTATCTGCTTGATCATTTGTTATAAAGCCTGAAATCAAAAGTTAATTAAATATGTCGAAGCACATAGTACGTCTCACCTTTCATCATTGTCGCACACACTGATGCTGTTCTTTGTTTTGACTCATGGAATATGCTTTCAGCATGTTTAATATCTCCATGTTGCATTAATGTGTGCAATAGAGATGACAGAAGGTATTCATTGTTATAAAACGACGCTGGCATTGTGTTTAACACTTTTTTCACTAAATTTAATGCTTCTGATGTTTCAAGATGTGCACACGCTTGAAAGAAAACAATCAGATTTGTGTCACTAGGAGTCTTTATCTGATGGAAAACTTCAATTGCTCTATATGCTTGATTATTTTTTAAATAACCTAAAATTTGAATGCCTTAGACAATATTTCTATGCAGATCGAATGTATAACCTTTCATTATTGCAGTATACATTGGTGTATCCTTTGTCATTGACTTTTCAATTAATCTCTCAGCACTTGTAACATCACCACAATACACTATGAAAAGAGAAAATATGACAGAAAACCTCATCTGATAACTTACTGTACATCTGAATCAATGCTGTTAAGATGTAAGGATCATCTTTTATACGTGATGAAACACGATCATGAATTATTTTTCCGCATTGAATATCTTTTAAGTGAGCACACGCTTTCAAAACTTGTGTGATAGTCAAACTTGATAAATTTTCACTATTATCTTTTCGATATTTTTCAAATAGTTGAAGTGTTTTCGAAAATTGCTTATTATCATTCAATAGTTTCATTTGATTGCTCAAACTAAAAACAGAGTTGGTAATTGCTGATCGATTAAAAATGATCATCGAAAATGATGGATGATAGTTTGCTATTTTGGTCAACATCAGACAGACGATTTGTTTTATCAACTATTTCGATCTGGAATGTAACGAGATGAATTGATTCAGTTCAGCTCAAATGAGAATATCGAAATCGAGACCGTTTTCCGAAATTCATAAAGTAAATTCGAGTAAAACTATTGACCAATCGAAAGAAATGACTGAAAAACAAAATAAACCATTAGAAATCTGGAGGCATGCCTTAGCATCAATAATCAGCGTCATCTGCCATGCAGTTTTTATTCACATATTCGAATAGAGAATAATGTGTCATATCACACGACATAGTGATATGAACAGATCTGATCAATGAGTCAAAAGAAATTCTTCAAATAGAGTACTTAGGTTTTAACAAATAATTATGATATGATCTAATATTATGAATCAGGTTTTTAACTTAATTTTGGCATAAAATTGCAAGATAGGTGGGGAATGCATACTTTGGTCATGGGCCTTTCCTTTCGTTGATACAGTTTCTCTTAGAACGAATGTTTACGCTCTTTCATGTTAAACAAATTTTAAGATTCACAAAATCAGACTTTTTCAATTGCAGAAATATAGTGAATCCAGATTAATCATTTAGTTTATCATGTGGCAAAACACAATCGTGACGAAGAAGAACAGATCTACTTTCACAGTATATCAGTGATGACAAAATTGATCGAGAAAATACTTGTCGTACGCGTACTCGACAGTCCTTTGGTTGCGTTCATACTCATGACAGAACGAGCAAAGAAACAAACGCAAATAAATAGCACGTTGACATTTAATCCACAACATTGTGTGATAGTATAAAAGGAGAAAGAAAAACATTGTTGTGTCCTATATAAAAATTGCTTTGTCACGATGGCGTCGACAGCTTTTCATGCTAAATCAACTGCACTTGAAATTGTTAAAGGACTTAATGCGAAATTAGACGATAAAATCGTACTTATCACCGGTGCCACATCAGGTAAGAAATCAATTGAAAACTTCATTGTAGAAATAGCTTGACCTTCTGTTAAGGCATTGGTATTGAAACAGCTCGTGCATTAGCATCTGCAAATGCACATGTAATCATAACCGCACGGGATATGAAGAAAGGTGCACAAGTTGTAGAGGATATTAAAAGATCTACAAATAACAATAAAGTCGAAGTGATGGAAATGGATCTTACTTCACTCGAATCCGTCAGAAACTTTGTTAAACAATTTCAAGCTCGTAAATTACCAATCAATATTCTCATTTGTAAGTGTATATTTGTTTTGACTAACCTCTCTTTGATCGATACTTCCAATAGGCAATGCAGGAATCATGGCATGTCCATACACAAAGACGATCGATGGTTTCGAATCACAATTTGGCGTTAACCATCTTGCGCATTTTCTTCTAACAACCAGTCTCATACCTGAACTCAAAGCTGGCAACCCATCACGAGTTGTTGTTGTTAGTTCATTGGCAAATAAGCGTGGTGGTATCCATTGGGAAGATGTGAATTGGGAGAAAAGTTATGATAAATGGTTAGCTTATGCACAAAGTAAAACGGCGAATATCCTTTTTGCTAAACAATTGAACAAGTTGTACGAATCACAAGGAATTAAAGCTTATGCTTTACACCCAGGTGGAATAATGACTAATTTACAAAAAGATGTACCGGTGGAAGAACAACGTGCAATGGGATGGTATAAAGAAGATGGATCACTTCTTGATGGTTTCAAAAATATCGAACAAGGTGCTTCGACTAGTGTTTACGCTGCGTTAGCACCTGAACTTGAAAATCATGGTGGAGAATATTTAGAAGATTGTGCAATTAGCAAAGGAGTAAACACAACTGAAAGGTTTTTAGGCATGGCACCGCATGCAACAGATATGGAAGCTGCTGAACGTTTATGGAAGTTAAGTGAACAAATGGTTTCTAGTAAATAAAAGAATGAACTATGACCATTTTCTAGTTTTATCCAAGAAATAATATGCTACTTGATTTTAGTACTTATACTTCTACGAAATAAATACATCGCCTTTTCTTTTGTATGAGAAATATTAAAAGAGTTCTTCTATCATCATTATCTGACGAACGCCGAAGAGGCGAGTGAATACATAGTTTTATGTCAGCTACAACCTCAATCAATCAATGAAAACGAGAAATCTTCCTTCATCCATAGTCTTGTTCTGCAAACAATGTGAAAATGGGTCATTGAGTAAAACAATTTCATTTAGATTATGTAGGTTGATGACAAGAATCTACTAACGGTTTCAAGCATAGAGATTTTCAGTGCTCACGCCTCCAGAAAACTGTATGTATACCAGTTAAATTTGTGCGATCAATGTGTGATCCACGAATCATGAAGGTATCCAACAGCCCCTTTGACGTAATTTCGATTAACATGGATGCCTTGTTCAATATATATTTGATTTTTTCTTTTTCATTCTCTTCGATGTTAGCATATTATCACTATTTTCTCTTACCCAGGTCGATCATTCCGGCTGGAATTCGGCGGCAAGGAAATCGTTGGAAAACGAACTTAACCTGTCGGAACCGGTCAAGCCATGATAATCTGGGTACTTGTTGCCACGGCTAGTGAACAATATAACATCGTGTATCTCTCTTCGATCTAGGTATATTGTTTTCAGTCGATATTTTGCTATAGTCAGGCACCAAAATCATTCCGATATCACTCTCTCGCTTGTGTACGCGCGGGTATATAAAAGACAACATTTTTCATTCGTCCAACATACATGAAAAGTGGGCGATCGAGCACACAAGTTAGTCGATTATTTGCGTGCTGTGAACTTTGTCCGTTGTTGTCTGATTCATTCTTTCTTATGCTCATTGTGCTCTTCCTTCGCGAGAAAAGATAGATCAATTTTCTGAGCGTAGAAGATCATATTGTCCGTCTCAGACATGACTGTTCTAGTACAGGAAGAGGTGTTTTTCTTCTGCATAGAGTAGTTTCCATGAAAATACAATCCTCTGTGTTTTTTTTGCAGAATCCACAAGATCGAGTTCGGATCATATCGGTCATCGAAGGCGTAGTCAACGCGTCTGGAACCTGCCGGAACTTGCTGGAATCGAGAAGAGCTGTACCGAAACCGACTCAGATTTCAACGGATCCAGTCGCCGGAACGATCGACCTGGGAAACTGCGACAAATCGATATGGATGTTGGTTGAGATATTTTCCGTGGCAAATCTCGTGAGCTTTAATTTAAATATTTTTTCGGCTTTCATATAATCATTCGCATGGATATTTTCTTTAAAGGACTTGTCATTGGCAATCACACAAGTAACCGAAAGTGGCAGCGGAGCAGGAGGCGTTATATTTGCTACCAATCGTGATTTAGCCGATGTTATATATCGGGTAAGTTTGTAGTTGTTGTTGCTGAACTTGATGTCGATGAACATGAATCAGTTGATCGTTTTGTGTAACGACGACGAGCAAGAAGGCCATCGATAACAGATGATAATTGAAATTGACCAGCTTTTTGAAATGCACGCATCGTCACATTGACAGCACGAACCTTGACGAATAAATATCATTGTTTTATTCTATCCTGGTAGTTCAAAAATAGAAATGAACAACTTACAATCAATGATCGAGATGCTTGGCAAAGAACATTGGGCGTCACCAGATGATCATGCATTGTTGACATACTAGAGCCGCGAAGCCACGCGTTCCGAGATAAATCTTTAATTGTCAAACGTTTCGATGGGTCAACTGTTAGTAAACCTTTGACAAGATCTTTTGCTGCTTGTGACACATTCTTCCAGGCTAGTGTATCGTACGATAATTTCGATAAACATGAATGCCTTTTTTGATACAAATTATATTTGATATGTTCTTTTTCCTTTATTTCTCATTTTAGCATGTTATCACTATTGTTGTCTTACTAATTGTCATGGCTATTGACTAATATAACATCGTTTATCTTTGTTCGATCTACTGCTAATCAAACATCGAAATCACATTATGCGGCACTCACGCCGCTCTTTGATGTGCTGTGAATTGTATCTCGTTTAAATCGTCATTTTCGAGGAAATAGGACGATACTCAATTGTTCATCTGTTGTACTATATCGTCATTGTTTGTAATATTCATGGTACGTTTTTCTCTTTTCTCTGGTCACTATGCTCTTGCTACCTGAGAAAAGATAGGTGGTTTTTGTTAGCGTAGAAGGTCACATTGCCCTTCGAAGATAGGGTTGGTTGTTCTACAAGAAGAAGAGATGTTTCTCTTCTGTGCAAGCTAATTTCCATAAAAGGACAACTTTTTGTTTTACAGAACCAAACAGATCGAGCATGGGTGATGGCAGGAATCGAAGGTGTTATGAATGGTATTAACCCATCTGGTATTAATACAAGTGTTGAAAACCTATACATGTACAGCTCGAAAATTGAATTCGAGTATTCACCTATTGGAGTATTCGGAGGTTGCTGAGAGATTATTTCGATTCAAGGTGCTGCGGAAGGCCCGGTCAGCGGGAATTCTCAAATAATTGAATACTCGAATTCAAGTTTCGAGTTTGACACTATACTGTTACAAACATAAGCCCAAGATATCTTATTCAACGTTTAATGTGAAAAAGAATGAAGGATTTTCATTTGTAGAAGAGAATTTCTCTCGAAAATATTTCCTGTTCTTCAAGATCAAATGAATGAAATATTTGTCGAAATGCCTTTTCCTTCCGCAGTACTTGAGCTCGATTTTTGTATATGATCGTCAAATATATAACAAGTAACGCTCATTCTTCGGATTCGCCGACCCTTTTCGGAAAGAATTTTTCTGCTGCTGAACATGTTCAAACGGTTTGAAAAACGCATAAGACACTGCGATTGTCACTAGTCCTCAGCTGAATCATGACACTGTGTCACGCATTAGAGTTAATAGAAAGCAAAGATTGTTCGTTTTTCATGAAACGAACCAATTAGGAATTCGTCAGTGAGTAGTTGTACAGTGTGAGCTGTGTTTCACAGCTAACAATTGCTTCTTTTCTATTCTTTCAGGAAAATAATACCCTATCGAATATTTTCATTGAGCGTTCGCGAAGTTCCTTTTAAAAATCTTTGATTCTTGATAAGTTTACCTCACACGTATACTCTACGGCGAATCTGGAATTCTAACGTCTAGTCGTTGACGCATATACAATCAGTTTGGTATTTCCAGTGCAAAAAATTAACCCGTTCATAATCGGCCGGTTTCTCATCAGAGGTAGTGGGACTTCATCGGATAGTGTAATCTAGATCACGCATTTCATTCTTCTTTCCGTTTTTACTAACGAATAATCAGGTAATTTCCTTCATCAAACCGTATCAACCAAGTTTCTTTATAAATCATTCAAATTATCTAGTTCTTTGAATTCTCACTTTCAACCTAACTGTTCATATAAATGTCTAACCGTTGGTGAATCTGGCTTCCATCGTGAACTCAGACCGAACCAGCTCTATACGGTACGTTCCATATATAATTCATTTTCATCTTCATCCAGAGAAAATGTATGAGTTGTTTCTCAAACTGTCCAAGACGTCTACGAAAAATGACCGGACGACAAGAGACCTATAATAAATTATAGATACGCGAATTAGTCTAAGTCAGGAAAATCGACTTAACTGGAAGTGTAAAAGATATTGAAGTTCCTTTTTACTGCACACTCAACTAAATAAAATAAGTAACGAGGCACAGTAACCGCCAGCCCGTTTCTGAAATGATATCATCAGATCCTTTTATTCCTCAAAAGAAAGAAATAGAAATTATTTCATTTGAATAATCCACCCATTCGATTATTTGTCCCGATGTTTTTCTCATACTCTTTTCGCTTCTTGGAATCTTCTGAAACTAACGCCTAGTCGTTGATACATAAAAAGTATCTATGATTTTTTCATATACAAAAGCATCTTGTTCATACTGAGTCGGTTTTTAATCGAAATGATCAAAATTCGTCAAAACTGTGATTTACAGTACATATTTTATTGTTCTCTTCAATTTAAGAAGTTGGTAATCCGCATAGCTTATTCTCGAAGCTCGAAGAGATATCAATCATGTTTCTTAAAAAAAAAGCCACTGGTACCAGTTGCGACTCTTGTCAATTTCATCTTTCGAATAACTTTCAAAAGGAACGCCTAGTTGTTCGTCGACCTCCCTCCGGCCGACTATTCAAATAATGCCGTACTCCCCGTCCCCTACAGCAAATTGTATCCATATGGATACACCCGGCTGGAAAGGGTTAAACTACTAATATCATAATGTAAGATATACCAGATCTTTTTGTGTAAGCTCCATAAACTACTGTCTTCGTACATATCACATTCGGGAATATCGCCGAAACAACTATCTTCTACAATAGAATTTATAAAACACACAGAAAATGTCTCTTTTGAATGAAGAAAGGAAAAAGTCTAAGATTGATGAATAAGAAAAAGCTAAGCTCAGATTTGAATTCCATGACATCGATTACCCTTCGGTCAAACCTTAGTGTGAACATTATTATTCTATGCATAGTTAATAATAAGTTAATTATTAGTTAAAATAAACACCAGATTCGAATTCATCGACGTCATTTACCTCTCGGTCAACGCTTACCCTGCACATTAATAATTTATCTCTAGTTGACTTAGAGTTAATTAATAGTTAATAATCAGTTAAAACTAACTTCAGATCCGAGTTCCTCGACCTCGATTACCTTTCAATCAACCCTTATCAAACAAATTTCTTTTTGCAAAAAAGTGAACCGTTGTCGCAAAAACAGGACAGATAGTTTTTACGGAAAACTAATATCGCATTTGTGATCCTCAACCTTGATTACCTCAGGTGAATCATTTCTGTATGGTCATCTCTAATGTTTCATTGGTTCATAAAAAGCTGCAACCTGATTGGATTGGACAAACTCACGAACATTTAGCTTTTGAGTCACCGATTTTAGAACGCCATAACCCTTTCTTTCCGAAAAGCGAATGCTTGTCCATCAAACCCTCTCAGAAACAAACTCCAAACCGAGACGATCACTCATAAACGCATCGCACCATGGCACCTCTCCTACCAAACACGGCTCCGTTACACCTTCGTAACTACACCATTCATTCCCGCCAATGCACATACATTTCTCACAGAACAAGAAGCATTAACATTCAGGTCACATTCACTTCTCACAACAAATTCATTTTCTATACCTTTACTACTCCTCAATGTCACGAAAACCACACAACCAATGATATCTACTAAGTTCTCAATCCAAAAAGATCCAATATACGCAAAGAACCATCAGATCCACGATCACTTGTGTTTCGATCGAATCCACTGCCAGATCTACACCATCTTGACGCCCTGAGAATCAGATAAAACAGAAATTCCCAACCTCGCCGAACACAGCATCAATATTACCGTATTCATTCGCAACGCCTCGTCGATACGTTGCGCTATTTCCCCATCCTTTTCGTTATACGTAAGCTTTAGTGTGGTGAGTGTCTGTACATGTGAGATAGACTGCGTGCTTCATATTGTCTGAAATGAGATCAATATTACTGTGTTGATTCGTAACGCATCCGCGATGTGTTGTGCCCCATCACCGCCGATTCCGTTGCATTCGAGGTTTAGTGTGCTGAGTGTCTGTAGGCGTGCGAGAAACTGACTGCTTCATCTTCTGTGCTATGAGATCGATGTTACCGTATTCGTTCGCAACGCATCCGCAATGTGTTGTGCTCCCTTATCACCGATTTTGCTCCAACCGAGGTGTAGTGTGGTGAGTGTCTGTAGACGTGAGATAGACTGAGTGCTTCATATTGTCTGAAATGAGATCAATATTACTGTGTTCGTTCGCAACGCATCCGCAATGTGTTCTGCTCCTTCAGTACCGATTTCCGTGCAGACGAGGTGTAGCGTGGTGAGTGTCTGTAGGTGTGAGATAAACCGACTGGATCATATTCTCTGAAATGAGATCAATATTACTGTATTGGTCCGTAACACATCCGCAAGGTGTGCTGCTCCTTCAGCGCCCATTTTGTTCCAACTGAGGTTTAGTGTGGTGAGTGTCTATCGGTGCAAGATAGACTGAGTCCTTTATCTTCTGGAAATGAGATCAAAATTACCGTATTCGTTCGCAACGCTTCCCCAAGATGTTGTGCTCCTTCAGCACCGATTTCGTTGCTTTGAAGATGTAGGCTGGTGAGGGTCTGTAAGTATGAGATAGACTGAGTACTTCATCTGCTGTGAAATAATATAAAAATTACCGTATTCGTTCGCAACGCATTCGCAATGTGCTGTGCTCCTTCAGCACCGATTCCGTTGCAGATGAGGTCTACTATGGTGAGTGTCTGTAGGTGTGAGAGAAACTGAGTGCTTTATATTCTGGGAAATGAGATCACTATAACCGTATTGATTCGCAACGCATCCGCAATGTGTTGTGCTCCTTTATCACCGATTTTGCTCCAATTGAAGTGTAGTATAGTGAGTGTCTGTAGACGTGAGATAGACTGAGTACTTCATCTTCTGGAAATGAGATCAGTATAACCGTATTCGTTCGCAACGCATCCGCAATGTGTTGTACCCCTTCAGCACTGGGTTCCATGCCCTCGAGGTCTAGTGTGATGAGTGTCTGTAGGCGTGAGAGAAACTGACTGCTTCATCTTCTGTGATATAAGATCAATGTTACCCTATTCATTCGCAAGGCATCCGCAATGTGTTGTGCTCCTTTATCACCGATTTTGCTCCATCTGAGGCGTACTGTGGTGAGTGTCTGTATGTGTTAGAGAACCTGAGTGCTTTATATTCTGGGAAATGAGATCACTATAACCGTATTGATTCGCAACGCATCCGCAATGTGTTGTGCTCCTTTATCACTGATTTTGCTCCGACTGAGATGTAATGTGGTGAGTGTCTGTAGGCGTGAGATAGACTGAGTACTTTATCTTCCGGAAATGAGATCAGTATAACCGTATTCGTTCGCAACGCATCCGCAATGTGCTGTGCTCCTTCACCACCTATTCGGTTCGAATAGAGGTGTAGTGTGTTAAGTGTCTGTAAGTGTGAGAGAAATTGATTGCTGTATATTCTGGGAAATGAGATCAGTATAACCGTATTAATTCGCAACGCATCCGCAATGTGCTGTGCTCCTTCATCATCGATTGTGCTCCAACTTAGGTGTAGTGTACCGAGGATCTGTAGGTGTGAGAGAAACTGAGTGCTTTATATTCTGTAAAATGAGATCAAAATTACCGTATTCGTTCGCAAGGCATCCGCAATATGTTGTACTCCTTTATCATCGATTGCGTTGCCCTCGAGGCGTAGTGTGGTGAGCGTCTGTAGGTGTGAGATAAACTGACTGGTTCATATTCTGGGAAATGAGATAAATATTACCGTATTCGTTCGCAAGGCACCCGCAATATGTTGTACTGCTTTATCACCGACTCTGTTGCCGCCGAGGTCTAGTGTGATGAGTGTCTGCATTAGAGTGATATATTATGAAAAATGGAAGCAGGAAAGAGAACCTTCGATGGCAGTTTGGGTCGAATATATGTGATACGAAATAGTTATATGTGGGGACGATTTTTGGGAGCAGTTGGATCTATATGGCAGCTTTTGGTGTGAGTAAGGATGCCAGTTGTTGTTCAGGGAATATTTCTTTGAGAGAAGAGGTGCTGTGTTGGAATATCCCTTTCGAAAGCTCGTCAGAAGGAAATCGAAGTCCTACTCTTGTCAAATGTAGGAGTTGGATTTGATGTACCCCTGTTAAGAATGTGTATTGGGATAGGTCTAGCAACTGTGCAGTGCTGTTTGCTTCGGTTGATGAGCTCCCTCAAAAGTTCTAATTTGTGCAAATTATGAATCGAGTAGCTCAGCAAACAAACGGTAACGCATGACTAAGCGTTTTGTTCGTTCATAGTCGCGTATCGGGCGAATGCATCCTCCATGTACATAGAATAAGAGCGAGAGAGTGGAAGAATGCTTGATTTCATATGAGTTTGTACTGTTATTGTTTGATTCGATCGGATTGTTTGGGGATTATGAAATTACTGTGCCTATTCCTATGAGCAAATTTACGATGTCAAATATCATTAGGCTTATACGTAGCACAACCGACAAGAGTGTTAAGATGCCTAGTAAACTTACTCGATATCGCTCATAGGTGCTCAGGATCTGATTGAGCCGCCGGGAAATATTTTGCATTGAACAAAATAGCGTCAGCTCATTTTGATGATCCATAATTCGATAAACAAGTTCGACGGGTAATGTGGAAAATGTGTGCATGTTGTAATTTCAATCGTGCAGCAGACCGTACCGTAGAGACTGGAAGCGATGAAAAATGTATGATGTTGTTCCTTATAAGTAATTATTCATGCTGTTGGTGTCGTTATTTATGTTTAAGATGAAAACAAATGACGTGTAATCATTTCAACAATTGCGAATTGTTGGCTTGCGCAGATAGATGGCATTAGAATATGTATGTTTAGTGAATTCTGTTTTGAAATTTACAATGGTAAACTTAAGAATTAAAGCGGGAAATCTTTTGTGCCTTTGACTTTTTTGCAAGCCGATTCGATTTCCTTCAATAGGAATTAACATCTCTATATTAATTTTTTAATTAAAACATATAGTGGAAAATGAAAAACTCTACATCTTACACTAGAGATTTATTTTGGTTATGTAAATTTTGTTTTCGAGAACGCTAAATGCTAACCAGTTAGTTTTGACTGATTGATTTGCATCGTTTGACGTTTTGCAGTAAAAAAAATACATGACTGTAAAAAGTTTCACGATATAGTTTGCTGAGAGCTTCATGCAGCATCTCTCAGTGTGTTCGGTTCATCCTTCCCAAGTGGTATTCAATGATAAATAAAAGAAAAAATGATCGTTTGTTAACCTGAAAAACCACTTACATGATCTTTTATTTCTTTTTGAAGCCACAAAATATAAAATTGAGCTACGGTTTACCGCAGGAGTGACGTTAACTTGCTACTCCTAATATATATATCTGTTTTTTTTGTGTTGAAGAATGAGTTAGAACACTCAGCATCTTTTACATAAATAGAATGCCAACTCCCTCACCGAGGTGCTCTAGCAATTTGTCGTGAATTCATTTTGATGAATTAATCACTCCATGGTATTTCATTAAATAAGAAAACGTGAAAAACCTTCGAAACACTAGAAATGTTGTCGATTCTCTCAGGAAACAAGACGTTTAGTTTATTGGAAAAGTTAAGCCGCTTTTCGATATCTCCAAGCAGATGGTTTTAAAGATAATCATAAAATCTACGAGAACGCTGTAGCATCTTACTTTAAAACATCCGTAGTGCTGTTAAAAGATAATTGCCGATTAGTTTCTTACAATACAATAACCGTGATATACAAATGCAAACATTCACAACGAAGGGTAAAGTAGTACCTGAATTATTATTTAATTGTGGAGGATAGCATTTTATGTAAAGCGTGCTACATGCTATATTGTTTCATAGGATTTTATTGTGTTTTCTGCAATAAATTATGAAACTAATGGAACTACATTGTTCTAGTTCTTCAGCATCGGTTTTTCCTTTGCTGAAATACATATTGCTCATATGACTTGCCTGAAAATCTATTGTATTACTTAATTGATGCGCATTCATAGTCTCTTACTAAAATTATTTACCACGATTTGATTTCTTTGATAACAACAAGAAAAAAATCTACTAATACTCTTCAAACGATTGGCAATGCTAATTAAATACTAAATTCATAGTTTCACCATTTTGCTGTTTTGTAAGAGTGATGCACATCATACGATCCTGCCATCTCAGGAAATTTGCGTATGTACAATTTGGCTTATTATTGTACGCTCTAATTATATACATAATCAAAGTTCTCTGGCGGCTTCGATTGCAATGTTCAGGTAGAATTTGGTCGATTAATAATACTTTGTTGTGCTAACTTCACATTTATGTAGAGCGGACAAACGTTATCCATTCGGTACGCATTACGTTGGTTTTCTTCTCTTATCCACTGACAACAAAGGTTTTGTAAAATATTTTTTAGGTAAAATGAAACTTTTGAAGGATTTCGTAGAAAAACTACGAAACCTCCAAAAAAGAGAGCGCAGCTCACAAAAATTCCAATAGAAGCATCTCAGGCTTATAAGAAAACCTCCAAGACGATTTCGACTTCGTTGCAAAAATAGTTTCGCACATCCATTTTTGCTTCCAGTGTACTGTGTCTTCTGCTGGACAGTTTCGACTGTCTAGACTCGGATATCCTTAGAAGATATAAGGTATGATTTAATCTTCTCTTCATAGAGAAGCTAGTTGATTACTTATCGTTTGGATAAAAATATCTGCTCGATTATGTCATAAATAGCATAAAAGAGCGATTGGTAGAATAAAATAATAGAATAAGAACATGAAAATGTCATATAAAAGACTATTTTGTCCTATTTAGCTTTCATTCAATACTGACGAAATACAAAGAGTTATGCCCTAGTTAAGCGTGAGTCGCCTAATTCGATTTATATTATAAATCGATCCCCGAGAGACTAATATCAATCCGAATATAAGTAGATATCTATATCAGTCTGACAGTAAACGACTAGATAGGAATAGAAATAGATTTTGTTTGACTTATATACCCATACCCTCAGCTGTATAGTATTCAAAATTGATAAATAAGACATGGAACCGATAGAGCTCATCGAGTTCTATCTGAAACGAGTGTTGGTTCTCTTGAAATCGCCACCAAGGCGAATTCGTGTCCAACACATCCTACATATGTGGATAAGTTAAAGTTAGCTTATTTATCTTCGCGATCGATTACTGTTATTCAAATCGGGACAACGTTGTTGAAAGACTCTCGTCCATTTTAAGATTAGAGTAGAAGTAGATTGGAGCTGTTCCCATAAATAATTCTAAAAGATAGTATTATTGATGTTAGAGATAGAAGAAACATGTCATGGATTAGCATGGCTAGCCATGAGTGGCCGACCGACTCGCTAGTTTCATGAACAATCCATATCGAATATACTTTGAGTTACTATGCAACTTTATTTGACTTTTAAATTGACAATGGATATAAACTCGAGAGTATGGACGAAATAATATGCTCTTTTAAGTGTAATTGTCTCCTGAAGTAAAATTAATAGTTTTATTTGAAGCTATGCAAGGATTAACGAACGCGATTGTAATATTTTAGGATCCAGTATTACTATTTTCTATTGATTAATCTGTCTCTATGTACACCAAAGTTAATATCCTTCCATATGTGATCGCTAATCCGATATCCTATTAATAAAAATTAAGTTATTTACATTATCTGATCGATGTGATACGGAAAATCGATCAACCGATAGTGCTGAATCAGAGGCATACTGGTGACTGACCACAAGGTATCTGTCGAGCGTATATGAATATGAAAGTTACACAGTCAGATATTGGATAAAAATAAATAAATAATCATACAGCTTTATTCCTTTTTTTAGGATACATAGAATGAATCACGACCTAATGTATGCTTTCCCACGATCACTTTTTCGAAACACATTCAGTATTAAACTTCCTTGCAGCAATAATCATCTTTTGTCATCAAATCGTCTTTATATGTAAAGTTTTGCTTACGAATCACCACTCTCCTCCTATTATCGGTTATTATTTGAAGTTTCTAAATGTTTTAATGTTATCAACGAACGTTTACATGTAGCCAAAAGAAAAAAAGACGTCACATGTTAAGCGTAGTTGCCTACTGAATCATGACTACTTAGAGAATATGAATGCGTTGATCATCATCCTAATTCTTTCAGACAATGGTCAGCGAATCCAAAGGATGAGCGTTACTTGTTCGCAACTTTACGTTCACGCCGTGGTTTAAATGATAAGTCAACAGTGTTGAACCTGTATGAAAGTAAAAATGAATATCTTGCCTTTTCTTGCTTATCACTTCACCTTCAAAATATGTATGTCAATGAAGAACATCTAAGCTTATTCAACCGAACTTTACAAACATGTTTACTAAAAGTTTCTGTACAAATATTCAAATTCATTCTTTTCTTCTTTTTCTTTCTCTTAGTTTCACATCACATTGCTACGAGGCATCAATTTATCTAACAGTCGATTTGTTTATTTTTTTTCTCTTCTACTTTTAGTTCGTTTCGATCATAGAAGATTCGAAAAGTGCTACAAACAACAGAAACGAACAGGCAGAGGTAGAAGGAAGAATTTCACCGAAACACATTCTCTTACTTCTTCAATTTCACTCCTGACTTATTCAATGTCAGCTGACAGACAAAATATCATAACACCAGGCGTCGTCAATGATCTACTCGATCCCTACACCTGTTCATGTCTTCCAACATCTTATCATTACACGATTTGCAGTAAAATCAAATGGTCTACACTATCGATAACTATTGCTTTGATTATCATTGTAAGTAAAGGAAAACCAATTTCTACTCATTTCACACGATCTTCTTGCAGATTGTTTATGCTAGCAGCGGGTTGTATACTTTAATCGACGTAACAACATTGATGTCAATTGATTTAACAGATAATAAAAACGGTAGTTCATTGTAGTTGTTGAAATCAAGTTGATTTTGTGTATTTTTAGAAACGATATTTTGGTCAATATTCTCATCTCCTGAAACGATTCGTCTTAGCTGGATATCCCTTTGTGTTTATTTTTTGATCGTTCTTCTGACTATTCTTCTTCTTTGTGGAATTCAATTAGTAAAATATTGACCGATTTGATAAATCAGTTGTGAATAAATGCTTCTTCCTTAGAGTAAGCCATGGCTTTTATTTCTTTGGTCAATATTAATGATTGTCATGCTACTTGCTGATGGAATTATTACTGTTCTTTCTCTTAGACAACATCATCAACAAGTAAACTGATTTCTATTCAAAACGCAATCAATTTTTTTTGTAATATTCTTTAGATTTATCGACCATCAAAACAAGTGAAAATTCTCTTTGTCGTTATGGTGATTCGTCTTACGGTTTCGGTTAGTTCAAAACGAAAATTTTTCTTCAAAGATGATTAATCACAAACTTACGTTTCTCTTCGAAGTTATGTGGTATTTTCATCGCTATTTTTCACTTTCGACGATTAAATAAAGCCCACACTGAATATATCGATCGACAAGTAAATATCCGTTCTTTACTTTCTCATCTCAATTCCAGCTATACTTTAGAGAATGTTAATTCGTTACAATGCCGAGTCGACATTATCATCTTACGATTGTTCATGGGCACCTACTGAAAGTTTATTGAATCCACCAAAAGATCCAAGCATCGACTATCGAATCTCTGATGTTCCAGCACCATTGTCATTACCAAGAGCAAAGCTGGCGACGATACAACGTCGCCCATTGTCGACTATGTTTCGATCTCGAAACGAACACCTACAAGACGATTCAAACGAAGATGTTAGGTATAATGTTCCACTGGATGAACGGTTTTATCCTCAACAATTGTAAAAAAAAGAAGAATTTGATATTTCCTTAAATAAAACGTTTTACATTTTTATCATTTATTGACTTACACATCTTAGTTTCTGTAATCCGTTTCTGTTTAAGAGAAAGTTTTCATTTTATTTGCTGCAGCAATCCTTTTCGAAAATCGTTTTGCTATTAGATCAGTCATTTTTCAATGGGAAACAGTGTAGATGTTTTTCGGCGCAACGAAAGACAAATATGAGCTCTTTCACGAGACGAGAGACTTCGCAATGATGATTCATTGTATCAGTTCTGATCTTTTAGCGGATCAGATTGAAATTAGAATACTGATTTCATCAGTGATATCGAAACAGTACTAAGCGAAGACAGTCATAATCGTGAAAGTGTACGCCATGTCCACCAATAGAATACACATTCGAAAAATGCTGCTGATGGTAACAAAACCGAAATTTTCAAATTGAACTATTCTCTTCAGGTGTTTGTTTAAAAAGTTTTATTTGCTAGTCAACAAATTATCGAATAACACGTTCATGTGAACTTCTTGTAGTAAATGCCATGTGAAACGAACAGGTGATCATAAAGATTAATCTATAAAAGAAAATAAAGTATTTTATTAAAAAATACGTCCTATGAAAGTCACATTTTAAATAATCGAAGATTCCGTTTCTCAATTCATTCACCTGAATAAAGCAGAACAGTAATTTTTAAAAAACTAAGAAAAGTCCTTCCAAATAAATTCTCTTGGCCAATTCACTACAGTTTTGAGAGTTTTCGGCTGCACTTGGCATTAGTACGACTTGACTTATAATAGACCAGTAAGACTAGCAAAATGATGAAACAAATCTTTATCAATTAACAGAAGGAAAATGAGAAACTTACATTGCTGTTGATTTGTATCGGTATTTGGAATTTCTCAATCAGTTGGTTGACAATCGTAACACGTTTTCCCTTGTTTTATTCTCCATCCAGGTCAACAAATCCGATGCTGGATCCGACCATCCGATCGGATTCCTGGAAACGGAATTGCATCGGAATCTGACTAGGAAAATCCCGTCGGTTGTTGCAAATTTTATGAGCGATCCTTTTAGCTATGTTCTATGATGACCCTTAGAAAATCCATGTTTCGGATCCGACATGGGATTATTCGACCTGGGCAGCTGTTTCGATCTCACCGATGAGTAACTTGATAAAATGGATGCGATCTTCTTTCAACTTTTCCAACTAAAATTAAAAAAAGGTGATTAATCGTAGTCATTTTTATTTACCTCCTCTATTATCGCCATCGTTTCTCTTATTTGATCTAATCAGTGTATGATACTTTTGTGAAAAAGACACGCTGAATGAGTAAAGAGATAAGGGAGGAGACTACGAATGAGCGATAATGAACAATAGCAACGCGAAAGAGGCAAAGGAAGTGAGAACCAATGAAAAATACATACCATCGCGTTCGGTTGCGTGTGCTTACGAGAAAAAAGGAAGGATTTTCGTGCGTGTGGTATTCGATATCCTTTATTCATTGGCGGGCCGGATCACAATTTTTAGGGGGCAATAATCACTTTTTTTGCAGAAAAATGCCTACTTTAAGACATTTTTTTTTCAAATTCATAGCTGAAAAAATTTTTTTGGGGGACAATTGCCTCTCCCCTCCTATCCCGCCAATGCCTTTATCCAAACTGAAACAAATGAATGAACACGATTATATGTATTACATAGAGGAAGGGGAGAGCGAGAGCGAACTCAAAGGATCCAGGCAGTGAATGTAACCACCGAGAAAGAATTTAGAAAATATATGTTCATACGTATTGGAGATGTGCGGCATCTCTCTAGTAGCGAATATCACGGTGTAGACAATATATATCAAATTAACGCGACGAGTAGTCACGTCGAATACTTAGAAGGAAACGACGAACATCTTGATGAAGAACAAAAAAAGGATAGTTGCATGTTTTCCGGTTTGATATGTATTTAACGAGAGTTATCTGAAAAGGAGAGGCGAACTAATTTCATTATTTATACACATTGTTGGACTTGTGCACGAACACAGAGAATTTGACCGAGAGCGAGAGGTCACCCCAGTTTCTTCTGTCTCTGTATATTTATTCGTCAAAACTACGTTTTCTTTCCGATTTACATAATTGCATAGTGACTAGCACCACGGAGGAGAACGATACCGATCCATATTGAAGGAGCGCACAACTGATGAGTAGAATACATTTATAGGTAGGTAAATTCCTCAATCTCTTACACAGATTAATATTTCATCTTCAAGGATCTGTAAGCGAAGATGTCATTTTCTCTGTCAGTGAAAAGAAATTTATTATTAACTTATTGGCTTTGTCGAAGCATAGATTAATCATCATTCATATTTTTCACACACATGTTCAAATTGATAAAAGGCAGAAAATGGAAGTAGAAGAAAAAGAAGAGATAAGATATGTGAATGAATAAAAAAAATAAAAAGTTTTGTTTAAAATCTATTGTTATTTGACTGATGTTGTTTGGTCCGTTGTTGTGCAGCAACTTGTTCTTCTTGTTGAAGACAATCCGAAAATGCTTGTAAACGTGCTTGAAGTTCGTCCAGGACTTGTTGGCGTTCCAGTAAATTTGCACGTAATTCATTGACAAATTTCTCTTGATCATAATCGACTGTGTCCTGTGCACGTTTTACAATTCCTCGTAACTGGCGTGTTAAAATCGGTTCCTTATTTGTGAGAACATCTTGACATGTATCAAACAAAGCTTCTTCATATTCTTGCAAATGTTCAACTTGTGCTGCATATGAAGCTAGTGCTTCATTCTGTTCATCCTCGTTATCCTCGATATATTCGTCATCATTCGATGATGAACTTGTGCTTTCATTGGACGAAGCCGAGCCATCGGGATGATAATGTCGATGTTTGTGATTATGTTGAGGTAAAACTAAAAGTTCAAAACTTCAAATTTCAGGAAAACTAATTCTTCAAATTACTTTTCGTAGCTAATCCGTTGATTTTCATTTCATCATCTTCATTTGTATTCATTACATCACCATCTCCACTTCTTAATTCTTTAACTCGATCAGCGTAACGTAACGTATTCATGGTATTTTCGACATCTGAATGCGTTGGCGAAACCATGGCAATCATACAAACCTTAGATTTATCACCAATAAATGAATCACGTAAAACTTTCGTCAATGTTGAACCACGAAATGGAACATGACAGCCATCACCACGGCCCAACGCGCGAATACATTCTTTTAACGCCAATAATGATTTATTGATTTCGGAGCCTTCCATACGTTGTAACCGATCACCACTTGCAGTGTCTTTACCACGTTCTGAACCAGCCAGATCAATTAATGACATTTTACCAACTTCTTTCATCAAACGACGAGGTACAGCTGGATTATTATGATTATTATTACGCGACGATGATGATATATTCGATTGTGCAGTGATAGGCGATGATGTTTTAAGAATAATTTGAAGAACAGCATGCGATCGAGATGAATTGGAATTTGCAGCTGTTGTGCCTGATGTTCGAATACTCATTCCATCTAAATAATTATAAAAAAATAATTTTTTTTGCCATAGCAATCAATTAAAGAGGAAAATTCAAGCTTCAAAGTTAAATTTCTGAGTGAATGATTCTCTTACTTTGAATAATATTCAAAACATCTTGAACAGATTTGACTTGTTGTTCTTTACGATCACATACTTGTACAAGACCTTTCTGATCTTCCAAGACACGGAGGCGTTTCTTGTTGTTGAGTAAATCAAAGACTTTGCCACAGTAGATTTCATAAAAAGTAACGAATATTTCAATCGATGAACGATATTGAGGTAGAGATAAACGTTGAAAAATATCACGAGCTGTTTGAGCATAAACTCCATGAGAATAGTCAGTTTTGTTTGAAGATAAATCACCACCCATTGTAAATGTCTTTCCTACAATTTTGAAAAAAGAAATGATGAACACAAACAAAAGAAGAGTTCGTTACGAACCAGAACCAGTCTGACCATAGGCAAATACTGTCGCATTTCCACCGTTGAATATCGTATCAATCAAAGGTGCAGCTGTGTAACGATAGACCAGATCATTCGAAGCTCGTTCATCANAGAGCCACTCACTTTACTCATGGTGTCGAATCAATTTCCACAGCAGTTGGTTGGATTGGTCTACACAAGAAACAGTGGGAATGACGATGACAACAATGATGTATATGTTTGTAGTTGTGGCTACTACACTCGACTAGCGATGCCGAACATATGACTAACGACTGACTGGAGAGAAGAAAAGAGAAAAAACGAAGTAGTGGAGATGTTAAAGCTAAGGGAAGAGAGAGAGAGAGAAGGAAAAAATAGACGAGAAACGAACGGCGACAATTGCGCGCTTTTCATAGTGTTCAACCGCTTTCTTTTTTTTCTCCCATTCTCTTGGAGAACGAGCGAAAAAGAAGTACGGACTTGTTATTCAGCGTCAGTATAGATGACCTTTTGTATACTTATGTATATAAGTGTATACTCTACAAGAGAAGTTGTGATATCAATATAACACAAATAGAAAAGAAAAGGTGGACAATGAAAAGAAGATGAAGAAGAATATGAGATATGACCTTGTTAAAGAATATTTTATTCAAACATTCTTGACGTGATTAATTCGATGTCCGTTCTTTTTTTCTCTTTCTCTAATACGAGATTTATCTCTTTGACCATAGGAGATAATTGCGATGTAGAAAAACTAACTTCTCTCCCTCTCTCTCTTTCTGATTCATACAACTGAGTCATCGTTCATGTCAGGAGCAAAAAAAAACATTCAAAATAACAAAACAAGTTAAATGAGAAGCATTTTCATTAGTCATAGTTGTGAAGGAGAAGAGTATCACATCAAAATATCTTGTTTCTAATCAATATTGTTTTTCATTTATCAATCAATCAAGATAAACAAAACAAGAGATTCAAATGATAAAATAGTTGATGTCGCTTTTCATTAGTGTAAATTGCAAATGAATGTTTTGTCAATGTGAAAGCGTCATCTTATCGAGGAATTGAGATGTGAATAAGAAACAGGACAAAAATAGTTGAAATTTGATACGACAAATGAATCGAGAATAAATATCGGTAATGTCGAGTTTATATATGGAAATATATTCAATATCTCAAGGATTGTTTAGTCACATTTGTACACATGAATATTTCGAGTGTAATATTTTTCTTAAAAAGTTGAAGAACTCGACTTTGAAATGTTGAAAAACACATGAATAACGAAAAAAGAAATTGGGTAGAGTTACAATTATGTCAATAACATGAATCAGGACAAACAGTGATTATGGTAACAGATTATATTCAACTGTAAAAAGGCGTTTTAGTCAAAGAAGAATCAGTCGTGAAGTGATTGACGTCTGATCATACTTATACAACAACGGATTCGTACTTCTTTTATTAAAATTGAAAGAAATGTCATTTGATTCTGATACTCAACAAGTAGCTTTAGCAATAACAGATGAACATGCCACACCTCTACCTAGACAAGTGCGACGTCGACGTAAACGTCAATCGGAGAGACGAAATTATTGTACGGAAGATTATATTGTTCGATATGGTGTACCTGTACTCATTGTTATACTACTGATTGTGCTCTTTGTCTTGGCTTTTCTTGCTATACGCAGATATAACAGACGGTGTCAACCAAACAAAGAATCAACGTGTCGAGGATTGATATGGTTTTTTACTTAATCACAACAAAATGATGAGCTTAGAAAAATTCAGTTGCGAATGAGCTTTTTTGTGTAATTTCAATGAATAAATGATGTGCTTGGTTCGCAGGATTTCTTAGTAATGAATGAATTGTCAAATCAATATTTTTACTAATGTAGAAGAAAAAGATGAGAAATATCAATCAACACGCTAGGCATCTTTCTTGTTGCGACTAAGTATTCAAAACCTAATCTAGGTACACAGAGAAATGTTATGAAACTTATTTCATCAATTTAGATCATTTCTAATATGATTTGGAAGAAGAATCGCATGTGTTTTTGTGTTATATCGAGTATCAATTTTTCTTTGCTACCATACTTTTCCCACTGTTCTTCTATGCATTCCAGATTTTTCTTTAGAATAGAAGAGACGCTGCGAGCTGATAAACAATTAATTGACTTCATTTCTATTAAAACTAGGAGAGAAATGAAGAATCGTAAGCTCAGATAGGCGATATACACGAAGCGCTTCAATAAGAAGAGATTTTGATATTAAATTTATTTGATTTATACGAGAATAGCAAAATGTATGTCCGATTGGATGTTACTGATATATCAATTTGGAATTATATATGTGAATGATCAAGAATGAGTAGTGATCATACGAGAAACAATAATCTCAAAGAAATTTTATACATCTGTGCATTTAATATCAGTTGAATGAAGATAAACAAAAATATAATCGAGTAGTAATTCATTCGGCAACGAAAGTAAATTTGTTGTTTCTAAAAAGTGATCTTCTTTGCTTTGCATATCATTACGATTCGACATTTGATTACTCACGTTTCTTTTTCATATTATTCATAACGCGTTTGCAATATAAATATCCGATCAATTTGATATACAATGTAAGTCAGTGTTTCACTTCCTTCGTTTGCTATTAATCATTGCATTATGTGAGCGAACAAAAATGTGTAATAGATGGACAAAACATAAAGGTCTCCCCAACCAAAAAGCTGTATCAAACTCAGATATTGACAAGTCGAGCTACACATTTTATGATTCGTTTCCTCTTTCTCAAATTTTTGCCTCATTTTACCGACATTCACGTACTTTGTGAACACAATGTTCAGGGATATTGCAGACGAATTCAAGTTTCACTTCTATTTTCAACTTCTGATTCAAATGGATCGCACCATGAATATAAAGAAATCCATAAAATATCTACTAGATTCGTGTTCGTATTTTGTGTTATGTTGTAGATTTTCAAATTTGAAATGATTATCCATCTATCAGATTATCGTTTTTTTTACAAAGTCGAAAAAAGATTTCCTATACAGATTTGATCGCAAGAGTTTTAAACGAATAAATTGAAATTTTACAATGAGTATTGTGTCTGGGCGGAACTGCATTGAGAAATTCAACTACTTGGCTGTTTACTGTTTGTATGATCAGTCGAATATTTGAATGATTAAGTTCAAGTTCGAAACTATGCATGTATGATGAACTACATCAAATCCAGTCAACGCTGTAATATTTTGCTAAAGAATAAATTGAATTTCTTTACTGACAGCATGAAAAAAGGCGTTACAGTTTTGCTACTATGAGATGAGAGATCTAAATTGCTTATAGAATTCCACATTTTGATAAATACTTTTAAAAAAATATGTAAGTTTATTCCATAGAACAAAATTCTTGAAAAGAAGATGGAAAATTTGAAATCAACTATGTAATATGGCTCGATTAATGATTCAAAATAGCTTTAAAAGCTGCCACATGCATAAAACATATGATCTTTGTCTTCTGTAACAACGGAATCGACTATTTCATCTTTGCATGCCATTCGTATTCGTTCACATGTTAATGGAACGTTCAATAGGAACGGTTCTCGTCCAGTGCGATAAGCTGCAATCGCCTGCTTAATCGCTAAAAAGACAGTTGCCGATAAAAATAAAGGTGGTTCACCGACTGCTTTTGACGAATAACAAACAGCTTGATCACTCATTTCATGTTCATTTAGAAGTGTAACACGAAAATCAATTGGCACATCGTTTGCCATTGGTAATTTATATTTATTTGGATCGGCATTGTGCAGGGAGCCCGGTTGGGATATCCATGAATGTTGAGAGTCACCTTGAATGAGTTCTTCCATAGTCAAATAACCAACACCTTTCATAAATGCCCCTGAAGACCGAGAGAAAAGATTCGAATCTCAAGTATTTTATAACGTCGCTTACCTTCAATTTGTCCAATATCAATAAATGGATTCAATGATTTTCCAAAATCCATTAAAATATCAGTGCGTATAATATGAAAATCACCAGTTAAACAATCAATCTCTACTTCACTCATACCGACTCCTTGTGTGAAATACATAAAATTAATTTCATTTTTCGCATAATTACACTTTATGAATTTCTCGGGTACACCATAAAAACCGTGTGCGGACAATGGGACACGTTCCTGGTACGCTCGTTCGATTAATTCCTTCCATGATGAGGCTGGATGTTTTCGTTTTATCGGTGCAAGATTTTTATTTATTTGCTCACAAGCATTGATTAGTGCAGGACCGTACAGATCTGCTGATAACGATCCAACAGTTGGTGTTGCATTCGGTATTTTATCTGTCGCTGTTTCGTGAAAACGAATTAATTCGGTTTCGATATCAAGTTGTTCAGCAGTAATTTGAATCATTTTTATTTGAAGTCCTTGACCTAATTCAATGCCTACAAACACAGAAATAAACATAATTGTAAATAAATCGGATAAATACATACCACCATGCGTTATCAAAACACTGCCATCTTTGTAGATTGTGACTAATGCACCAGCTTGATGAAAAAACAGTGCTGATGGTGCTCCAATACCAAATTTAGTTCCTATTATACTCAATCCTCGTTTTCGATATTGATTTTGTTTATTGAATTCCTTCACATCTTTCAAACGTTGTTCATATTGTCCTAATTCTTTTAATTTCTTCCACATTTGCGGTACATGCCAATCTTTCTTCTCTAACTCTTGACTAAAATATGTACGTTCACCTGGTTTATACATATTCAATTCACGTATAATTGATGGATCATCATTCAATTGTAAATAACTGTGAATATGATCGATAATCACTTCTGCTACTAAGAGAGCTTCAGGACCACCAAATCCTCTCATCGCTGTGTTACTTGGTAAATTGGTTCGACAGACGCGTCCTCTTACTCGCATATTTTCACATTTGTAAATATTATCGCAGTGTAACATTGCGCGTTCAAGCATCAATAAACTTGAATCGGTTGTGCAACCGCCATTGGCAAAAAGTTGAAGGTCGACGGATTTCAATTGACCGTCTTTCATAAAACCAACTTTGTAATGAAATTTAAATGGATGACGGTGACCAGTTAATTTCATATCTTCCTCACGCGTAAGACACAAACGTACTGGTTGTTGCAAATTGTATGCAGCGAGAGCCGTTGCTATACATGGAATAATGTTACGTGATTCTTTACCGCCGAAACCACCACCTACGCGCAAAACATGACAAATGACTTCATTCGAATTGAGACCTAACCGTGGAAAAGAAAATATTCAAAAAAGAATTATAATTTCAAGTGTTATTAATACCTAATGCTTCTGCGACTGATTCTTGAACTGTACTTGCTCCTTGTGTTGATGCATATAGATGTAATTGTGTATAATGCCCTTCACTGATTGGTTGCGCCAGATAAGCATTTGGTTCCATATAGAAATGTTCTTGAGCACCGCTATAAAACGTTCCTTCGAGAACATGATCTGACTTGTTAAAACCTTTTTCAATATTTCCAGTTTCTAAAACTGGTTCTTGTTGACCAGGTGGCCCTAAATAACTTTCGTGTTCAATAGCTTCATCAATTGTTAGAATCACAGGAGTTAATTCTTCATATTCGATGCGAACTAATCGTGCTGCTTGTCTTGCATGTTCTTCCGTATCTGCAACACACAATCCAATGACCATATCCATACAATGCACAGTTTTTGAAGGAAATACTTCTTCATCTTTTACTATTGAACCAAATCGATTTGAACCGGTCGGTGGAATATCATAATATGTATAGAATTTGACGAAACCTGGAGTCGATTCAGCTTCTTCTGCATTGATTGATAAAATGTTTGCATGACATTTAGTACTAAAAACAAGTGCACCATGAAGTGTATTGTGTGCTGAAGGGAGATCGTCAACATATTTTGCTTCACCGGTCGCGTGAATATAAGCATTGTGATGGATGGATGGTTGATGAACGTATTTGGTTTGTTTTGAAGTGTCGAATATTTGTTCGCTATGAGAGACAGGACGTTGTTTTTGAAAAAGTTCTGCGGATTGATTAGCAACGTGAAGATAGAATTTGAATAAGAATGAAATTACCAAAGCACGACTAGAACAAATTCAATTTTGTTTCAAATTAATATGAAAAAAGTATTTACCGATATTCCGGCTGTCCGTTTTCCGAAAACTTATCCAGCTGTACGTCTTCTAAAAGATGATTCTTAACGTTTGTCATGACCTCGTATTTTGTCCATTCAAGTTCACCCTTATTTACGTAATCCATTGTCTTTTCAGGCACCAGAATAACACCATCACCAAAACCACCGAATGCCATATAAAACGATTGGATCCGCTGTGTCTTTTCATTCAATTTCAAACGAAACGCACCTGTGACAATGCCAGTATCATGTTTCCGTCGATGTGCTTGTTTATAAGATTGAAGGTATTCATCAGTACTTAAAAATGGAATAAAGATTGACACGAGTAAGAGGTCATTCAGATCTGTTGTCTTGATATCTTGAATATTGATTTCAATTTCTTTTTTATTTAACAAATGAACGAATCGTAATTTTGTTTGGCATACATAGAAAATTGGCAAGATATCAGAAGTGTGTTTGCGACTATGATTTAACACATGTCCTCCAACAGTTGCTTGATTTCGTATCTGGCGATCAGCATTGAAATCAAGTTGTTCCGACAAGATTCGAAAGAGTTGTTGTTCTTGATATTGTTGGACATGATCTTTTAACTGTGATATAGTTACACACGCACCGATTGAGAGACCATTCGATTGTTCGGACAACTGTTGTAATTCGGAAATTCCAGTTAGATGAACAAGTCGTGAATAGCGATGTTGATGAACGATAGCATCGAATGTTTCTCCCGTATTGCCAGCGATGAAATATATTTCGTCAGAGTTGGAAAATTGTTTTCGTAAATCGAACAGTTGACCCATTGCGGTCGGTCGATAAAACTCAATGTTTGTACCTATAGAAAACGGTTGTTCTCTCAAAACTGCATCTATCGATATATTTACCTTGAAGATGAATCGGTTTTGAGACATATTCTTCGCCTAATTCTTTTGGGAATTCCACTATTAATCCCTCACAAATCTCTTTGTCAGCAAAAGATTTCTTCGCACCATCTAAAATAGGTCGATAACCTGTGCAACGACAAAGGTTACCATTAAATGTGTCTTCAATATCATGAAGTGTTAGCCGTTTATCCTTGCAACAATTTGCCAATGTATCGTACAGTGACATACACATACCAGGTGTGCAAAAACCACCTAAATCATATACAGTTTTCAAAAGAAATCAATAGAATATGTATTCTTACATTGTGAAGCATAATTTTCTGCAATTGTTCGTTGTATCGGATGTAGAGTACCTTTTGGTTCATGTGTTGTACCAAGACCTTCGACAGTAACAATATGACAACCATCCAATGTACACAAAAGTGTCAAACAGGAATTAACACTAAAATGAGCGATTGATTTTGTCAAAGGATTGTATTTGGAGATAACAACAGTACATGAACCTGTAGAGAAGAAGAAAGAAATAATTGAAGATGAACATTTAAAACATACCACAACCACCTGTGCCACAACCAACTTTCGTCCCAGTTAGATTTAATTCTAAAACAAAACGATTATAGTAGTGTTTGTACAGGTAAAATTCGTACTTGTTCTTAAATAATACACTAATGTCCAGTTTGGTTCGGCATGTTTTTCGATAATTTTTTTTCGATTAACATAGAATGTTAAATAATTCTTTGTTATTTTATCATCTGTATCAATAGCCATTCGTTCGTATTAGATAATGTGTCGTGATAAAGTGAATGCAGGTCTATGTCTTTTTCGAAACCTTTATATTGCGCAGAACAGAATAAAAACAATCGATATGATAAGCGAGTTCAAACAGTATGTATATACGGATTTACACTATTCTTATCGTTTCGTATTCGCAGATGTTATCTATTATGAGTACTTTATTCTTTAAATAGAACTATATTTCTTTTACATTATTATAACTCTTCTTGATTGAAATTTTATAAGAAGAAAAAAAAAGACACATACCATCTTTTGTTCTCATTCACCTTTTTCTAAAAAAGATAGTCGTCAACTCTTATATCGGACATGACAAACGTTGTTAGCATTACCTTGTAAAAATAGATTTCTCCAAATGAAATCTTGTACTTCCACTAGTCAATCAATGCGCGGGATATCCGATTTAACTTCCATCGATTCTAATATCCTTTGCGAAAGAGATATTTCAGTGTCGATCATTGTTCTTTTTTCGATACATCGCGACTTCTATCGACAATACACATGTTTGGACAGATACCAGATAAGCTTGGTAGATCATTTTGTACCAGTTGATCGTAATCAGAAGAGAAACAGAAACCTTTGAAAAGAATGTTTTCATCATCATGTGATACAATGGTGGCAATGAATGATGTAACTGATGATGGTTCAATAATTTTCGCTAAAAATAGTGATCGTCAAGCGAACGAACCTTTATCAACTCGTTATATTCCTTCTTCAACTTATCCTTCAAGTTCGAAAGTGAAAACAACCTATATCGAAGTCGATCAAGTCGAAGAAACATATTCATGTGTTTTATTTTCTCCAGCGAATATTTTCGGTGCAGAAATGGGTTTTAATTGTCATGGATTGGTTGTTGGAAATGAAGCTCTATTTACAAAAGTTTCTTCTGATAATGAAGGTTTAACTGGAATGGATTTAGTTCGATTAGTCTTAGAACGTTGTCGAACAAGTCGAGAAGGAAAGAATGAAATTGTTTTATTGATTAGTAAATATGGTCAAGGAGGAAATTGCGGTTTTACATCGCAACTGTATTATCATTCGAGTTTTTTATTGGTTGATTCAACAGAATGTTGGATTGTTGAAACTGTTGGAAAAGATTATGCTGCAAAAATGATCACCAAGGGTATTTATACAATTTCAAACATAATTTCATTTGGCGGTGTTGAGACATTCGATGAATACTCAGAAAATCTAATTGAATATGCTATTTGTAAAGGTTGGTGCCAATCAAAAGAAGATTTTCATTTCCAGAAATGTTATTCAGGATTTTCGTATCATCCCAACGAATTCTACAATGGTTTTCTCAAAACTCAATTAGCCTGTAGTCAAATGAGACGAACACGATCAAATGAGTTGATTCATAAGCGTCATAAAAAATTCAATGTTCTCGATATGTTCCATATTTTACGTGATCATCAATGTTCTCAAGAAAATCCATCGAGTGGATTAACAAATATCGATATTTGTATGCATGCTGGTTTTGGACCAATTCGATTTAATCAAACCACTGGATCATTAGTTTCTGTTCTTCCAACAAACACAAATCAAATTCCAACGCACTATGCAACTTGTACATCAGTACCTTGTTTATCTGTGTTTAAACCCATTTGGTTGGATTCAGAAATGAAACCTCCGAGATTTCTGTCATTGGACGATGAAGGTAATCTTGGGAATGCAACTTGTACATTTTCATTGAATAGTATTTGGTGGAAATCGGAAATTATGACGAGAAATATTGTGAAATATTACCGAAAATTGATTAAAGAAATTGAAATTGAACGAGATGAATTAGAACGTGAGTTGGTGGCGAAATCCAAACAACTATCGATGAAAAATGTTTTACACGAAGAGAGAAAGCAATGGACGATTTTTTCCTTTGATAAAGTATATTCTTTCGAAATTATTGTATTGAACATTGAAAATTTCGTTTTTGAATTAAGGTTGATCAACTATCAAATCAATGGCTTTCACGAAGTTCTTCATTGTCATTAGAAATGGAAAGTGAACTTTCATCTATCCAAGAATTTGCCTGGGAAAAATGGAGAACAGCAGCCCAAATTCCAGAACATCTGTTAACTTATTCGAAAATTGGATATACAAAAAATCTCTTATTATCTATTGGTTTATTAGTGATATTAATCTTCATTTGGATATTTTTAACAAATAATTCAGATCAGCGATATACTATTCTTTGTTTATTATTGCTTAACTACGTGTTCATTTATCAAATACTTGTGAAAAGAACGAAACGAAAGACAAATTCTAGTGTTGAATTACTAAGATTTAATTTTAATGATTAAATTTATAGAGTTGTTTTAATTCAATCAATAAAAACTGAATTTTCATCCTATACCACATAATCAAGTTTTTGCGACTCATTATTCAGGAACACTGATGTTGCTCTCACGTGCTTTCCATAGCAACCTAAGTAAACAGTAAGAGGAAAAAAATGATGTTGAGCAATGACAGAGGAGAGAAAGAACATACAGAAAATAGCTTCATAGTTATACAATCACTTATTTTCGATTTATAAAAAGATTTCCATAACAATTTGCAATCGTAATATCGACGCGACAAGCAAAGACAAGTGGTATAAACCCATGGCAGATGGTGAACGAAGTTATCCAACACTTCGGCGTCAGCGTATCAATATTCAAAGGGTACAACACATTGTTCTCATTTGGTTAGATAGCAATATTGATAAAAACAGCGAAGATTGTCAAGATACGATGAGGAAACTTCAGCGTGCTGTTAATAATGTTCATATGTTTATGGATAGTGATCAATGCATTGAATTTATTCAAACAATTCATGAAAATAAAGTATTCGTGATTATGCCGGGATTTCTTGGTCAACATATTGTGCCATGCGTTCACAATATCTCTCAAGTCGATTCTATTTTTATTCTTTGTGGCAACGAAACACGACATCAACGATGGACAAAGGATTGGCCGAAGGTCAAAGGTGTCTTTACGGAACTAACACCGATTTGTGACGCATTGAAACAAGTTGCTCATCAATGTGAACAAAATGCTATTTCGCTGACCTTTATGACACCGAACAAAAAATTAGATCAATTAGATCCGTCTTTTATGTACACGATGATTCTCAAAGACATACTTTTATGCATGGACTTTGAAGAACAACATCTCAAAGAATTCCTTTGCTATTGTCGCGATATTTTTGTCGACAACAAAGACGAACTGAGTCATATAGAAGAATTGGAACATCGGTATGGCAGTAAGTCACCGATTTGGTGGTATACGTATGAATGCTTTCTATATCCTATGCTCAATCGTGCGCTACGAATGATGGATGGAGATATTATCTTGCGAATTGCTTTCTTCATAAGAGATCTTCATCAAAATATTGCAGAACTAAATGCAGAGCAGTTTGAGGGTCGGTATTGTCCAGCGTCGTTTAAAGTCTTTCGTGGTCAAGGTTTATCGAAAACAGATTTTGAACAAATGTCAAAAAGTAAAGGCGGATTAATCTCATTCAATAACTTTCTATCGACCAGTAAGAAACGTGAAGTTTCACTTAGTTTTGCTCAACAAGCTGCGGTAAATCCAGATTTGGTAGGAATTCTTTTTATTATGGAAGTCAATCCCATTCAATCAACAATTCCATTTGCTTCCATTCGTGATGTCAGTTACTTCAGCATGGAAGAAGAAGTTTTATTCTCGATGAATTCGGTGTTTCGAATTCATGACATTCAACCAATAAATGAAAAGAATCGACTATTCGAAGTAGCTCTGACACTTACTAATGATGACGATGAAGACCTATCTGCACTCACTTACAGCATTCGAGATGAAATTCCATCATGTGAAGGTGGATGGAGACCATTGGCCTTCATATTGGAGAAAATGGGTCAATTCGACAAAGCTGAAGAAGTCTATCAATTTATATTAAAAGAAACTGAGTACGAACTAGGCAAAGGATCTCTACGTCATGCACTTGGAAGAATTAAATTCGCTCAAGGAAATTTTCAAGAAGCTATCATGTATTATGAAAAAGCAATCAACATCTATCAAGCAGAATTTTCTCCCTCTAGTCCTAATTTATTTGATATGTACAATAATATCGGTAAAGCATATGGTGCAATAGGTGAACATTCAACAGCTCTTGATTATTTTCAAAAAGCTATTCACATTCGACAACAATCAGGTCTTCTCGATCATCCAGACTTGGCTTCTTCCTACAATAACATTGGTACTGTGTATTATACTATGGGCAATTACTCCGAAGCTCTGGCATCGCATGAAAAGGCTCTCAGTATTCGACAACAATCACTACCGACGAACCATCCTGATTTAGCTGTGTCTTTTAACGATGTCGGCTCAGTGTACGAAAGTATGGCTGAGTACGCAAAGGCTCATTCATGTTTCGAGCGAGCTGTGGAGATTGGACAACATTCACTACCCTCGAATCATCCTATGCTTCTAAAATACAAGACGGATCTCGAACGTTTGAAGCCAAAACTGTAATCTTGAGGATGTACCGAAAGAGCATAGCTGATACTCTTATCATATTCCTATTCTCATAGGATATTTCTTCGTAGTGGAAAAACACCGGGTGAATTTTGTTGAACGTTCGATGCTCTATCGTTTTATTCATAACATAAAAGCTAAATTTGTTAACTCGATGTATAAAGAATATCCAAAACTATGAATGGAATTTTTCATCGACTTTCGTGCATATCCCGTTGTGGAATCATCAGTCAGATGACTCTCATTCCTTACGGGTTATATAATACCCGCGAACAATTTGAGTTTCAACGGTTTTGATGACGCTAAACAAAATAAGACAATTTATGTATAGCTCCACGTACGAATCTATGTTCGATCAGGTCATGAAGAGTGTCTCGAAAACTAAAAAGTACGATTAATATGAAGTGATGTACTCAATACATAACCACCGATGATTGTATTGTCCAATCATCTACCTGTACAATAATATGAGAATATTCGATCAAGAGACGAAGTTTTCTACTAATTAGGTTATGTGAAAGTAAAAAGTGTGCGAGTATATTTATTTTTTGCTTGAAATATTGCTTTCGACTGTTTTTGTATTTGAACAAATTGAAATTCCGTTTTTCGTCTATAAATATGGTTGATTTTTCAGTAAAAACCATTGCATTACCAAACCGTCGACGCGATGGGTAATAATAGAGGCAAAGGACCATTGACTGATGAAGATTGGTTTCAGTTTTGCTAATCTATCGCTGAAAATTCTTTGAATTTTATTAGAAATTGCTGCACTGACAACAAAATTAAATCTAAGTGAAAACGGTAAGAAACAATCTAAACATCATTCTTTTCTGAAATTTGAATTTTTCTGTTCAGAAGTTCAAATATTTCACCATGTGAGAGAATTCGTCAAAGATTTCGATAGTTTTGCTCTTTTTTTTTATTCAGCTATTTGAAAAAGGTGCAGGCAAGGATGGCAAGATGACAATGGAGGAATTTCGTGATTATTTTGCAAAATTACGTCGAGAACGTGGTATTAACGATGAAGTTATTTCTGAGTATGTTCGTTGATGCATCTCTCGGGATCTCTTATTGATTGTTTTAGCTTTGTATTCGATGCATTTGATGCAAATCATGATGATTTAGTAAGCTTCACTGAATTTGCTCTCTCTTTGAGGAAAGGCGGTTTCGATCGTAATTTGAAATTGTCTTTTAACCTGTAGGAGATTTTTTCAAATTTATCTGCAATAAGCGAAAATTCGATGTTTAAGTTGAACACATCAGATGATGGATGTATTAGTTCTGATGAACTCGAGGCTTATCTGAAAAAATCAGTAAGTGATTGTTTTGGACTTGTCGAAACAGAGGATAATTTCGTTTTCTTGAAGGTTATAATGCGAATTGGAAAAGAAAAGGCAGTAGAACTTGATATGCATGCAACTGCTCAAGAGATTTTCGAACGATTCGCTTTGAAAAGAACATTTTCGTCTAGATGTAAAAAGGAAAAAGATATTGACGAGATTATTGGTAATGCAAAATAAACTTCCATTCGTTATAAGTCCAATTTTGTAGAATTTTGCTTTTTGAATAAATTACCTTTAGTTTCAATGAAATTGATATTGAATAGCAAAGCTTGCGTTGTTGATTTTGGACACGGATGGATGAGAATGAAGGAGTGAACCAGGATCACAATCGAGCTGACCCTTTATGGTCAGAATTAGGGCGCACACTCACACAAATCCGATCGTAAGGTTTTCCACATTTTCCAGCAACAGCGTTGAAACGAAGAATGTGATCGAGACATTCAGAATATAAATAAACATCGTATTGAATTAATCGTTGTTACGGCGAACAATCTACTTGAAAGGGTAGTCGAAAATCATTACTCTGTACAAAACAACTCTTAGTGAATCGGAATTATACAAGTATAATACGAGAACATGTTCGATAGTATTCAAATCCCTTGACACATTACCTATCGCTCAAGATTAACAAATGAAAATCTTGCTGGGTTTTTTTCTTTCGCTCATGTTTATTATGAGAAACAAGTTAACAAAAACAAATGAATATCCAGAGAACACAAACTCTCTGAAAGTTCTCCTTGTTTTACTTTTCTATTAAATTGTTTTCCACTAAAAGTCATCAACTGACAATGTTTTCACCTGATCTTTTCGTCGATCGAATTTCTTTTTAACAATAGAAAGAAATTCATCGGTAGTTGGCTTTGATGAGTTACCATTGCTCATTTTCGCTTTTCGTCTAGAAGAATAACATTGATCAGATTTCGAACAAGAACTTATCTTCTCTTACTTCTTGGCGGGTGGAGTTCTTGGTATATCATCGTCATCTGCATCTTCTTCTTCTTCTTCTTCTTCACTTTCGTTTTCTTCCTCTTCGTCTTGCTCATCATCTATTTCATCATGTTTTCTTTTACTCTTGATTTGAAAAAGTTCTTCTTCTTCGTCTTCATTATCGCTAATTTCTTTGTCAATCATTGATGCAAAACTTTGCTTAGCGGATACTTGATGTTCAGGTCGAATCAAATCTGGTAGAGAAGCTCGACCAGATAGTGAAATCTATTGCAAAAAGAATGTCATATACATCTTATATCAGTTAAAGAACAAACCTTTTCTTTTTGAGCAATATCTTCTAACACTTCACGTTGTCGCATTGATTTGTATCGTTGAAAATGAACAACAAGTGGACTTGATGTTGATTTTTGTTGACTTTGTTCAAGCCAACTTTCCTATTCAATTCAATGAAGGTTATTTATTCAATAGAAAGTTTCTTTTTTCGTCTCACCATCTGTGTCGAATCTTTAACATTGAGACCTGTTTTTTGTCGCCGTTCTTCAATTAGATTCACATTTTCTTGAACTTTTTCCAATAAACCACGAACAACTTTCACAAAATTTTGTACTTTGCATACTTTAATGAATTTTTTACATTTAAGTATCAAAGGATAAACAAGCTCAGGAAATGTCACATGATGAGCATATTGAACCAGATAAACCATAACTAATTCATAGAATTGATCCATTAGACCATCCTAAATTAGATCAAAAATCGATCTTTCTATAAAAATGTTTATTATTTGATAAGAAATACTTTGTATGCTCGATCATCCATTTGTAATTTGGTTAATTTTAGTGAAGTATCAAAGTTAATGTATTGTGCTTTGAGACTGGCTGTTTTATGACGTTTATTGAAATCGGTCGTATCAAACATTTCAAGTAGAAACGGTAGAACAGGAACAAACACAGATGTTAATTCAGTTAATTTGATTAATAGACGAATACAATGAAATCGAAGTGGATAATAACGAGGTGATGGTACCAATCTAAACCAAATCTTCATTTCTAAGAAGTACATTCGACAATAAACAATGTTTACCTAATTGTTCCAATGATAAGTTCAGTTAATGGATGAACAAGTTGTTGAATTAGTTTTTCTTTATTGTTATATAAAACTCCGATAACATTCGTCCATAAACTCAATGCATGAATAAATTGCCAATTGTAAACACCTTGAATATTCTCCTAGACGAAACCAATCTTGTTAAATGATAATTGACCGAAAATAACTTACTGGTTTTTTAGTTTGAATAGCTGTGCGTAAATGAACAGCAAGTTGTCGAAGAAAAACAAAACCATGTTGATAGGTAACTGTTGGATCAAGTGAGTAAAGTTCAACTAACGATCGTTGCATGAAATTAATCAACGGGAGTGTTGTTGGTGATGTAAATTTGCAATTTTTCAAATAATCCAAATACATTTTCTATTTCCGAAAACCTTTAATCATAGGAATTGAAAAGATGGAAAAAGACTCACGCGTAAAACAACGCCCATCATTTCTTTTCGATGTTCACGAATCAAATGAAATAAACAAACAAAAGCTATGACTCGACTTCGTTCATCTGTAGATGTTGACCAAATATGAATCAATTCCTACAAATACAAAATTCACTTTTTCTCACCAAACAATTTCGTTTTAAATTACTTTCACAAGTGCTTGACGTGTATTTGGTAAAACAATGACAAATGGAATCAACGATCGAACATGACGAAGAAGTGTATTCAATGTAGTTGGAACATTGATCATTGATATGAGCTAAGGAAACGGAGAGAAATAGAAGTTTTGTTTGTAGGAAATGAAGAAACGAACCCGTGTGAAATTGAGAAGATATTTTTTCATCACGTGTTCTAAATATTTCCAATTAGCACTTGTTTCGGGTTTTAATTTGCTCGTTGTGACAAGTTTTATACGAAGAAACCGATAAATTGCTGGTAGTAATTGTTTCAAACACACGCGAACAATGGCATTAAATGCTAAAACAAAAGATTCTTTTGAGGAGATACTTCAATTGAATAGATATTCTTACATTCAGGATCATCGATTGCACCAGTTGAAATTTGTTTTTTCTTCTTCTTTTTTTTATCATTTGAATCAGTTGTCGCCTCTGCACCACCATAAGCAGATTGAACAGCTAAACCAAAAGCACGTATGACATGACGAATCGTATTCAATGTCGGTTGAGTTTTCTGAACAAATCTTAAGTAAATATTTATCATTTGGAAAGAAGATAGTTTACTTGAAGTTGAGTCGCCCATTTTTCAATCGTTTCCGTTGTCACCTGGGCTTGTTCTTCTTTACTCAGTGGTTCACCATCTTCATCGGAAAGAGCTTCCATTTCTTCGAGTCGTTCAGGCAACTGATGAGCTTGTTGTTCAGGATCATCGTCGGGTATCGAGTCATCGTCATCATTGACATTGAAATCGAGTAGACCAGCGTCTTCTTTTTTCAAGAATTTGTAAAATTCGGGATCGACTGTGGCCAAATCGGCTAGATCTTTCTTATGTTGTTCCATTGCTGAAACACCATTTGTTTTTGTTCTAAGATAAGGAAGTTCTTGTCGAGAAAATGAATCTTTTTTCATTCAACTTACTTTTTAGTTTTGAGCTTTGGTTTTGTTGTTCGAGGTTTCATCTGAAAAAAGTGAAAATATCTGATTAATTATCTTTCAATAAAAAAAATAAAGTTTTGTTTTTCATTAAATCTGACTTTTACACACATGAACTATACATAAAATAGAAAATATCTGAGAAATTAAGATGAACAATGGACGGAAAATTGTTGAAATGGCTGGAGATTATACTGAGCTATTGACGCGAGTAACCATTCAGGTTTAACATAAGCTGTATATAGTTGATCTTTGCGTTTCATTTCATTACATAAGACAATGATTGTCGATGATGGATTTGAATGAAATTCATCAACAATTGTTCCACCACAAAGATAGATTAATTCGCGAAGTGCGCGATTATCTGCTAAGATCGCTGGACAGGCGTTTTGTTCAGGACATTCAAGAAGAAATGAGATGCCTTGAAAAAGTCCTTGAGAACGAGGAATTCGTGAACGAAGAAAACCACCATGATAACCATAAGTTGGATCACCGAGAAAGATTTCATAGATTTGAGATGGAACAATGATTTGATGTGTAATAGAAGCCACAAGCCATTGAATACTGATAATGGGTAAGTGACGAGCAGTTGCTTGAATTACTTTTAATGTTAATGGACAAACAAGCGGAGTATTCTCGTCTAATGAATCAGTTATCAAATGAGTTGTTGTTTCGTCAACTGCGTTCGAATAGCGAATGTTAAATTGGGAAATAAATTGTTCAAAAATTATCTAAAGATATTCAACGAGTGGATCCTGTTAAGTTAGATATTTCATGGTTTATTACCTGTTGTTCTGCTTTGAGACTTGATTTTGCTAAAATCATAATCGATGGTGATGCTTCATCAACTGTCATAGTTTGTTTTGAGATTTTCGTTGGTCGATGAATCTGAATTAGTGGAAAAGGAAAGTATTTCGAAAGGTGTATACATTGATATTTAACTAACAGTTGAAACCTGAAGTTTAGCGCTTGCATCACAAATAAATTGCCGTGTTTTGGCCAATTGTTCAACACAAGCACATACTGTTAAATCTCGACAAACGATATGTTGTTGTTGTTGAGATGATGAAAGAGCTGATTGATATTGAATACCGACAGAAACAAGTTCGGTAGTCGAAGAATCTGTTTGGACTGTTTGATTTGCCATTTCAACAGATCCTGTTTGACATTGCTTTTCTTGAACAATGGAATGTGATGAAAGATCTGTTTGGGTTTCAATCGAGGCTGCTGTAGTTGTTGGTGGCATTTGAGGACTTGGCGGGTGTACTGGATCTAAAATATTGGTAAGAACTGGAGATGTTGTTGATGGTGGAGGAAGAGCAAATGTGATGCGTGATGCTGTTTTGATTTTTACAGCTATAGAAAGATAGACTTTGTTTTTCGGAATGAAAGTTCAAATGAAATAATTTACGTGAACTACTCTGTGCTGGTGCAACGACAACATCTTGTTTTGCATGAGTTGTACGAGAAAGAATAGGTGACGGTAACGTTGGTTGTATTCGTTGATGTGAACGAAGACTCTGAATTTTCTCACCAATGATTGTATTGTGTTCATTGATCTTTTTATGATTTTGTCGAATACCTATGAGAAAAAGCTCATCAGTGAAAAACGACACGAAGACAGTGAATTGAATTACCAGGTCCTTCGATATATAATTTTGATTGTTCGATGAGACGAGTTTCTTCATTTTCTTCTTCGGCTGTTGTACAACCATCTGAACTACCAGCGGATGATTTTCCTGAAATGACATTTCGAATGGACAGGATAGGAAAGAATGGTTTTGATTCTACCAATGACTGCTTTTGTAGATCGTTTGTTATTTAAAGCAGCATTTCGACGAAGTTTCTTGGTTATTGGTTCTTCTGGTGGTTGTTTCATTGCGGTTGTTTTTCGTTTATTCGTTGGTGGTTTTCTTCTCGTTTTCGTATCTTCGTCGTTTTCTGTTTCATCATCGTCTTCTTCAGCAATCACAGATTTGCGATTTTTCGACCGCTTTCGAACAGTTTTATTCGTTGATGTTGACTTCTTTTCCTTTTTATTCATATTCTTTGTTAAACTCAGCAGTTGCATATCTTCGTAGGTTTGATTTTTTTCCTTAAAAATTGTTAAATTCGTTGCTGAACGAGTCGAAGTTGCTGTGGATGGAATCGCTGGCGATCGACGAAGTGGTGTACTCGTTAGAAGCATTGTATCAATCAAGGAAGGGCGTGTGATATTCGATGATACATTCTTTTTTTTGGTTGATGATGAGGGCATTTTGATTTAATGAACAAGATTTCTGTGAAGATGTACACTGAATAGAGGAGAGAAAAATACGACGAATACTAGATGGATTTATTAACCAACGAATGAAATACGTTGGGTAGATGGAGCTGTATGATAGACAAGATAGATAACGTTTTCTCATTATAATTATTAGATACGAATAAACTCATTCGCAATGCAATGAAAATTTAGTTGCACAATATGATGTTGCTAGCAAAAAATCGGATCTTCTCGTTATTCTCCACGGAACTTTTACTATACAATAGTGTGATCCATAGCATATGACGTTACTGAAGGTATTCGACCTCACTGGAAATATAGATTACTAAACTTTGTTATCTGTGTCGATTTTGTCAAATACATACGATGATCATTAAGAAAGAATGTGAGATTTTAATGAAGATTGGATACATTTATTTGATCTACTTAATACAGTTGCTTAGATTGGCTATTAATGGTATGAAGCCAAGATTAAATTTTACCTTTTGGTCGTATAGACTATATCCGATGAACGAGTTTTCATTATTGAAAAATGACTGGTATTTATGCAATGCGCAAACAATTTGCTACAACAAATCGAAGATGTTGGATAGAGGACGCTATATCGTATACTGAGAGTTTTTACTTTTCCTCTGCCATCTTGAGAGTTGTCATATTGCTATGCAGCTGACTTCAATTCTTTTCTCTTCTTTTTTTATTCTTTGACGTTTGTTTTTCTATTCAGTGATGGGAAATAAATCTTTAGCAAAACTCCGGCCCGCTGATTTAAACGATTTTCGTCGACATACAACATTCACTGAAGCAGAAATTCGTACGTGAACAACGCCTTTCGAACAATATTGTTATGTATTTGTTTATTTTCTATAGAGGAATGGTATAAATGTTTTCATAAAGATTGTCCAAGTGGAGAATTGACTGCTGACGAATTCAAGAAGATTTACGCACAATTTTTTACGGCTGGTGATTCGTCAGCTTTTGCTGAACATGTCTTTCGTTGTTTTGATACAAATGGTGATCGGAAAGTTTCATTTCGAGAATTTTTACTCGCATTACACACAACAGCACATGGAACATTAGAACAAAAACTCGAATGGGCATTTCATCTTTATGACAGAGATGGTGATGGGTACATTTCCAGAGATGAAATGTTTGTTATTATTGATGTAAGTTAACAAAATACGAAAGAAAAGAAACAGACGATCATGTATTCCATTTGATGTCTTAGGCGATTTATAAAATGATTGGTTCAACAGCACAATTGCCAGAAGATGAATCGACAGCGGAGAAAAGAACAAATAAAGTAATTTGATGCCAAAAAAAACCTTTGTAAGAATATAGTTAAAAATGTTTTCCATATAGATTTTCAGATCTTATGATAATGATCGTGATGGAAGATTATCTCGTGAAGAATTTATCCGAGGTAAAAGTTCTTCTGTTTTCTGTTCAAATCTTTACTTTATGAAATTTGTTAGGTGCCAAAGCTGATCAGTCCATCGTTCAATTATTACAAAGTGATCGAAGGCCAATGTCAACAAGTGCAGCAAACATGTCGTTTCATTCATCAGAAAACACTCCGTCATCATCTACCGCTCGTCTTCGTACATAATATGTGAGATGATAGAGAATCTCATTGTCTTCCGTTTTTGCTTTTAAGAGATTTCATTCCACAAATACTACTCACGTCCGTACAAAAACACATAAACTATAAAAACATAGTCTTTTTTCTCTCTTTTATTGTGAAAATATTCAAAAAAATTGAATGAAATAAATCTTCATCGAGTTAGAGTAAGCCTCGTTTTCCAACTAATATTATCGTATTTCCCGAAAAAATGCCATATCTTGTCAATGGGCGATTACCTGCAGATGAATTGTTATGATGAAGGCGTTGACCACGAAAGTAAACTAATTGTTCGGCGAGTGGAATACGAAAGACTTCCTGTAAAACTTGACCAAGTTCATTACAAGTTGGTTCTTTTTCGGATTTTAAGACGATGTCTTGAACATCACCACCGAAATGAACTTGTAACTTCGTATACAAATGATTTCCTGATGCTTTTGTTGGAGGTAGCTCATTCTTTCGTGGTGTTTGATCGTTCATCGTGATTGAGAGATCGTTCTAAATGCAAAGAGAAATTTTTTCTCTCGATTTTATTTTGATTTGTATTGTAACAACTTACCACAACAGCAGTGGCAGTTTGACTTGACAACGATATATAAAAGAAAATTGCACATTCCTTTCTTTTTCTTTTCTTCTTGTTCTCAATGTTTGTCGTTAACTCGTTGTCATAACAAGAAAGAGTTTCGTTTCATTCATTCTATATTTATTCTTCAACAACTCCTTCTTTTTTGTCATTCACACAAACATACATACAAATATATACTGTCACGAAAATCGAAAGAATAAACAACTAAACAAACGTTCAATAAACACAAAAAAAAAAGAAAGAATGAAATAACACGTGAAAAAACAAAGAATATCTATGTGAAAATCACAGAAGACATGTCACATTATTAAACAAACTGAAATCAATTGAGTGAATTTGTTCGTTTCTATTCAACAACGACAAGATAAGGACTACCGGGAACATGTTGCATCGTTGAACCGTAAAGAATTACTAACATATATTGACCACGTATTCGAACACGATAAGACACTTTATAAACATATCCAGGAGATGAGAGATTTGTTCGTTTAATAACAAGACGTTCTGCTGGTCCACGAGATGAATAAAGGCCAACTAATAATAAACCAAAACCTAAAAACGAATTCGGTATTCTATATGAAAAGTCTATTTTTCTATTCAAACCTGCTTGACTAGCATCGATTTTAAACTTTGCTTTTCGTCGTGGTTTTGCTTCGTAAAGACCAGTTCCAAAAACACACACTTGCGATGCATCACCAGTCATTGATGAACGAAGAATATTCAGATCAACATAGGTAGTTGATGTTGAAGAGGAATGAATAGGATTCAATAGTGTTTGAATTGGTAATAATGAATTACAGCTCGATGTTGCTTGAGTTGTAGAACCGATTGTTGTTTCATCAACATTATCAGTTTCGATTTCGTACATTGTTGATAGAAGTGCTCGATTTTCATTGGGTTTACTGTAAACACGACACATAAACGGACTACCTTGAATGTGTTTTCCACCGTTTTTAATTGTAATAAAATATTTTCCACATCGCATTGGTTTGTAGTGAAACTAAAAGTTGAAAAGTGATACGATGAATTCATCTGGAGATAGTTACTTCGTAACCATGTTCGGTTTCATTAGCATCAAGAAAAACTGTTGATGGTCCACTGATACCAACAGAAAACGTTCCTGTTCCAGATGATGAATCAATAGGCGATTTGGATACGAAGAATTGACTTGCTTCGCCTTAATCAATATTTTGTTTGTTTCAAAAATAGCAGAACAACGCTATACCTGCATATGCATGGAAAAGACCTTGTCCAGTAGCTGCTATTGGCTTCGACGATGAAGATGAACGCACAGTTAATCGACACGGACTATCAACAATTGGTACATGATTAAGACTAACATTGAGTAAATGATTGCCACAGATGTTTGGTAAAAAATAGATTTCATAACATTCTAAAAGCAATCTTTCTATACATTATTTTCCTAGAAAAATCAATGACGCACCGGATTTGGCGGATTTATGAACTGTAATTGGTAAATTCATATTTCCTTGAGGCGCTTGAATATAAGCTTGAAAAATACCACACGGTACTTCTGGTCGAACAGTGACTATACATGGAGTATTGACCTATTTACTTAGTCTCGAATGAAGCAAAAGAAAAATTGACACTAATTAACGTACATGGAACTCAATAGGTTCGATTAAAGCACGCGGTGAGATGAGAGCTGGTGGCAGAGCTGGCGGTACAACTTGTTCTTGTAAGAGTTGATTACGTAAACGTAAATGGTAAGGCGAATCACCAATATGGTGACCATCATATGTTAGAGAAATATGATAGTTACCTAAATATTAAAGAATAGTATTTAATATAATCTTGTTTAATAAGTTTTTTTTTCTACCGGGTGTATGACATGTATAAAATACACGATAAATACCAGTATCGACAATTTCGATTTGAATATCCGCTTTCGATGGGCCATCAATTGCAATAACAAGTTTTTTTAATTCCACATTCGGTGCATTCAAATCAAAATGACCTAAAAGGAAAACAAGAATGTCAATAGGAGAAATTAAATTAACTTTGGAACAAACAATTGTCATTTGTAAAACCGTCTTTAAGACCAGGACCACTGGCTTCAATGGTAGCCTGTTCTTCAGCAGTTGTTATTGGATTGTCATAAAGAAATGATGGTGGAGGTAGTGGAAATAGTCGCTGTTCATCTTCGTCTTTACTTTTGCCTTGATTTTCTGAACATGATTGGTTGAGAAACGTTGATGATCGTTTTGCGGTTGATGCATACAAAGGTGATCCTACCGAAGTAGTATTTTTAATCGAATCAAACGACGATTCTTGGGAACAAAACGTTATCTTACTATTCAGTTTTGGAGTGGATGGACTTTGCGTTGGTTTATCATCAGATTTAAGTAAACCTGAAATATAACAAAAGAAAATTGAATTGTACAATGCGAGTGATGCATCGATTTACTGTTAAGACGTCGTAGAGGATTAGCGAAAGTAAATGATGGTCGACTATAAATGGGTTCTTTGGACGTTTGATGACGTTCATTAAAACTTGCTGTTGTTCGTTTAGATAGACGTCTACTCATTTGATTTGTCGTTGATAGTTGCTGTTCATTATCGACGTCATACACTTCCTCTGTCGTGTCATCCGTTGGTGATATTGGCAAATCGATATCATCAACATGTACAATGTATAACAATGTTTCAACATAAACTATCAAGAATAGATTATCCAAAGTTGAATTTTAAAATATAAAAACTTACCATTGTTGCCATCTTCTGTACTTTTGCTACTTGAACTACTACTTTTGTTACTGAGACGTTCATTTGATTGTGGAATTAATTGATTATTTGATGTGGATGATTCATTATTATTTTTACGTAAAATTGAGGAAACTCGTCGAATCTTTGGTAACATTTTAACTGCTAGTCGATCGGTCTAGTCTAGAGAATAACAAAGGAAATAGACCAGTGATATACGAAAAGAAAGACTTGATTTTATCCGAAGATCGAACAAGAATGTGCCATAAATGAGATTTCTATCATTGTTAGAACGAAATTTTCTGTTCATTAACTATTTTGGAAGTTAAAAAAAATCTGAAAACATTTCAAATATCAAATATAGACATGATTTCAATAGAGATTTATTACTTGTACATATTTAAAGAGGGCGTTAGTAGACAACTTTAAAGGGAAAATACCAATTTAATTCACTGAAAATCGAAAAGATCATTTTCAGAGTGTATAGTGAAGATTTCCATTCGGAAAGTGTTGATATCTCATGCACATGTACGCTTTTTATAACTGTTCCTTCATTCGCACACAGTATCATCATATATCAGCACGAATATTTTACGAATACTCATCATCAATATCAGAACGTCATAGATGTAGGTTAAAGTTGTGGTTTTAAACTGTTAGTCTCTTAATTATATTTCATCGCGCCATTCATACTCGAACTGAGGAATAGATGTCGTTGTCATCAATAGAAATACTCGTCGTTTCTCTCGAAGATTGTATCGAGAAATTAATTTTTAGGAATTGTTCTGTAGGATTACTTTACGTATTTTATCTATCCACCTTTGATCATCATAAAATGAGAAATGCGATTATGTCTTATCACAATGAAGGGTATTTCCATCCCATTGACATGTCCGATGGTAGTTTTGCATGTGAGTGTGGTAATATAACACGACAATTTATTCAAACGCAAATCTACATACAATATTCATCATACCTATTCAATTTCGATGGCATCAGGTACAGATAATTGGATCGCGGATACTGTGGGTGATTTTATACATTCACCAATCTGGTCAGCACCTGTTCGTACTTTCATCAACGCAAATTGTCTTATATTTGAATACGACGATGACGACGATAATGATACCAATGAAAGCAATGAAAAATTAGTAATCCTAGAAGAACAAAAGAATATTTTCACAAAATATCAACGTCTTGTTGATGCTTTAGTTACTAGTCTCGGTAAAGATTTAGATCTCGATAGAAATGAAGTAACAAAAGCGTGTCAAATTCCTGTATCTCTCGATGAGTCAATTCTTTCCGATGAACGTTATGAACAACTATATTCAGCCAGAGATTTCGAACTGTTTCAAAATATGATGAGAAAAAGAAATTTAATTCTTCAATTACAAGCACTGATTAGTTTACAATTACAATGGGGTTTAATCAAACCAGGTGACACTCGTGATGATCTTATTGTATCACTTCTATCACAAGCAACAGGATCGTCATCATCACGACGTGGTTCAACAACGCTCCCACAAGAACCCGCTCACATTCCAGTGATAAAACAACAAGTACGAAGAGAAGAACAAAAACCCAAGTATAATGACAATGATGATGATGATAGTGATGTTGTTACGCCAAAAAAAGAATCATCATCATCTGTACGCAAAACTAAGCCGAAAGTTGAACCAAAACAAGCACCTAAAGAAGAACGCCGTTTACCTAGTTTACGACCGAAAGGTGTGCCAGATCTTGATGCTCAATGGCACAGAGATCTTCGACGAGGAGATTCAAAGGTTCATACATTCATATTTCTTCTTGGAGTACAATGAACTGTAATACTTCTCTTGTCTTTAGAGTGACGATGACGATAATTCAGCAGACAATGATCAATCGCAACATGAATCCACGCTTCAAACAATTAGCGCTATACCTGAAAAGGTACTTCGTCAGAAGTTACGTGATTTAACAGAACGCACAAGTTCAGCCGTCGATGATGAAACAGCCAGTGCTATTCGAGAGAGACAAAAGTTTTTAGAAGCCCAACGCAAGAAAATCATTGAGAATCAGCGTGCTAAACATGCACAAGAATTGGAACAAGAAGCACCTCATGCTCGACCGCAATCAGCTAGACGTGCTCAACAGCTTATGAAAACAGAAAATGAAAAGAAACAAACAGAAGAAGAACAACAGCCAATACCTAATGATGAAATCAAGAAGCGACAAACGCTTATGGCAAAACTCAAACGTGAAGTTGTTGATAAAAAATAAATCTTTTCGTGTGTTATGATAGTTATTTACTAAGATTTTTCTAAACACGTGCAAATGAGAATAAACAAAGCCAACATATCCAAACCATAATATATCGTTTTCATTTTATGTCACAAATTTTCATTAATATTCTTGAGCTAATTTTATCATATTTATATTTGAATAAAACTTCATTTGATAGATTCAATCATTGAAAAAAAAGAATTTTTATCTTAATTTTGGTTTATGACATATGTCAGAACGTATTCTTGAAAATGATTGTTAAAATAAATATGAATAGGACTTTGTTAAGAATTGAATCAACGTTCAAATGAAGGTTGTGTATACCGATCTGATAAAGATTCGCTCTTTTGTGGAGGCATCGATTGTCGGCTCTTCGAATAGTGAAAACAATATTTACTTTATCTTTCTTTTGTTTTCGTCATAGCAAAAGTAGGTCAGTGACTTTGGTGATTGAGGCATTCCCAGGCAGATACAAGATGAAAACAAAAGAACGGATTAGACATATTCATCGATGTACCTGACTTCTAGAGACGAACGGACTATATAAACGAATAGAATGTAAACATTTCTTTGATTCGTGTTTTATATCAGTGTGAAGCTAGCACGAAGAAACTGTGTGTAAGCTAAAAACTTTTTTCCAGAGTTTGTCCGGCCCATAAAACCTAGTCCATTCGATGCAGAATTTAATTCTGCATCGAATGGTGGTACTTTTATTCACCGGGCAAACTTTGGAAAAATTCGTTCTGCATTATAAATAGACCTAAAGGAAACGAACAAAGATATAGATAAAAATTTTTCCAAAGTTTCTCCGGTTAATAAAAGTACCACCATTCGATGTAGAATTAAATTCTGAGTCGAATTGTGTAGTTTTCATGGACGGGACATATTTAGTAAAAAAATTTTTACCTAACATATCGTTTGTTCGTGCTAGCTCCGTCGTGCTAGCTTCACACCGATGTGGCCTGAACCAATTTCTTCATTAGGTAAGAAAACTTAAATTAGCTCATCTTAATTCGTGCTGTTTTTTAGCAGAACAAACACAAAACTATGCTAGTCAATATAGAATGGCACAAATGATCAATGTGTTATTAACGGTCATTATCTTCATTTTCATCCTCGGGTTTATATTTGAACTGAAATTTGTAATAATCCTTTACACAATCGTATTCGTCTCCATTGTCTGGACACTCTTCCCAGGACGATCGTTCCTGGAAGTAGTATTCCGCTTATTTTCCATGAAAACCCGCAGGATATTTATAGTATCCGCGCTGGAAACCACGAGAAAATACTCGGAATCCCACTGAAGGAACCGGTAACCGTATCCGACTAATGGTTATGTCGGGTTCTTGCTGGTTCCCGATAAAACCTTTTAAATGCGATGAAAGGATTCGGTAGCCGGAATACTGCTTCCATGAAATCTCCGAAATACTCCGGAACCGAACATTTCCGTGTCGGATTGTTTGACCTGGGTTATCTTCGACAATCGTTTATTCTTTTCAATGACTATCTTACCTGTCTCAATAGTTGATCGATTGATGATATTTGATTGAACATAAACTGTGTACTTGTGTAATGCTAAGACTATTCATTCTCACCCTCATTAGATCACCTTTTGCATATATTCATCTTTCTGAGAAACAATTACAAATACAATCATTCAGATATATAAACTAGATCATACTTTCATCTTGAAGGGACAAGAGCACTATCATGATTTGTCGTTGATGAAGCACATTGCATCTCCGACTGTTGTAATAAATCCTCGCTTTGGTTGAAAAACTCACACAAAATGTGAGAACAACAACAATCAACTATCTGATTGATGTGCTCAAAGAAAGCAAACAAAGAGCAATCATAGCTGCTGGACATAGGATCAAGTTACAATCCAATGACGGAGATACGTTCGATGTCGAAGTAGAAATCGGCAACGATCAAAGCAATGTTAGAAGGTAAAAATGAACTTCTTTGCAGAGGAAAAGGCATAAGTTTTTCTTCTTCACCTTCGAAGATCTTGGCATGGACGAAGAAGAAGATGTAATTCCTTTACCAAATGTTAATTCGGCGATTTTGAAAAAAGTAAATCTCTTTTGTCTTGATAAAATGAATGATCTTCTATTGGAATCAAAGGTTATTCAATGGGCAACTCATCATAAAGATGATCCACCTCCACCAGAAGATGATGAAAATCGCGAGAAGAACACCAGTGACATTTCATCTTGGGATCAAGATTTTCTCAAAGTTGATCAAGGAACACTTTTCGAACTTATTCTCGTGTGTAGTTTTCGATTTGTTTGTCTTTCCTATTCTTCTCTCTTCTTTCCAGGCTGCAAATTATTTGGATATCAAAGGTTTACTCGATGTTACATGTAAAACAGTGGCTAATATGATCAAAGGCAAAGGACCCGAAGAAATTCGACGTACTTTCAATATTAAAAACGATTTTACACCTCAAGAGGTTTGATTTCGTCGTTTTCGAAAATGAATTTTCTGAACATTTATTTATTTAGGAAGAACAAATCAAAAAAGAGAATGAATGGTGTGAAGAAAAATAAATGTTCAAAACATTTAAACATGACTCCTTTGTTTGATGTGCCTTTTGTTTTTTTATTCACAACAGTTCGATACCTTGAAATATTACTGAGCTCTTTTCTTTTTTTTCTTCTCTTTGTTTGTTCACTCCATCACACGAATGTATGTACTTTACCTCCTATCATAAAATAACTTCTGCTTCTAGAACTTCTCTTTTCTTCAGAATTAAACACAATGAAACTAATTAGTATTGATTTTTATTTGAGATTTCGGTCAAAGGAAAAAAGAAAAGATCGATAATTTTCGTAGAAAAGCAAAAATAAGTCAGATATGAAAAATCGACCACCGATTAAAAATAATTTAAATGAACAATTAAAGATTTACTATGCTTATCGAGATGAAGCGATACGAAGTCGAAAAGAAAACCAAAAAACATCACAGTGAGAATTTTTCATTTTTAATTATTACGAATAAAGAATTCCTTCGTGTCAGATTGATATTTCGTCACATACCTGATCAACCACCTGTGCCAAAAAATCTTCGTCCAACAACAACTACAACACCATTGTCTCTTTAATTTACTACAAATACGAGATTCTGTTCGTTTGAATAAACCATCAGCTCAAATCGATGAACCTGAACCAAGTCCCGCAGTCATTGTTGATGTTCCTTTTGTACCTTCCACTCCCACGTTCTCTTCAATTCCATCAGCAACACCATCGACCTACACTCGATCAATTTCTTCTTCTTCTTTGATCAAGTCCACAGCAACTCAACAAACTACTCGATGTCCAGTCTGTCAAACTCCATTCGATACTGCAGGTCTCCATCGGCCAGTGAATGGATGCCTGTGGACATACAACATGTTTTCAATGTTTTAAAGGAATTCATGAAAGATGCACCCGTGACAGTTGCTCTCCAGGCATTTGCTCCCCTATGAGATTTGCTCTTCTACGAGATTTACTTTTTAGTATTACGAAACAGAGTTTTTACAAATTACAAGGGCAATTTATAAATTAAATTTATTTATTTAACGCAATGGTAATAGAAGGTAAAAATAAAAGAATAATAAGAAGACCGAATTATGAAATAAAAAGGTAAGTAACCCTTTGCAGGCGGGCATAACAAATAGGCTAGTTCCAATATATCTCTAAAATTGGGTAGCGCAGAGATGCACGAGCTGAGGCAACAGATCTGGCCTATTTCATCTTGCATCCCAGCAAATCGTGCCGCTCCTTGCAGCACTGTATGATATCAGATTTTTTCAGGTATATTCGAAGTGGTATATATACCATGTCCGTCTTCAAAGAATTAAAGGATAGTATAAAATAAAGCAGAGCAGAGTAATTTTTACTTTAAATTAATAACGTTCATCTTGTCAGTCAATGATTCATATTGAAGAGTAAATCTCATAGGGGAGCAACTGTCGCGGGTGCATCTTTCGTGATACCACTACTACCATGTGTGGAAAATGTTCCGATGGAATAGAAATCAACAAATTATAGTTCTACTTTCACTGCACAGATAATGACTCATCTTTCATACTGAGATAATATAAAATTCACGTTATTTACTTTGTGTCGTATGAAAAACATTTTACTAATTCTTTTATCTTATCAATTACAGCACTATCATACAGTATAAAATAGTTTTTCATTTGTTAATCGTGCTAAATCAGTATGGCACTTGTGATTCTATTCGGATTTATTTTCCTTGTTCCTACTACTATTTGTCAAATTATCCCACTTCAGTTTGACTTTGCAATTGATCAACTACGTTCTCAGCGTCATTATACACCTCTTGATATAGATAATTATGTGGATTATAATTTCTCACCCGATGACTTCCTGGGGAAGTTGTCCTCTATATTGTCTAATAATAAATCCACCCCATGCGAACGAGATTTTAAAATGATTCTTGAAGGAATTACAAAACGAGAAACATGGGCTATCAAAACAATTGATGCATGGGGTAAACCATTACCATCAGGTGTTTTGTCTGGAAATGTCTATTGGGTTGGTAATTATGATGAATGTTTACAAGATGCTTATCTACCAACAAACAAATCGTTTGTATCGCAACCATTTCAAACACAATATTGTAAGTGGATTGTGATTTCGTCTTCAACTCAACGATGTAAATCAATGAATTCTTTTAGGCACACTTTTACCCAGCCCATCAAAACCAAATGCAACAATACCACTTGGTATCACTCTTGGTCTTTGCCTTCCATCATCATGTGATCGAGAATCAACCATCGATTTATTGGAGATGATTTTCAAAAAGAATAATTTTACAAAAAATAATCTCGTCTGTTCAAGTGACCCTGCATATGGACAAGAGAGTTTTGCACCGGGTGCAATTGCAACCTGTATTGTTCTTTCATTATTAGTATTTGTCGTTTTACTGGGAACAATTGTTGATCTAATTCTCAGCTCACACCGACAGGAATCAGCTGATGATCTCTCGTCGAATATTAATGGTTACAATCATTTTTGGGATACAGATACCACTCAGTTTGATTTTGTAAACAAGTCAAAGAAGCAGAAACGTCTCTATTTTCAATATTTCACTCGTTCATCATCTCTAACGAATTTCTTAGCGGAATTTTCTGCAATCAAAACATTACGTCGAATATTCACAATGAAAACGAAGAAAGATAACGATTCATTTCCATTTATCAATGGTATTCGAGTATTGTCTCTATGTTGNACAAATTTTGACGATCAATTCATTTCTTCAAATGATCACACGAAAATAAAAGTTTCATTTCTTTTCCTATAAATTCAACTGGCAAAAGCAATTCATTTATCATCTCTTCCTTTGGCTTTGCGTCGTTTTCAGCTTCAATTGTAAATAAGATTTGATTAAGTACAGTAAAATAACAATATGTACCCATTAATTGCCATTCTTTCTCAGTTATTAACATTCTTCTCTCATTCTCATAGACACCGAGAAACTCTTTTACATAATCCGATTGCAATTTCGATCCAACTGAACACCATAAGCATAATGCCATTGTAAAATCAATTAAAAATGGACCGATGTACATGTCGTCGAAATCTAAAACAGCTGCAAGTTTGTTTTCAGTTGGAGAGAAAATGACATTGTCATCATGTAGATCAGCATGAATATAACCAATAGGTAGATCTTTTTCGAGCTCGTTCTGGTAACGATTCTGTTCAGTTTTATCACTAGTCAATGGAATATTGGTTAAATATTCATCAGTTATCACACGTATTCTTTTGTATAAATCAGGATATTCTTCTTGAAATTCGTCACAATTGAAGACGATTTCATACTTCACATCCAAGAAATTAACTGAACGTCGGGTGATTGACTTCATTTCTGGTTGATCTGAATGCATTCGACCAAGGAATCGAGCTATTGCCACAGTTTGCCATAATTGCCGTGTTGGTGTTTGAGGTGTGTCTAAATATTTGATTCCTCGAATGAACGGAAATATTGCGCAATAAGTTCGATTATCAAACGTAAATATTCCCGGCGGATCAATTGCAGCTGCAACAGGAAGTTGAAGTTGACTGAAAAGATGCGCAATAAAATTTAATTCAAATTGAATATTTTCTAAATTGACTTCTCGAAATGTACTTGGAAGATACTGACGAAGAATGTAAGCTTTTCCACTTGGTTTTGTATGAAATTTAAAAGTTAAATTCGTCCAGCCATTGGTCAATTGTTCGATTGGTGATGCAAGTTCACCTAATGAATATTTTGTCAAAATCGAAGCAAGTTGATTAGAAATTATTGTGTTGTCCGTCATCATCGATGTTTTATAATCATGCGGTAATTACACGTCTGTCTCACACACAATAAATATTTCATCTCTCAGTTCTTATCATAGATAGGAGAATGAATCGAGAGTTTGTCAATATTGACTGAAGAACAGCGACATCTGCAGAAGTTAAAATATTGGTTTTTTTTCGATGAGGACATTTGAAGTTTTGTAAAGAAAAAGTAAAAAAATTGAAATTGTGTTTTTGTAGATGAGTAAAAATAGTCGTTGGCTTAAAAATGATCCTTTCTTATAGTTTCATGACTCATTGAAGCTCTTATGTCGTTGTTCTCCTGTACTTGGCAATGCATGCGCTTTTCAAACATAGAATCTCAATTCAATGACGACTACAGATGATCCTTATCAATTTTCAATGGATGATTCAATTTCCAGTACACCACGAACACGAAGTTCCAGTCGAACTCGTAAAGCACCAACAAATAATACGAAAAAACCTGTTGCAAAACCCGCACAGCAACGGATTGTTACTCGTTCATCACAAAAATCTCCGATGACATCAGCAGTTGATGAAAATGATCATTCATTCATGTCAAATATTCAATCCGGATTTTCTCAATTCGTCAATCCGAAAAAACGACCACGTGACGATAAAAAAACCAAGACAATTAAACGACCAAAAAGTACTGCTCGATTTTCCTTCATTTGATTCTTGTTTATGAATATTTAAGTTTAGTTAACACAGAAAACGATGAAAACCAACCACCCGACGAAGAAATTCAAGCAATTGAACAAGTTAAACTTATCTACGAGACTTCTGGTAAATAACTTTTCTTTTTCTTTTATTTCGATTCAATCGAATATATTCTCTTTGTTTAAGGTGGTCGAACAAATCTCGCACGCGCTGCAGCAACAAATGCGAAAATTCTCGCCAATAGAAACCAATCGAATGGGCGTCCGCCCACAATCTCCAACACAACTTACACTCTCAATGATCAAAATCATATTATTGATGATACACAAGTCGACACTTACGCTATCCCAGATACAATGGTTGACACAGACATACAACATAATGATAGTTCATGGCAAAGAGACATCGACCGGTTGATGAAAAAACTCGAAGAACCATCAACATCTTTCAAATCGCCCACACAAATTGAAGAAACTCAGAAAGATGATGAAGAGCAAGAAGAGGAGATTACAGCACCAATTTATCTCACTCAAACAGGAAAAACTCAACTACAACCAATAAAACCCATCTCCCAAGTACATTCGATACCAAAAACAATGACTCAACCGAAGAAAACAACAATTACGCAGCTGAATGAAATCGCCATTCAAACAGATAATAGTCAAACTACTTCGTCTACTCATCCTTGCTGTCAAGATGTGTCCACTTGTCCTTGCGTTCTCGTAAGTGACATACTCAATCAATCATTTTCATATTTTTATTTTCTTTTTTGTTTTTTTTAGCGATACAGTAAACTCGAACGTTTATTTATGGAGAAGATGTCTCGATTCGTTAGTATTGTCCCAACAATACCAAGCTCAGACATTCAACCGAAACGCCGACCCGTGCAACACTATTCTCGATTTCGACGTATTCGCGGTCGTCGACGAAATAATCCACGAATGGTTGTACCTTCACCTCCGAATAACGAATCAACAACAGTTGAAGAAACGTCCGATGAGGTAAAATCTTTGCGCCAACATTGTTCAATTGATTTCTTTTATGTATTTAGGCAACAATCGAGAAGGACAATCAGGTTGAAGAGACTGTTCAACTTCCACCTCCTCCAGTTGAAACTATTGTTCCTCCTACACCTCCTCCTGTTACTATGACGAATCCGATAGACAATATTCTTTCTTCCACGATAATAAAAGAAGTTACAGCAGAACCAATTGGTGATTTATCTACAATTGAAAAAGTTGAGACAACTGTATTGATGGATCATTCATCAACACTCCTCATTTCATCGAGTAACAACACTTGTCCAACTGGTCGACGTTTAGTTCTAACGGCATCCTCACTCGATGAAACTCAAAAAGTAAAAACACATCGATCCTAATCCTTTTCGACTCTAGTTGTCCTTCTTTTTAGTCACAATTTCGTTCATTCATTAGTCGTTTCAACGCTTCCATCAGTTCTGCAGTCGATTCTTCCACTACTCATGTCATTGTCAACGAGCAATCTGTACTTGTTTGTCCGTTAACTGGAAAAACCATTCAAGGCATTGCTCGTCATTTATTCATCGTTTCACATCGTTGGTTAAATGAATGTATAGCTCAAGATTCCATCGTCGATGAACGTCCCTACGAAATTCGTGGTGATACAAGTTTAGGCGTTGATCATGGTGGAATGCGCCGATCACGTTTAACACCTTCATATCTTCTGGAAAATTATTCGATATTTCTACGTTGTTCGGCTAGCGATTGTGCCCCATTGCAAACAGTCGAACAAGTGCAAGAATTAATCGAATTATGTGGAGCGAAATTTATACGCAGTTTTAGTGAAATACGAACGATTGATAAACAAAGACAAATCCTTCTTGTTCTTGGTATTCACGGTTTCAATGGAACGGACAAGAAACGCAAAGCTCTTTTGGACACTTGTCAACAATTTAATGTTCGATGTGTAAATATTCATTGGCTACTGATCTCAATTGCGAAATATGAAGTCCAGCCAGTGGAAAGCTTTGATATTAATCAAGAGTGACGCGTCCTTACTTTTCGTTTATCGGAGATTTTCAATCGATTTAGGAGATATGTTAACCATGCAATAGTTTTGATGATTTTTTGTTGTGAAAAAAAAAACGAATCTATTTTGAATATGTAAAGAATGGAAATAATTAGTCAGATAATATCAGATGATCATTTCGTATATGAATATAATCGTGATAAAACTTGATCTCTTTTTTATTCTTCAGATATGGATGCGGCTATTGAGCAATACGCTCCGAGTGAAGCTCTTGACGACACTCCAACAGTATCATTATCATTGCCTTTTATTCTTCATCCTTCTTGTCTTCATATGCAAGTTCGTTCCGGTTCAAAAACAAAGAATCTGATACAATTTGCTATGCGAAAACTATTTCCAACTGATGCTGGTGTTATTCCGATTGAACAAATCACATGGAATGCATTCGGTGATGGAATATCGAAAGCGATTGCTTGTGCTGAATTAACAAAACGACGTTCACAGATGAATTTTTATGAACATGTTCAGATTGGTTATAAACGAATTGAACAAATTTGGCGACCGGTGAATTCGAACGTTGAGTTAGACACATTAAAAGTGAATAAAGATATTCCAGCGATTTGTATTTTTCTTTCGAAACTTCCTTTAGTTAAATTAAATGAAGGAGATAATTAATTGTTTTAGATACAAAAAAAAGCTATCTGTTAACATGTCGAGTGTAGCTTTAGTGTTCGACATTATCGCATCTTGTTTGATAGCATTAATCTTTCTTTATCGTTGTGGAAATTACCGTCGACAACATCCGATCACAACCGTGGCAGTTTTCATATCATGGTCATTCTCAGTTTCATTCATCTTTCTTCTTCCATTGGATATTTCATTAGTAAGTGTTTGTCTTATCACCTTCATGTACATTTCTCTGTCTCTCACTCGTTTTAGGCAGCATATCGGGAATGCAGTAATCCGAATGTCACAACCACGACAACGGCGAGCCCAATTAATTTAAATTTAGTAAGAAAATGATTTCATTGAGATGTGTAATGCGAATATTGTTGTAGAGCAATTCAATCGAAAAACCATGTCCGCAACCATGGTCTTATGTAAATCAGAAATCGTACGGCGTTTTGTGGAGAATTATTTATTGGACGTCACAATGTTTGACTTGGTAAAAAAACTTCACTGGTTTTTCATTGAGAGATAGCCTTTATTTACTCTTCTTAGGCTTGTTTTGCCATTCATGCAGGCAGTCTGTCAAACAGGTGAGTTCACATAGACTGATTTCTCTTCAACAATGGAAACTGTTCATGTAGGAGAATTTTATTGGAGAGGAAAAATTCGCTATGCTCTTCGATCAAATCTGTTCTATTATGGAACACTCTTATTACTATTCGGAGTTCTTGTTATTTATGTCGCGATTAATTACCATTTAACCGCGTCTAATTTCAAGGTAGATTATTACGAGAAAAGAACGACTGAGACTAACGATTTGGTGTGTTTTTAGGTAACAATTATCGCAGCAAGTACAACATGGGGTTTGTTTCTTCTTGTTCTTATGCTTGGTTATGGTCTTGTCGAAGTTCCAATAAATGTTTATAACCATTCTCGAACATCTTTTGCTCTATCTCATGTACAATTCAAATTATCTCAATTATACAATGAAAAAATCGATATTGAAGAACGTTTGGAATCTCTTGTCGAAGAAGTTTCGAAATTGTGTCATCAAATCAAATACAACGACTCATTACGGCCATGTTTAGAAGAAATTGTTCGAATTATACCTGAACAATATTCTAATCGAGTAAAACTCACTATGGACGATTATGAAGATTATCGATCAACAACAACATCAAATAATCTAGTTGATTTACCAACAGAAAAACAGCTGATTAAATTACATGGTCTACTAAAGAAAAGTAAACATATTCATCATCGTGTTCAAGCATCGTGGGTACAAATGATTGATGAAGCATTTTATTTGGAAGATATTCTGAATAATGAAAAGAATACCAATCGTTCATTTATTAAACAAAGTCCTCTACCGAAATCTTGGTTGAGACAAAAACTATTTGATGAACATCCAGTTTTAGGTAAACATTTCTTTTTCTCATTCAGATTTCGTTCATATTTTTCTCTTATAGAATGGTATACATTGTGCTTTTTACGACCATGGGCTCTTCGTATCCTTGGTGTTAGTTTAGGCATTTTATCAGTCATTGTTATCTGGTCTGAGCTAACATTTTTCAGTACAAGACCTGTTTTATCGATATTTGCTCGTATTGTCAATTCAGCACGTTCTCATTATGATTATTTCACAATAGAAGTAAATTTGCTTTTATTTATTAAACAATGTTTGATCGAATTGATTTATTTTCTAGATTGTTTGTTGTTTGAGTCTTGCTTATTTATGTTTATGTGCATATTATACAATATTTCGTATTCGTATATTTAATTATTTTTATTTATCGCTCTACCATTTGACGGATGAAAATAGCTTAATTTTCGCTGCAACATTCCTTTGCCGTTTAACCGCACCGTTGAGTTACAATTTTCTTGGAATGATTCATATGGATCAAGTGATTACAACAGAAACGTCTCGACAAGAAACAGTTTTTACTGAGGTAAAGAACATATTTTTGTGCTGAAAGAGAAGAATAAAGAGATTTTTTTTATAGATCATGGGCCATATGAATGTTATTCCAATTATTTCCAGTGGTTTTAACTTTTATTTTCCGATGTTAGTATGTTTGTTATGTGTAGGAACATATTTTCGATTTGGTTCACGATGTTTACACATATTTGGTGTACGACAATTCTTTGATGATGATCATATTTCAGCTGAATATGTGGAAGATGGAAAAAATCTCATGAAAAAAGGTTCGATCATTTATTTTTCCCTGTCGTCTCAAAGATGAGTACATTTAGAACGACGAAGTTTTGGTGGAATCGATATTTTATCAACAGTACCGAATACAACCACAGCAAGTCAACGAAGAGATCGTCGTAGAGAAATTGAAGAAAAGTACGGATTGCGATCATCATCAGCAGCAGCAGCAAAGAATGTTCAATTATCGAAATATCGAGATGATGAATTATCTGAGATCCAATCAGGTAAGATTCAATAATGAAAGATGACTTTTTCAAAACATATTTCAATAGAAACTCGTCAACTAAAAGGTTCAATATCAAGTTCTGAAGAACCATTGATAACTATGAATACTAATCAACAAGTTTCATCAAATTCGACAACAATCACAGGTATGAGAACAAACATAAATGAAATTTGTATCCATAGAAATCGAAATCAATGAGTGAAAGTGACAGAAACTTTGTTTTAGCATCGATCCGTAGATTGTATAAATTTCTATCGTAATGTTCGGTAAACATTCACGAAAAAAGAAAAGGGGGCGATGAACGTTGCTTAGTACACCATTTGATATTTTATTGACAAATATGAATATTTCTCTTCTTTGCTTGATCTATTTTATTGATAACAATCTCGAAATCGATCATCTATTTTGTTTAGGTTCTTCTCGTCGAGCACCTCCACCGACCAATATCTTTAATGATATTTAAATGTCTCTTTTTTTTCCTGTTGTTATGTATTTGTAAACATCATTCTAATCTCTACTGATTATTTCTACATGTTGTTCTTTGATTTGTGAACCAATCAGTTATTAACTTCTATTTCTCATTATGAAAATTGTATTTATTTGATGTTGTATTTTGTCTTTTCAGATGAATAATCCCGAAGAAAATCCAACTGCAAATAATTTGAATGCATTACGTGCTGATGTAACAGCAACAACAGATGTTTTGAAAGTAACAGTTGATAAATTAGTTCAACGTGGAGAAAATCTTGATGCACTCAATAATCGAGCAGATGATTTATATTCAACTTCATATCATTTCCGTGGAGCAGCAAGACGCGTAAATCGAAATATGAGATGGAAAAACATCAAATTAACTGTTTTTCTTGGTGAGTCTGTTTAATTGAGGTATATTTTGCATTGATCTTTGTTTTCTAGCTCTTGTTGTGATCGTGGTCATTGCCTTTATTGTATTAATGGCTCTTCATCCATGGAAGAAATGATGAAATGTTTTTTTTTTGATTTTGTAGATATGGGGATTGAACTTCTGATTTGTAAATGATTTGTTTACATGTGAAAAAGAGTGATATCCTATTTTTATCTTTAATTAATATTTTAAACAAGATTCATATAACATACGATTTAGAAATGTTCGTTAGATTAAATTGTAAATACGTTAGAAAAAAAGATATCTACGCCTTCAAATGTATCATTCGTAGAAGTTAAAATATCTATAAATTGTGTAGATGTTTATTATCAAAAGAAAGAAATCGAATATCATGATTATAAAAAGAGTTTACGAATGGATATTAATTAACGAATTCTTTTCCTTGATACATGAATTAAAGCGCCTGTTAAAATAATGTCTCTTGAAACTACAAATGATCTAACATTTCATTTGATAGCTCGTAATGAATCTTTTGAGTTATCACTAATTTTATATCGTCAATTTGTTCAATCTTCAATAAACTTTGATTCAAGTGTTCATGTGTCGAATAACGAACGTCAAATATCACTGGATGTTGATCCATGTATTTTCAATGTATATCTTCTATATATTCAATCAGGTTGTTTTGTACGACCAGATTCTCTATCTCAAGAAGATCTCATTGACGGATTACGTATTTGTGGCGCACCTACTTCGTTAATCAATCATTATGAACAAAATAATTTAATTAGTTCACCATTTTCTTCACATCGTTTGCCGAGTAAAGAACAAAAGTTACAACGAATTTTACTCGATATTTTCCTTTTATTTCAATTGATTATCGGAACATGCATTCTACCGATGGATCTATATCGACAAATATTAATGTTTAATGGAAATTCACTTGAATATATATCGAAAACATTCGTTGTAATCGTCTATTGTATCGATAGTGCTTTGTTTCTGTATTCAACAGTACATGCGACATCAACATTTTTTGTGAATATCAGAGAAGGAAAACAATCGTATAAAGATCTGAATATTTTCATCGATATTATCTCTTGTTTCGGTGTCATATCTTATTTCACTGCACAACGTCCGATAAGCAATATCTGTTTGTTTAAATCAAATTTTCTTTGGATTTCAGTACACATATCTCGAACCCTACGTGTAGTTCAACTTGGTTATCATTTGATCAATATCAAATTATGCTTATCTGCTATTTTTCAATGTCTATGGAGATTTCTACAAACTCTCATTGGACTCTTTTGGATCTTTATCTTTTCCGGCTCGATTTTATATCTGTTCGATATCATAGAGAACAATGAACAATACTCAAGTATTTATTCAACAATTCTTTCTGCACATGAAACATTGTACACGATCGGATACCGAAACAATGCACCATACGGACATTTGACACGATTATGGACTATTCTCAGCATTTTTTTCCTTTCATCACTTGTGCAAATACTTTGTTGGCAATTTCAAAGGCAAGTGATCATGAAAATACGAACGATTCGGTAAATAAAAGTCATATTGGACTTTATTTATCTATGTCAATCGTTCAGATTGATGTTTCTCAATCATGTGCATGTTCTTTCCTTCTTATTCACATGCAATGCCTTTGTTCATTTGAAGTAATTACGGGAAAGGTGTGCGTGCATATTTGAAATTTAATGCCTCTAAGTAGTTCTTGTCGCGTCACCGAAGACGTTCAACTCGGTAGTGCCAGTGCTGATAATGATTTGAGCGTGTTAGCTAATCCACACGGTGCCAAATGACAGGAAGTAGAAATAGAACAGGAACAAAATTTGTTCATTATGTCAATTGAAAAAAAAAGAGAGATGAGAGATAAAGAAAAATTCATTTAGTCACCGTCTTTTTCTTTTCTTCTTTCATTTTCCTTTAACAAACATAGAATGACTCGTTTATCAGATTGCACCACTGTGAAAGGTCACTCGTATTTCATTCTTTGGAATGACACTTTCATTTTCTAATTTTCTCTTTAATAAATTCTTGTATGTGCTCTTTCTCCGTATGAAAAGGAAAAAGGAAGGAAAGACGATGAAACACATACACACACAAAGAAAGAAGAAAAAATGAGCTGTTCGACCGTAAAATTCTAACGTCTTTATCTCACCCTACTTTCCTTTCCTCACTCTTATTTCTCCATCGAAGTCAGAACTTAAATCTACAAAAGAAAAGAAAGAAAGGAAGGAAGATTTATACTCTACACGACAGACAAAAAGATCGAGAATGATGATTATCATGGAAAACATACATTGACTCTATCTCGCACAAGTAAGAATGGTTAATTATTTCTAATATCTCACCAGAGACAAATTATCTCAACAATGTCTTTGTATATTCTACTCTATTTTATCGTCATTTTTCTTTCTTTCTTTTGTTTCTTATTAAATAGAAAAAAAAGAGGTGCTGGTGAAAAAAAAAAAAAAACTTCACTCCTCCGCACACATGTTGTCGCTAAGTAGACGTAAAAGAGAGAGCAGAGTTGTTGTGAAAGATAAACTGACTGGCTGACTGCAAACGAAGGAGCACAAGCAGAACGGAAGANTTCGTGTGAAAGAATGTGATGATCAGATGTCAACATACATTGAGAATGAAAAAAAAAGACGAATGAAGCTGTATCAATACAGATTTCATTACAGAATCAAGAAAGGAGAATGATGTTATTTGCATAATTTATTGCTAAAGAAATCAAAAATGTCTACTTCAGATGTTGAGTGAAAGAAAGAAATCGTGTCAGTTTAAAGAATGTTCAATTATTTATAGATGATATTCTCTTTTTCTTTTAGAAAATTGAACAAAACTCCACGTTGGAATGTGGTTGTATTCTTACATCTGATCAATCTCGTTTAACAATTAGCGATAAATGCAATGTAAGAACAAAATCTCGTTGTTTTCTTTAATAAATAATATATGTTTTTCTTTAACTTTTAGTTATCGCTAAAGGACATGAAAGTAATTCATCGATTAGCTGAACCACTTCGCTGTTTGTGGAAAACAATTGGTCGAGAATTATCGCCATGTTTCAATGAAAATGATTTAAATGATATCAATCAACGATATTATCTGAGTGATGGAAACCATGAATGTGCTTATCAATTACTACGAGAATGGTATATACGTGAGCCATATCAAGCAAATGTTCGTTGTTTATTAACTCGAATGAAACTTCCTTTCGATTTAATTGAAATCATTCACAATGATGTTGTTAGGACATTTCTTTCCTCGTAAAATCAAAAAATTCTTTTCTTTTGTTCTGAGTATACTTCAGACACATTCCATTCAGTTTGCTTGTACAGTATTTGGCTTTTTGACGTTCTTCTTTTCTTCTTGCTTTATTTGAGGCGTGTGAACTGTTGTTGGCTTTTTCTTGTCTTTACGTGAGTGTTTTTCTGAATGTTTTCCTTGTCGCTAGCCGTCCAAAGGTGCCAGCCGATTGTAACAAAGAATGAAAAAAATGTTTCTATGATCATTTTTTTTCCTGTACATATTCATTTGTTTCGTTTCTTCTTTTGCATGCGTGTGATTTGGTTTCAATTGGAGTCGATGAATATATGTATATGAACTGAGGTTCACTTGTAGCGTCTTCTTATTTTTCATATGTGGGAGATGAAGATTAAACTAAAACAATACTTACAGTTCCATTCATCCCATTTATTAAAGTAACAATCGAACGAGTGTTTTGTGGATAGGATATATGAAAGCAAAATATTCTGCACATCTTCGAAAAGTACATCGGAATGATAACGAAATCACTTGTCGTGTCTATCTATTAGACTTGTCTTAAATCAGTTATACAATGAATGCAAATAATTTCCTTTTCACATTATATAACAATTAGAGACAAACATTTATTGATTGTCACAGAGTCGTCTAAATGATTTGCGAAACTTTGGCGTTGCTTGAACTTTCCACATTAGACGAATAAATCATTTGCAAACGTATGTCGTCTACCGACATGCCTCTTTTATTGATTGAAAGTTCGTCGATTCTATCTTTCTTTGTTCAATCATCTATATGCTTATATATATACAGATAATACATGAAGTGACAACATCATACTCATCAAAAAGACGTTTGTACAAATCATTCCTGCAATCTAGCGTAGACTTCAGTGAATTTCAATTATGGGAGAAGTACACAATCATATCCATATTCATTTCACAATAAAGGAAAACCATTTGATTGTAAAAACAACTGATCTTTTCGAGAAAGAAAAAATACAAAAAACGAAATGTTAGGGAAAAAAGATCATCTCGTAAAGTAGCTAGTCGACAGAACAAATAGATTCTAAAAAAGTAACTGAGACGATGTAAAAAATGAGAGCATATGGTTCTCGTTAACGAAGAATATTTCTGGTTGAAGATTCACGATGAAGGTTTGATGATATTTTTTCTCACTGTAAATAATCATATATATACAAATCGTGTTATCCTTATACTGTCCGTGCTTCATTCATATCATATATAAATCAGCTGTTTGCCGTTCTGTTCATTTGAATGATCATGTCGTTCACATAAAGAAATTTCTTCATAGATTTTGTTTACGGAATCATTTTCCTTTAAAACAAAGATTGAAATGCGAAGATTATAGAACTTTTGTATTGAGAGAAAACTCAGACATTTAGTGGAAGATAAACAAACAATCCTTTCATCATTTGAGATGTATCAAACAAATTCTTTTCGCATACAACGATTTAGGGATTTCTCGAAATAAATCATTTCTTTCATTCGATAAACCTTGACTGTGATTTTCAGTCAGAAAAGACTTTTCTATTCATCGTTCTCTCTCTTATTCGTCACTTGCACCGCTGTTGTATTCATCTGTCTGTAATGTATGTATGGAGACAATACTGATAAACAGTGGTTTCATTGTTCATGTCATATATGCGTACAGATCATATCGATATTCATCGTACAAGGTTAAACATGTATTTCTTTACGATCTTAATTGATTGCTCCCTTTTAGATGCCTTCCATACTGTCTTGTTGTTCCAACTTTTTAAACAAACATACGAACACGAACAACAGCAACAATCACCGCGACCACCACCCTCAAACAATCACTCTCCAACCACAGGCAGCAAGTCAAAAACCTATTCGCTTGAGATCTTTTTCACAATTCGTTACATTCTTTAGAACCAGCAGAATTCGTCTTCGACTCCCACACCATCGATCGACATGCCGGTACGATTTCATCGAGGTGACACAAGTAGGTATGCACCAATACCAAAACTAGTTTTGATATTGAAGTCTTTGTCTTGATGTGGTTTTGATTTCGATACTTTAGCTCCCAGGTAGATCATTCCGGCGACTGGATCCGTTGAAATCTGAGTCGGTTCCGGCAGGTTCCTTGCCGCCGGATTCCGGCCGGAATTGCACAGGAAATATCCGATCAGTTCCTGACCGTTTCTAGCTCGAAGTTTGCAGGAAACGGTCGGGAAATGACTGGAACCTAAGTTTGAACTTTCGGCCGGAATCCGGCGGCAAGGAAATGGTCGGAAAACGAACCTAACCCACCGTGCCGTAATAACCTGGGTTTTGATCGTTTAGTTTCAGTTTTGGATTTGGGTCTGAAAGTTTTGGTTTTAGCTGTTGAAAACAGTCTTATCTGATTTATCTTGAAAAACGAGCAAAAGTATTGAAATCACATCAAGACTAAAATCATAACAAAACCAATACCAAAACTGCCAAAACCTTATCAAAACCTATAATGCAAAACCAAAACTAAATCAAAGCCAAATCCTCAAAACCCGAAAGGTTTGATATTGGTGCGTGTCTAGGCACAAGATCCGCCATCCGGCGGCGCCACTCCACCTTGCCCAACATCAATGTCCACATTCACAATGCTTAACAACAATGATTTTTTTCTTGATACTATTTTTCTTCGATTTCTTTATTGTGGAAAAATTAGATTTAATCAATAAAATATATCTTCTCACTTGTACATTCGAACTTAAGATAGATTAGAAGAACGAAGTTCTCCATATTTCACTTTGAGTTAACCCCATCCTTATAAAATTGTTCTCGATGGGCAGATTTAAAAAAATTGAATTTATTATTGAGATAATTTTTTTTTCGGAATTTTTCATTAGAATTCAATGATAACGTCGCAATTGAATAATAGGGCAATGACAATCTTGTGTATTTATTCATTTGGTAAATAAGTCAAGGAATTATCGAACGATATAATGCAACGAATTGAACAATTGATCCACCATGTAGTGTTGTTGGATCTCCTTCACAGTTTGCTTCTTTTTACTCGAACCTATTTTGTCGATGCAATTTACATAATTTCATTGATTTCTCTCACAAACGAAAGTAGCGTGAAGATCAATTTCCGCGTTCGAATCTACTAAAGGTCCATCATCATGGTGATAACGTGTTATCGATTGACCGCAGCGAAGAAGAATTTCCTTGATAATACCAAACAGGTAACGTTCGTCATATCGATTCATTTAGTCCTCGGCTGCACGACGTTGAGTTTTTCTTTTTTACTGGAAATCCAACAAAGAACGTGGCCCAGACACAAATCCAATACAAAACAATGACTTTTCTTCATTGCTTGAGCTCGGCAGTATTTGTTTGTTTATGGCAGCTCCAACTTTAAAAAAACCGCCCTCATATATTTCCACCTGTGAACAAGTACACCCATCCAGCACTTGAAGGCCTCAATATATCCGTCCAGTATACCACTTTACAGTTCACACACACACACACACCCTATGGAAAAGTCGATGATATTGAAAAATACTGTTTTCACATATTTGTGATTTTCTTTTTCAACTATTACGAAGAAAAAAAGAATCTGAAACGAATAGAGTGAAAAATAAAAATATCCGAACGTTTCTTTATATTTATCTGAAAGAGATCTATCAAGCGAATATTCCCTCTTTCTTTGAAGATGTTGAGTTTTCAAAAATTCTTTTACAACATGATGTCCATGTACAGTGACAGCGTCTGTCTCTCAGAAAAGCAAACCATATCACGAATAATGTTGCCAGAAGCAAAATCCCAAGAACTCCAAAAGCGGCACATAACTGTCTCAAATACGATTCACCATTTGGAATTTTCCATATACATAGTGTGACACGTGTTCTATCATAGAAACATAAGTAATGGTTACCTATCTGTAAAATAGAATACGATGTAGTTATACAAAAGAAGAAGAACTTATTTCTATACCTGTGTCTGACTATGTTTTGTAGGCTCTTCTTTGGTAAAGATGAGACTATTTACTAGTGTTCCATTATGAATTAAATATGAAACCCAGAAATTTTCATCATAGCAAGGAAGATGCTCACAGCCCTCTCCTGAGCAATCAAAGCATGTATGTGCATGAATCGTATAGTTTAATAGTAAACAACTTGTATTATCATAGAGATGTTGTGATTGTCGTTCTTTGACATACTTCGCTGTTGCAATCGAACCCCAAATAATCCATGGGCCATAAAATATCAAACCAATTACTGAAAAAAATAGATGGAAACCGCCCCAATTGTCGAGAAATTTGCAACATGATCTAGTCATTTGAAATATTGCTCTGTAACGCAAAATTCAGCGACAAATAATCATTTATAATCTATCAGGAAGATATTGTAAAAGATGAAAGAAGTCTTGTCTTTCAATGAATTTCGTTGACAAATGATAAGAACGAGAATATTTTCATTGACAACGTGTGTTATTGATGAAGAAATTTCCTGATTTTACATGTAAAATTGACTTCAGATGAACTGGATGTCTCGAAAATGTTTCATTCGTGATACGAAAATGTATAAGTCTATGTCTTGAATAGTAATTTAATCCTACTGAATAGTTTCAAATCAATGATATGATAAATCAAAGTATGAAGTACTGATGATGCATTTTTATTGAAAAAGATCTTTTTAAACTTAGAACCTTTAATATTCATAGAATAGTTTTAGTTGTTATTTTCTTTGTCATCAATTGTTTTTGTTCATTTGAGATTATTCGAGAATAGAGGAAAATGAGATAACCACATGCACATAAACCGCATAGTGTTGTTATACAATTTGTGACTAATGTTACATACGACCATTTCAAAGCTTTGGAATAATTTTGTCGTCGTTTAAATTTATGTGTTCGAAAAGAACAACCAATTGCTATTACACCGAGAATGACGCCACCAATAAGAACATTTAAATAAGACCAAATTATCCATTCATGAAGTGATTCGATCGATTTGGTGTTGGTATTTTCTTCCGATTGTTCTACTACGTCATGGTCAGTAAGTAAAGGATCGTCGTCATTCATTTGCCACGTATGTCTTGTTTTTCTTCGGCGAAACAATGATGAAGTTAGTATTTGACCTGCATCGTAAAAATAAAAGAACAATAGGCAGTTATAAATTTTGATCGTCCTTTTAGTCAGAGCGCAGGAAAAATAAAGCATACAATGTATATCATTGCAGATTATATACTCATAATAAATGTTTATCGATGTCTAAATCGCGTTCTGTTGATATACTTGTAATTACGAGTTTTCTTCGTTGAATTTGCAATCGTGTTAGGACTTAAAATTATGAAGTCACGGATGTCAACAGTAAAACATGTCGAACGAAGGGAATATTTTTATATAAAATCTCAAATAATGTCTCATGTCAAACAATTGTTATTTTCAAAAAAGAAAACTGTAGATTCTGTGTACAAAAACATAAACGCATAGAAATAAAAGTAAATATACTCTGAAGAAATGCGTTATTTAAGGGAAGAGATATTTTAATCAAGCTATTCTTATTCCACTCATGCATGATAGACTGTTTTTTCTTTCTCCGGATCCACATGTTGAGTATGTTGATGTGTGATTTTATATAGCAACTACCTCTCGTTTTTTTCAAATGTATTAATCTCATATTCTTTTTATATCTTACACTTGCTGCATGACTTATGTTTGAGTGAACCTAAATAAAGAGAAAAAACACGCAATTGCACGTGTATAATGGTAAAAGTTAAGGGAACTACGGATCTCTCGTGTGCCAGTTTGATGTTATCTGACCGTTGAAGAGATATTAATCCGAGACGATTATCGTATGCGGTATGTGTATTGTCTGGCTAACTCATGCTGGTGTAATTGTTAAATTTTATAATAGTAGTAAATTTGAAGATTGTATTTAACCATGTCGTCGATGTGTTTATTTTCGACATGATCAACCCTGGTGACTGAGAAGCCAATCTCACACCTTCGGTTATGCCATTGAGTCCAACAATAATAACACGATCAGAACGAATGCTTAATAAATGAAGGTGTAAGGACATCTTCTAGAGGATTATGTTTGACGAAAAAGTGCATATAACCTATCTAGTGTTTGTTCCTTGCCTCTTTGTTTTATAAGAACAACAGGTGCCAAGCTTAGTTCGATTTTCACTCATTCTGTTCTAAATATATAATTGGAAAGATTATTTCGAAACAGTAGTATTTCATTGTTATTTTACCTCTTCAAGCATTAGACAATCCTGCAACCTATCTCTATTGTATGTATTTTTCATTTTTTTATCAAGAAGCAGTGCGACTAACTGGCAATTCTCCAATCCTTTCACATCAGTCTTTGAACATATACTTTTCACTTTCGAAAGAGTCAAAGTCTCCCCTTTCAGTCAATGTAGAAAAACAAAATAATGGGAATATATCTTTGCGTGATACGTAGCAAATTTTAAAAAAATTCTCTCGAGAGATGACTTTTTAGCTAAATTCATTACACAAATAACTACGCACAAACAAAATCCATTTGCAAAACCACTTTTGAACAACACATGCAAGCGAAATATAATAAGAATTAATATAGAATAATTCTTTTAAGGAAACAAGTTGATAGATCGACGCAACTATTCAACCATCAGTACAAGAATGGGCTTGATGACTTTTGCATGGGTCGTATGTATCCTGTTATGGAACTTAGGAAGTGCGGAAGGTCGTATCCAAGACTTATATAACGAGAATACACCTGATGCAATTCAGGTAATATTGTTCAGAGAAAGGCTTTTCAGTACATTACTAATCAAAGATTGAGTTTCTGCTCTTTTCTTATAGCAAAACACAGTAGCAGGCGGGACTCACAGACGCTTCCAAAACACAAGAGCTGTCACCAACCTGGCTTTGGGCAGACCTTGTTATGCTTCGTCAGATGATCTGACTGGCAAGCCTGTTCGCATGGCTTTCGACGGAAATTCCGCCACACGTTGGTCATCCGCCTACGAAGATGAGCAGTGGATATATGTAGACTTGGGTTCAGTTCGGGCGATTTCAAGCGTCGTCCTTCAGTGGGAAAGCGCGTACGCACGCATGTTTCAAATTCAAACTTCGACTGATCTATCAGCATGGACAACCGTCTATTTCAATTATGATGGCAAAAGAGGTACTAATTCTATTCCTCTGTCAGTTAGTGCACGGTACGTGAAGATGTATGCGTGGCAAAGAGCAACCCAATGGGGCTATTCTCTTTGGGAGATGGAGGTGTGGGGCTCGTCGACGGAAACATCAACCAAACCAATCACCGTACTCGATTATTTCAAAAGCATTAGTGGTAAACAAACTGTTATCGGCATCCATAATCGAGAACCTAACTCAGCACCAGCTATGCAGACGAATAAAATCTATAGCATTACGGGCCGCTGGCCAGCACTATGGAGTGGAGACTTTCTGTTCACTTCGAGCGATGTTAATAATCGATGGACAATGTTCAACGAAGCGCTGAATCAATGGAAGAGCGGTGCAATCGTCCAGATTATGATGCATGTCGTTCCTCCTACTCAACTCGAACCTGGCAATTGGGAAGGTGGAGTAGTCAGTCGTCTGAGCAACGACCAATGGAACGATCTGATCACGAATGGTGGAAACCTCAATCGAGCGTGGAAAGCGCGGCTAGACAACTATGCGCAATATTTTCAATTTTTGAAAAATAACAATGTTCAAGTCCTATTTCGACCGTTCCATGAGATGAATCAAGGTGTTTTCTGGTGGGCCGGTCGACCAGGTTCGAGTGGAACGGCAGCCCTGTACTGTTTGACACGCGATTATTTGGTCAATACAAACGGCCTGACAAATCTTATATGGGTATGGAATATGTAAGATTTAGATTATAACTGGAGTCCCTATAATCCTGGAAACGATTATTGGGATATTTTCTCGCTTGATGTTTATAACAAAGATGGCTATACTGCGCAGAAATACAATACGGCTGTCAGCGTTGCCGGCAGTAAACCGATCGCTATTGGAGAATGTGATGTTTTACCGACTGCAAGTCAACTTGCACTACAGCCGCGTTGGACTTTCGTTATGAGTTGGGCAGAACTTACATTCAGCAGTAATACAAACGCACAAATTCAGGCTCTTTACAGTGCGGGCAATGTTATAACGATGGATAAATTACCTAAGTTTTTTCGAAAATGAGATTCAAGACTGTGTTTGAATACATATCATAACCAGTTTACTTAGTCTTTAAAGTCTCATCAAGCGACTCCATGCGTTCTATAGTGATTCATATCAATTGGATATGAAGAAATAATCGATCGAAAGTATTTTATTCTAGTCTCATATGTGATATGATTCATCAATGACAAATCAAAGTAAATTAGTCTCTGTGGAAAGATGAACATCTCTTTTCCGGTGCCATGCACGTTATAAAGGATCAACTGTATCAATGCAAAAGTTGCTACGATGGAGTAGACTTTCCGTAAGATAATGATAAATCTATCTATTTTATTATTGAGTAAATGAAAATAAATGCATTTACATAAAGACTGACTTGCTTTCCTTATAGACTTGAACTTGTGAAACCCAGGTGCATCAATCCGACAACGGATCCGATAGGATCTTATAGAATGCGAGTATAGCATTGATGCACCTGGGTAGTACCTTGAATAAGTGAATATGATTAAAAAAACAAATACTGTCTAAAAAAGAGAGGTATATGTATCGCAATCTAAGTATTTGTCATTCAGATGATAATTGGTCATCAGTATCCAAAGTCATTGCATGAAGAATACGAGCCATCTGTTGTAGAGCTTCCGAATCGCTCTGATCTCTGGCAAAATCATTCAGTGAAACGGTTGGTTTGTTATCTACTTTGACATTAATGAGAATTGAGGCTAATCCCATAGAAACCACAAATTGTTGAGCAACATCACCAACCATGGAAAGGGTGAAAACGTTAGCTTGTGCTGCAGCTATTTTCTGTGTAAGAGTTTTTAATGCATTTGGATTCCTGAACAAAGTAGCAATGCATTGCATGTTGTCAGGTAGCTCTACTAGCACTCCAAATTCAGCCTTCTGCGTAATGTATGTTTTTACCGTGACACCGTTCTAAAAAAGAGGAATATGAATACATTTATAATATATAATGCAATGGAAACGTACAGGTTCACGACGAATACCAGTTAAATTTGCGTCTTGAAAGATCTTTTGTGGGACTTTTGTCAAATAGAAATCAATCTTATCTGGTAACCGAGTTACGAAATCACTGCCGTGTTTGCGATAATGGTATACAGCTTTAAGAGGGTTGTCAAATGCTTTCTTTGCATTCCTCGCGATGTCTGTGGCACGTGTAAGATCACGTTGTATGCCGTCAATAAAATCAGTTTTTCCATTACCTTTAAGATGATTCAGTTGTGTAATTAGGTCAGGTTCTTTCTTTCCTAAAATTTTAGATAATTAGAAAATTTGAATTGACAGCAAGAGTGGTTTACCTTTAACTTCGCTTGCAACCAGTTCGACTACACATAAAAAGTCGTCTAGTGTGCGACAATTCAAATCTTGAGCGAGTGTTTTAGCAGTACCAATAATATTTTTGTTGTAATTTCGAGCTGTATCTCCAAGAACAGTTTTAACTCTCTGCTTTTGATGTTCTGTCAAGTTTCGAAAAATATATTCATTATTTACTTGTACCATATCTGGCTCTACACCAAAGCCCCGCAAGAGATCGGCACGAAGTACAGTTAAATCAATTGGAGGTCTATTTGATTGATTGAAGAAAACTCTAAGAAGCAAAAATATATAAAATTCATTAAGATAGCTCAACAAAATTAGTTACCGATTCGGATTCACTCTGTGACTTTGACCATTATTGTCTTGAAGAATAATAGTCCGTCCTTTTCTGCCACCAATATCTGCTTTCATATCTCCAACGCCCTTGAAAAAAGCATTGGGATCATTAATTTTATTAATTGTTCGCACAATCTTCGAATTGTCTTTAATACCGCCGTTTCCACGATTTCTATCGATAAAATCTTGGAAAGATTGTCGTGCATCTGCATCCGTCATAGTATTCTTATAAGCACTAATATGTTCATTCTGCGCTGCTTTGATAATACCAGATGCAGTCTTGGGTTGAATCAAAGTATGACCGAAAAAGAAAACGCTCATACTAAATTGTAAAACATCCAAAGAAGATAATTGATTGTTCTTCGCCTTCTCTATTAAGTTAGCAAATCCGAATGCAATCATGACGGAATCCAGACCAACTGTTGTAAGATTCAAAATTGTTGCAGCCGTCCGAACGGTATTCGAAAAGATTCTTCCACTATTTCGAGCTCCAGCAGCTAAGAAACTATTTGTAGCAGCAGTTGCAAAATGAACAGGAGTTAAAATAATGGAGAGCCAACAAGTTAAAGATTCTAGATCAGCTAGACTTTCGCTATGACTGCCTTTATCAACCAGACGGTCAATCGATCTAAATGTTGAGATGCTTAAAATTTTCAGTATGTTAAATATATGCTACCTTCCTGCACCATAGACAGCGGCAGTCGTTCCAGAAATGGCGCTTCCGATGATAACTGCTGGTGCTAATGGAGTAAACATGGCAACAATGGCAACACCTCCAGTAGCAAGTGCAGTCACACCGCTAAATATATCCAACTGTCTTGCAACTCTGGCTGTGAAATCACATGCTGGAGAAGTACCAAAGTCAATATCTGGATCTTGATTAGGGTCAAACATATATGAATTGGCATGACTACATGTATAAAAGCCTCTTGAAGGATAACAATATTTCAACATCGGTAGTTTGTTATTTTTCGTCCAATCTGTCCAATTCTGGTAGACTCTACAGTTAGTATCGATGAAATTTGCAAGATCTCTATTACTGTCACCAACATAAACACGAAATATTGGTAACAAGAATTCTTTTTCCAGTTCCTTGCATGATATAAAAATAATGCCAACTCGCAATCTGGTTGCCGGTGAATTACTATAAACTTCAACGATCTTATTCCTGATTTTGTTTGCAGCTTCTTTTTGAGAGTCTGTATAGGCATCTTCGAGTTTTGTAAGATTATCATTCACCTCTGTAGGTTGACCAAAGAGAGCAAAACAAATTTTAATGGTTAGTAAAGATAATTCGTCATTTGCGTACTCATGCCATTGAATACCTTCATAACCCAAATAATAACTCTTTACAGCAGTACGAGCTGTTTGTTTCCATTTTATAACATCCGGATTTCCCCAAGTTGACCGATATTCGCGACTGAAATCTTGGCCCATTTCTGAATTATAATGTAAAACTGCAATACAATGATTAAATAATAATTCAGTCTTGGGATCGTAAACACAACAAATTAATAATAAGTTATATCTCCTACGATCTAAAAAGATATTCAAGATTCATTTTTATCTATTTTTCTAAAAATGAATAATTCAATCTGTGTAGGATTTCACAAATAGGTATAAAACAAATTACACACACACATGCATGTCCTTAGAAGTTGTGCCTACATTTCTTAATTTGATTTTATGAAAAGATTGTAGAAGTTTTTTTTCAATAATAAATACGAAAGCTGAAAATAGCAAGAAAATTGTTTGACGAATTCTTTCAAAACCACCAGTAATGTTCTTTAGGAATTTTTGTTAAATCCATGTGAGCGATATCGCCGTATTCCGGAAGACTATCTCGACTATCGGAAATATATTGCTCGACACATTGAACAGGATCGGATGTTAAAAAATCCTTGAGCTTCTGATACAATATTTCATCAGTTTTAAATTCATCGACTAGAAATTGTAGTCCAGAACGCCATATTTGCGCAGATTGTCGCAAGTCTGTATTCATGGATCCATGGATATCTACGAAAACACTATCTAAAACCGGAATTATGTTCGTCACGAATGTAGCTGCTTCAGATCTATCATGACTGCTGAAAAGAGGTTTGCCATTTTTGAAAGCTTTTTCAAGCAAACTTTGGACTGTTAACTTATTTGATGGATTGTTCAGTGCTTGCTTGGACAATTGTTTGAGTTGTGAGAGAATTTTTGTACTTGCTGAATGTGACATAACTGAAAAAAATAAAAGTAATTTTACCAAAAATTAGCTTGATGCTAAATAATCTAAATGTAGATTTTGTACATTTTGATGTTGGGTGTTTATTGTGAGAACATAAACAACAACATGATTGAAGAGAACCGAAGAGGACCACACACACACATGTAAAGAACATAGACACCTATATATAGGATCACGATAAGGAATAGTCCCATACATATATAAGAGAGAAGGAAAGAACCTTAAGGGTAGATATGTCCATATGACGACATATGATAAAAAAGGAAAAGCCAAATATGTCGTATATTGGAAGAATCCCAACGCTAAACATAATGTTTTTCAAATTCTCAATGATGGAAAACCTCATTAAGCTGTAACAGTCGATGGTGTATTTTTGTTTTCGACTGAATAGTTGTAAATTGAAAAGATACTTATTATATTTATATGATAATCGTGTTCTACGATAAGGAAGAGAAATGACAAAAAGGCATTAGTTTTAGTTTTTACTGCTTAAAAAATGAATAAAATTGGAAGTATGCCGAGCTTACGAATACAGTCGAGAATTTCCTCTAGAAAATGTCCTTTTTCTTTTCGTCCTTTCATGTATAGAATGTTACCTTATACTCATTATCATTAGAATATGTACCTAGTAGAATACATGTGCTCAATATGTACATTATAATTGCTAGTCAATTAGCTGAAAGAAAAGATAATAGATATTTTTAAAATACCGATATTTTATATGTTAAAAATTATGAGAAAAAACCAGAAATATTTCGTCGCAAAAGAGTGGATAATAAACAATATTTATTTATGTCTTAGAAGAGATGATAAAGAAAATATGCAGCTGTATAGCCTATACGAAACTACATGTAGTCACATACAGAAATGAAAGGGAAAAAACCAATAGTATGTTCTAGCTTATAAGTTATGTGTGTGAGATAATTCTGCAATGCGATAGAAGGGCTTCCTATATTGACATATGTATAATGATATCAACGAAGAAGGAAAAAAGAGAACGCAACGACGTACAGAACAGTCTAATCACAAACGAAGACATTGAGATAACAGATATATCACTTTGTGAAATATTTTCACTGAATTCCTTCTAAAGGCATGAACTGTCGTAGCCTGCAGGACAAAAAATGATACTAAGCTCATACTCAAGATTCTCGACCGCAATTACCCTTCGGTCAACCCTTACTCGGTAAAGAACTTTTTTCACTTCTTAATTAGTTATTTAACTATTTGGAATTTCAAAAAACTAACCTCGGATTCGAGATCCTGGACCCCGATTACATATTTTCAGTCATTTTCGTATGACCCTCGTGAAGATTTCTTTGAGTTTTGGAATGCTGCAATCTGATTGACTTATAGACAGACAGACAGAGACAGACAAACTTTAAGCATTTTAGCCCAGCATTTAAACGCTGTATAACCTTTTCTTTCAGAAAAGGAAAAAATATCATAGATAAATTCGCATTTTTATATGTAATTCAAACAAAAATAAAGAATGTGATTCTATGTGGAGAATCGATAAAGAAAAATAAAATTCCAGCACGCCTGGTTTAATCATTTTTTGCTCCCGCAAATATTTTTTTATAAAATTACATCTACCCTACCATCGTATTCATTCCATCACACGTTTGTAACTATCGAAACACTTAATACATACGCCCAATAATCACAAATACAAGCTCAAATTATCTTTCTATTTCGGTAAGATCTTACTCTCCATGAGAAAATCTCGAAATTTCTATTTCTACGTGGATAAAAAGTGTATTGTTTATAAAACATTCAATTCACAGAAAATTTTCGCTACACGAAAATTTTCAAGTGCCTCATGCCAGAAAAATCATCTATCGATGTTAATACATCAGAAAGTTCTTCCTCCTTAAAAAGTAATACCAGACAAGGAATCTACCAATCTTATTAAAATTTTTCGTTATAATTATATTCAAAAATACTCAGAACTATTTTTACACCGATTCCCTAATATCTGCTTCATTTGGGATTTTTAAATCTGATTCTCTTTTTTGTATATCATGGTTGGAGTTGAGATTAGCTTTTGACAGTTTGGCTATAGTTATAACTCGAGGTCATAGCTGAGTTAGAATTAAAACTTGACTTAAAATCATTTCCACAACGAAAAACGTAACGAAAAGTTCTTAGTTATACACAGTTACAACTGAGGCAGTTTAAGCTCCAACTGTGGAGTATAATATGTTTCCGACAAATATAAAGAGCTCAGAGCTAGACATCTCGATTCAAAAAACGGCCAACTCAACTCAATTCAGAAATATCTTCTATTCATTGAGAAAGACTAAAAATCCTTTAACAAAATTCGATCGGAATAAAGAGTCGTGTTCTATATGAGAATGTCTTAGTATATTGTCGAAGGTGAATCTTCTCGTTTCTATCCACTAAATACATATTTTGCGTGAAAATGGCACAATTCGAAGCCTAATTCAAATCGAATTGAGTCGCAACAATTTTCCATGCTATTTCAATTGAATGAAATTGAGCTTGAAAACAAAACTCGCCATATATTAATTGAGCTGAATTGAATAGAAACTTTGAGTGAGTTGAGTGAGAAAATTTTTTAGAAATCATTAAATTCAGTTAAGTTGAGTTGCCCAGATCTTTAAGAGCTCCATCATTTCTTTTCTGGAAATATAATCACAGTTGTGTCTGCTTCTTAAATAAAACATTCTAAACAGAATTTAATAAATTTTCATGATTTTAAGAATAAATGGATAGTTCAGCTTCATCAACCGAAAACGACGCAAGTGCGTCAGCTCCAAGCGGTTCTAGCGGGCTTACTGGCTGCGAAAGTGCAGATGTTATATGGAAGAAGACGGTGTCGTCTTCAACATCATCAGATTCATATGGATCTACACTTTCGTCGATATCGTCGATATCGTCGGCTTCGCCAATCGTATCAACATCATCGTCATCAGACAATGATGTATCATCAAGTGGATCGTCAGCTGCGCCACCACCCGGTTTTGCTATGCACCAAGTACAAAGCCAACGGCCAGATGACATGCGTCAATATGGTGCAACTTTTTTCACTTCACAGGATGGAAGAACAGTTACCGATTACCAATAATGGGACAGTATTTCCAAAAACAATTTTTTATTAAAAAAAACATTTACAAAAAAATTTATGCGTAAAAGAATTTTTCGTAAGAAAATATTTTTTCTCGTCGATTTGATCCATAAATATCGTTTTAAATGAGAACGAAATTTTTCCGCAAGTGAAACAAAAAAATTATAATAAATTCCGTCAAATATTTCATTTTTGTTTAATTATTGGTTGAAAAAACGAACCAATCAGGCATAGGCATCACCTACTGAACACCGTCCCATTCATATCACTGATGCGTTGAACACAGAAAAGATATACAAAGTGTAAGAAAATACATCATTTTTTTTTCTTTCGATTTTATTGACTGAACTGGATTAACCAATGGCCGACGTTTTCCCTTGCAAACATAACGCATTGTCATGTAATTATCGATTTTCACTGTGATGGATAACTCAAAACTGAAATCTGAGGCGTGGAATCCATAGAGCTCGTCAAGATCTATCTGGAAACGTTTATAGAATTAAAAAAATTCGTTTCCAGCCGAATCCTAGCAGGAATTCCGGCGATTTTTGTCATTTTTTGTAGTATTTTGGAATTTCAAGGGGTTTGGAGGGAAGGTTTGGGGAAAGTAATACGTGGAATCGATAGAGCTCATCGAGATCTGCTTGGAAACCATGTTTTCCGAATTGGAAACTTCTTTAGTGCGAATCGTAGCCGGATTTCGGCAATTTGGGCAGTTTTTAGTGTGATTTTTTAGTATTTTTTGAATTTTTTGGGGTCCTTGAGGGATGCCCGAAAAAACCGATTTGTGGAATCGATAGAGCTCGTCGAGATCTACTTGGAAAGTATGTTATCTTAGTTGGAAACTTCTTTGTCGCGAATCGTAGTTGAAAAAACTCGAATCTTATTAGAAGATATCCTACGTATTTGACAAGTAGTGTGCATTATTCTTTTAGATAATTGATTTAAACATAGAATTTAGAGATTACATTATGATTTTCACCTTTGGAACTCGTTAATAATCAGATGCTTCTGTTTGCACAATTTTGATGTTCGACTTAATTTAATACTAACATATATTACTTTGATTACATGAGGGATACTTTGCATTCGTTCATCTGAGACGAACGCACATCTTTATGAAGAAAGAAAAATTTCTTCTTTTCGATAGGCGAGATAATATCAATGAACCATGACCATTCATACATAAGAGGTCAAGATTATTTTCATTTGACCGTTAACATTAACAAAGTGCACTTTGTTTCAACTGTTTTGAGCATATCAGGTCGTCTGTTCAAAGTTTATATTTATATTGATTATATTGAATATGAAATCATTCGCATGTTAATGATGTTACAACTTGAACACATATCAAATGAAATTTTTCTTTGTATCTGGGATTATCTGCCATCTGCTGATGTCATTTATAGTTTTTCAAATCTGAACAATNATTTGACCGTTAACATTAACAAAGTGCACTTTGTTTCAACTGTTTTGAGCATATCAGGTCGTCTGTTCAAAGTTTATATTTATATTGATTATATTGAATATGAAATCATTCGCATGTTAATGATGTTACAACTTGAACATATATCAAATGAAATTTTTCTTTGTATCTGGGATTATCTGTCATCTGCTGATGTCATTTATAGTTTTTCAAATCTGAACAATCGTTTCAATTCTTTATTATCAGAATTTTATGGGCTTTACAAACAATTAGATTTACGTGATTGTTCGTTGGCAGCTTGTCGTTTTCTTTCGAGTGTAGTACCAACTATGGCTGAATGGCATCTGAACCTTACTGTTCTTAAAATGGGAAGTCGAGGTCGATGCTCTGAAGTAAATTTGTTTATAGATGGATTGGTCAAATCGTGTGGCTATATATCGAAAGATACTTCTCGTAGTTTAATGGCATATAAACACATAAAACCGATATTTCCTCAATTGGTTGCTTTACATATTTATTTGCCAAGATTATTTGATGCATATGTTATTGATACATTGCTATTCGTTATAGCTGGTGGAACAAAAATGCGTACATTTATTTGTGATACTTGTCCAACTCAAGTTCAACATTCAAAAACTTTCTTTCATTGGTTATTTCAATGTTCAATCAATCTCATTCGTTATACATTACAATCTTCGCAAACTGAGGATGGTTTTGAATTATCATACGAGCACACAATTGTTAATAATTATATTCAACATTATTCTCTTGTTCATCTCAAAATCGATATTCTCAATTTAAATACACTTTATATACTCATGCATTATCTCCCTCAACTTTTGCATTTAGGTAACACATAGAACTGAAGTATTTACTTATATATTTGTCTAATATATAGATGTGAACATCAGTAGTGTCATTGGTCGAACTAATGATATTAATCAAAATCTTATAACAAAACTCGATTATCCAAAAAAGCTGCGTGTATTGATTCTTCGGTAAAAAATATAATTATGTCCTAAGTATTGTCTTATTGATACGATTACTTTATTAAGGCATTTCCAAGTTGCAGGACCCAATTGTATTTATCTTGAGCAACTAGTCGATAAATATAAAAATACATTAGAAGAATTTTCTTTGTTTTTCGTTCATTTTTGTGATGGTGAATTTGATATATGTTTTGATGGTCATCGTCTTGCCACTCTTTGTGCTAGATTAATTCATTTACAAGTACTACATTTTTCGATTCAATTACAATTTCTAGTGCCACCAAGTAGACAGATATTAGACGGTTTCATTAAAGCTTTTCGAACATCTTTTTGGCTTGATGGTCCATTAGGTCAAATGCGAGTATGTGTGAATTATCATCGTGTAGTGGACTACGTACAAATATTCTCTCTTCCATATACATTTTTTGATAATCCTTTAAGTCGTGCAACAGATTTAATTGATACATTATTTAATACTGACGAAAAAATGCAAGGCATGACAAATGATTTATCTGTAGTATTTAAATCACTTTGGCGTGGTATGAAGCGTATTTATATGTGTTTTCTTGAAAAGGAAAAAATACCTATTTCAATTTTTCATGCACTTCAATGTCCATCCAGTCAGGGTAAGTTATGTATAGTAGTTTTTCTAAGAGAACATTTTGATTTACAGTTTGGTTAAATCATCATTGCAGGAAAAACATTGGGAATACCAGTTATGAAAGGAATCCTACCAAATGATATACCTTCTCGCATACAACTTACACATTTTACTTCACTTCAATTACTATGGGCATCTGATACCACGATTGATTATGATATTCAACGTATGTTCGTATTCGTTTTTTCTCAGACCAATAGTTGTCATTCTCATGATCGGCATAGATTCGACTCATAGTTATTGTCACTAAATTTTCTACGAATAGAAATCCGTTACAGATTAACTATTTATTTTATTAATTTGCATTTTATGCCATTATAGATATAATTGGCTGGATTCGTTTATTACCGAATATAAAAATTTTATTTGTTAGTACACGTGAATTGAGTTATTGGATTACTAATGGTTATGATAATCAATATCTTCAAGCATTCCTTGAACATATAAATCGCCTATATATAGATTGTTCATTTATTGTAAATGAACATTTGAATGAAGAATTAATGAATCCACTTCTGTCATTTATTATCAATAAACAACGTTTTCCTCGATTAGAATATCTTCGTTTTGTTGAATGTAAACATACTTCATCAGCGTGGTGTGATATTAACAAATGGATTGATTATATTCTTACACATATGGATAAACATCAACTAAAACATTTATGGTTTAGTTTTATTGACAAGGGCCAACAATTAACTGATATGAAGACAGGTGATGAAATAATTACAAATAATAATCCACCATGTATTATTGATATTCATCGATTCGTATCAGAAGATCATATTTCGTTTTGGATGGAAAGGAAATTCAAATAGTTTCTCTGTATGAACATAACTTCTATTTCTTCATAGTCCTGGTTCATATTAATGTGTTCAAAATTCTAACTCTTTTTTGTCTTGTTTTATTAAGAAAAGAAATGGAAGAGAAGAGACCATCTTATGTGCAGCAAAATATTCGGATACTCGTGTATATGAAAGCAATGCATAACACATGTGTAAGTGTATGAAGAGATGTTTTATTTTAGAATCGCACTAACTGTAAGACAATAAAAGAGTCTTTGTCAAAGTATTGATTCTGATTAATTCCATTATTGAAAATCGGGGTGTGTTGTGTCATCGTACGTAACACGATACGTTCCACCATATTGAGTACCCATGTTGCCTATTTTTTAATAATTGCGGCGAAGTAGCGCGCATTGTTATTTTGCGGTGTAACTACGCGCAACTACATCGCAATTTGATCGCCGTAGAATACATGGGCATGCAACTGCTAATAGCACGATTATCACGACCGAGAGAAAGTGAATCGTTTGTAAGAATCGATACTTGAAATGGAGATTAATTCGTTGGCGAGCTATAAAACCATATGATTTATGAAGAAATGTGAATTTTATTTCACTTACAAGATTGTTGACCATTTGAAAAACTTTCGACAACGTTTTGTACAATTTTCCTCTAAAAGGACAATCTAAGTTGTTTCGTGTTTGAAAAATTTATATTTTGAATTGTAGACAGCGCACATGTACGTGATAGAGGAAAATATAGGGCACCAAATTGAAGGCAAAGTAAAAGTGTCATGTAAGATGAAAATGTATAGAAACTAATAGAATGAAAAAATTCAAGAAGAAAAGTTGACAACTGTCGCAATATTAATAACCTTACGAACTTAACATTAATGGCCCATTCAATCAATAATGTTACAACAGCAGCAAAGCTGGACACAGATTTCTCCAAAAGGCGCATTCTCCAGAATGTTCTACTCATCTGGATAGACGGTAGTAGCACAGAATTCGACAAGGATTTCCAACAGACTCTGTATCAAATACGTAATGAGATCAATGATGTAACAATATTCAGCCAACTAGATCAGTGTGTGGACTTTCTGCAAGGGATTCATACGGAGGAAGTCTTCGTTATTAGTTCAGGCTATATGGGACAAGAGTTAGTACCACGAATTCATTCAATGGCAAGGGTGAATTCTATTTACATATTTTGTGGTAATCAGACAGCACACNACAAGGATTTCCAACAGACTCTGTATCAAATACGTAATGAGATCAATGATGTAACAATATTCAGCCAACTAGATCAGTGTGTGGACTTTCTGCAAGGGATTCATACGGAGGAAGTCTTCGTTATTAGTTCAGGCTATATGGGACAAGAGTTAGTACCACGAATTCATTCAATGGCAAGGGTGAATTCTATTTACATATTTTGTGGTAATCAGACAGCACACAAACAGTGGATTACAAAGTGGTCCAAGATCAAAGGTGTATACAACCACATTCAACCTATCTGTGAGGCTCTCCGATCTTCCGTCAAGCAATGCAATCAAGATGCCATACCAGTAAGCTTTGTTGTCTCGGATGACATGAGCTCCACTACCGATTTGAATCAATTGGAGCCTTCGTTTATGTACACCCAATTATTCAAGAACACCTTGATTGATATGGAACACAACGAACAATCTCGTCAAGACTTGATGAACTATTGCAGAAGAAAATATGCTGGTAACCTATGCGAATTGACAATCATCGATGAATTTGAGCGGAGTTATTGTTCGAATAAGGCAATTTGGTGGTATACCCGGGAATGCTTTACTTATCAGATGCTTAATCTAGCCCTCCGATTATTGGAGGCGGACATAATCGTCAACATGGGTTTCTTTATTCATGATCTCCATCGACAAATTGAACAACTGCACCAAGAACAGATTGGTCAGTATCGTGATCAGCCTTTTATCGTTTACCGAGGACAAGGACTCTCGACAATCTATTTCGAGAAGCTGCAAAATACACAAGGTGGACTGATATCGTTCAACAATTTTCTTTCCACTAGTAAGGAAAGATTAGTTTCTCTAAGCTTCGCTCAAGGTTCTTCCAAGAAGACGGACATGGTCGGAATTCTTTTCGTCATAACTGTCGATCCGACAATTTCGTCGACACCGTTCGCTGATATTCAATCCGCCAGCTATTTTCAAACCGAAGCGGAAATACTCTTTTCCATGCATAGCATCTTTCGCATCAACCAACTGAAGAGAATAGACGAAAGCAGTCAGCTCTTTGAAGTACAACTGACTCTGACGGCGGATGATGACGAACAACTTCGTCGACTTACTAGTAGATTCGAGGAAGAGACACAGGGTATTACAGGGTGGAGGCGCATTTGTAAGTTACTAATCCGAGTTGGACAATTGAACAAAGCCGAAGAATTGTGTCTCACTTTGCTCGGACAGGCATTAGAACAACATGATCAAGCCTATTATCATAATGATTTGGGACGCATCAAGGACCAACAGGGTGATCACGAAGCAGCCATTCGCTATTATGAACTAGCAATTGCTGTGAATGAAAAAATTCTTTCTGAAAACCATCCTTTTTTAGCTGCTTCCTACAACAACATTGGTTTGGTGTATTCCAAAATGGAACAGTATTCGAAGGCACTGTCATTTTATGAAAAAGTACTTGATATCGATCAGAAAACTCTTCCTGGGAATCATCCTGATCTGGCTACCTCTTACAATAACATTGGTTTATTGTATGCCAATATGAAAGAGTATAAGAAAGCGCTGTCCTTCTACGAAAAAACACTTGCTATCTTACAGGAAGCTCTTCCTGCAAATCATCCATTCCTTGCGGCTTCCTATAATAATATTGGTTTAGTGTATGCCGGTATGGAACAGTACACGAAAGCGTTGCCGTTCTACGAAAAGACACTTGATATCCTTGAGAAAAGTCTTCCTGCTAATCATCCTTCTTTGGCTACTTCCTGCCACAACGTCGGCGGCCTGTATTCCAATATGGGAGAGTATTCGAAGGCATTGTCGTACTTTCAACGATCCCTAGACATACAGAAACATTCTCTTCCTCCAACTCATCCAGATATTGAATCTACATGTCAATGGATAGAAAGTATAAAGAAAAAGATTTAGATAATATTATATTTCTAAAATGTATCAGTAATACTACTCGGTACGACTCGCCTGTGTGTAGATGTTTTATGACAAAGTATAACTACCACAACCATGGTTTTGATCTTGTTAAATATTGAGGATGAGAGTGCAGCTGTGAATTCAATATCATACCCTTACCCACCGTCAAGATTGCCATAGCATGTTACAATACATGTCATATAGAAGTACACCGATGAAAACGTGTTAATTTAAATGCTTTTACCTGAATATTGAAAATAACTTCTGTGAAACATGAGCGAGATTATACATTTTACTAAGAAAAAAAGTTGAAAAACAAATTTTGCGTTTTCAATGTCAACAATTTTTTATTCAGCACTTTCATCATAATGTTTTGTATCATCGATCTCTTTTTTCCATTTCATCATTTCTCCACAAAATAAACTTAATTTAACAACAGTAATGTTTGGTTTACTTTTCGGTGCTTTCGAATAGATAGGACTACCACATTTACTACAAAAATAACGTTTGACTTTGTATCAGTATCATCATATTTTGCAATTAATGATTTCTCATCGATGAGAGTCACTTTTCCATTGAGCGACATTAGATCTAATGATGCTAATCCAGCACCACCACGTTGACATTTTGAGCAATGGCATAAGAGAATTTCATTTGATTTATCAGTTAATGATTCTCGATCAATTTTCACTTTTATATCTTTACAAAGGCAATAACCGATTAGTTTCTTCGATGGTAAAAATGAAATCATATCACAGGTTATTGCATACGACTTTTATTTAATGAAAATAAAAGATGACATGAATGCATGTGTAATATATGTGTTTGTAACAATTACGAACAAGTTGAGCATGTTTGATTAAATGCATAGCAAAAAACGAGAACACCAAGGAAATCATCAGCAAAGCTGCAACTTTGGGAAATCTCAATTGAAACAGCCATGCATACGTCATCACAAGGAGCATTAATGACATTGATCCGTTTTTCGATTATTGAATGAACGACGAGGTTGTGTAGAAACTAAAAACGGCGTGAATTGGAAATGTATGAATTTATTTTACTGACTGAACTGAACTGGAACTTGAGGATTATAATCGACAACATTTTGCAAGTTTTTCTTTCTAAACAAGAAACAAGCAATAAATCTTTTTTGATTCTTGTTGAGTTGCATTTTAAATTTCCTTACAAAATTCTGTGTAGTTTCCGAAAATCTTCTGCATGTAACTGCTTCCTAGGTCGAAGAATCCGGCGCGGATCTGACCGATTCCAAAAAATTCGAGATATTTCATTGAAGCAGTGTTCGTGAGGACGGATCCAGTGGTTGAATTTATCGAGCTTCACCTGGAACCGACCGGGATCTGTCATAAACAACAGTCGCATTCGGTCACAGAATTTTTCTGCCAAATTCTGAGCAGACCCCAGGCGTTTCCAGCCGGAAAATAATGGAGTACTGTTTCCGGAGCCATCGTCCTGGGTTGTAATTCTTCAATTGGCGTGACCATCGATATTTGCTTCTGGAATGAAATGCGAAACGCATATATTCTTTTCGTTTATATATTTCATGCGTTTCTTTCGCCCTTTCTATTATCTTCATCTATCGTAAAGTGAATATTGTTTTCACTATTCGAACAGTCGAAAATCGATGCCTCAATAGAAGAGCGAATCTTTATCAGATAGATATATGCAACCTTCATTTGATCGCTGATTCAATTCTTAACAAAGTCCTATTCATATTTATTTTAACAATCGATTTCAAAAATACGTTCTGACATATGTCATAAATCAAAATTTAGATAAAAATTCATTTTCAATGTACACAAGAAGAAAATCGAAGTAAAAAAGTCATCGCTTTTTCTTTGCATTACTATCATAATTTGTTCCATCGTGAAAATAACTACTCGTCGTTGGCGTGCTTGCTTCGTGTTTTCGTTTCAAACTTGAACAATTCATCGTTTCATCTCGCTTCTCTTCGTCCAACTTCGATCCAAACAAACAAGTGATTGACAACAGTCGATCCAGTTTATACAAATCGTATTTGATTGTTGTCATTTCCACTGTTTTTCTCAGCATCTCTTCTTTGCTTCGAGGCAAAGTTGTTGCCATTTGTTTCAAAGCTTTTTCGCTCAATATTGTTGAATATTTGATACCATATTCTGCCGATATGCACTTCAGCTCCTCTTTCAACTTCTCGAGACAACCATCAACCAAACGGTTTCGTGTCGAGCTCGTCGCTTTCACTGATTGAACATTTGGATTCTCTTTCTTTGCACAAACTGATAAGATGATTGGATCAGTGAATGTGGTGTTCTTTCCCAAACGAATATATGCACTGGCTGTACCATAAGTATCATTGATTGAAATGTCTTGATGAAGATAACCATCCATGATCAACTTCGACAGCAGCCGTTCTACATCTATATAGAAGAAAGATCGACTTTGAATTGATCGAAAGGGGACAATAGCTCATTATTCCACTGACTTATTCTTATGACATCTTGAGCAATGTTATATTGTTCGAGTTGATCATGTCCAGCAGCTATGATTGCTCTTTGTTTGCTTCCTTTGAGAACATCAATCAGATAGTTGATTGTTGTCGTTCTCATATTTTGTGTGAGTTGTTCAACCAAAGCAAGAATCTGTTTGGACAATTCGGTAAAATCAACTAGTTTGGCTTGAGCAACACTACAACAATTGTCACATCGTGTTTCCACGTGCTTTTTACATTGACTCGCCAGATAGCGTTCACCAAAATATTCGAGTAGCAGTGTTCGACGACAATCAACATCGTTTATACAATACATATAGACGCTATGCAGATTGTCCATGCGTGTTTTTTGTGCGTCCCGTGTTGCATTTGGTGATTGTTCAGCTACAAAAATATGATTCTGATTTAAAATAAACACAAATTTTCTTTCTCTTACT